ACACACACACACACACACACACAGGACTGTACATTTATTCCTTTTAGTCCATTCTACCCCCACAGCCAGAGGGGGCTTTCAAAAGTAAATCCAATCATGTCTCAAGTTTACTCCAAACCCTTCAGTGGATGCCCTGATCTAAAAACAAAATCCAACTGTAGAGGGCCACCTGGGAAGGCACATGGGCAATTTTCCTTAATTATCATCAGCTAAACTCAAGGCGTATTCAAGATGGCAGACATGTTGTCAGCTTAGCCTTCATATCAGCCAAGGTGTTGGCAGGGGCGGGACTCGATATGTAAATCCAGGCATGCTAGGGCCTACTTAAGAATGCAAATAAGTTGGTGATAACTTCCTGGTATTGGGGGTATAAAATAAATGCACTGGGAGGGGCCATCGTCGTCGTCGTCGTCGTCGTCGTCGTCGTCTTCTTCTTCCTGCCTCTCCAGCAGACAGGATGGTGGCCCACCCAGCTCCCAACTTGAAATCTATCTCTGTATCTTCTCTCTTTATTTCTATTATTTCTCAATCCCTGGCCACCTCCACTTAGAACCGGTTCATTTATCTCTCTGTGTGGGAAATGGAAAAGGGAGATCCCTGCCATGTCTGGCCCCTGCCACATCAGGTCCCGGCATCCAACCCCTTCACCCTAGCCAACAAGGTCAGACATGATCTGCCATTATCATCCACCTCCAGCATGGGGGTTAAGATCCTGGCCTCAGAGAGAATCTGTCTTGGATAGAATTCTGCCCCTCCACACTTTATTCATTCAAAAAATGGTTATTGAGCACCTAATAGAGGCATTTGGGAGAGATCAGTAACAAACCAGACAAAGGTTGCTGGCCTCATGAAGCTTCCTTTATAGCAGAGGGAGGTTAACAATAAATAGAAGTATCCTAGCCAGGTAGCTCAGTTGATTAGGGAATTGACCCCGTATGACAAAGCCTTTGGTTCAATCACCGGTCCGGGCACATAAAAGAATCAACCAGAGAACATAAATAAGTGGAACAACAAATTGATCTCTCTCTCTCTCTCTCTCTCTCTCTCTCTCTCTCTCTCTCTCAAATCAAGAAATAAAATTTAAAAAATACAAATAAGTAAACTATATAGCATGCTCAAAAATGACAAATGTTATTTAAAAACAAAAAAAACTAAAGCAAAGGAAGTTGATCAGGAGTACTGGGAGGAGTGGGGGCTTGCATTTTCAAAACAGGGTGGTCAGGATAAGCCTCATTGAGAAGGTGACTTTTAAGCAAAGACTTGTAGGAGGTGAGGGTGGAAGACATGTAGACACCAGGGGAAAGTGCAGGCAGAGGGAGCAGCCAGTGCAAAGGCCCTGAGGTGGGACCGCACCTGGTATGTGTGAGGAACAGCACAGAGGTGGGAGAAGGTGCCTAGAGAGGTAGGCAACTCATGTGGAGCCTTGTGTGGCTCGGTGAGGAATTTGGCTTTCACTGAGTGAGATGGGAGTGTTGGAAGGTTTTGACCATAAGGGAGTAGGTGAGGCAGAACCAGGAAGGAGAGGAAGCCAAGCAGGGTGCCTTGTAGGTGGCTGCTTCAGCCTTATCCCACAGGGGAACTCTGGAGTGTAATTGTACCCCAGCGTTACCCACCCACACGCATGCCAGCAGCCCAGGCAAAACAGTGAGCTTTTGCTCCAACCAGTTTGGCTCAGTGCATAGAGCATCTGCCTGTGGACTGAAGGGTCTCAGGTTCGATTCTGGTCAAGGGCATGTACCTTGGTTGCAGGTACATCACCAGTAGGGGGTGTGCAGGAGGCAGCTGATCTATGTTTCTCTCTCATCGATGTTTCTAACTATCCCTCTCCCCTGCTCTCTGTAAAAATCAACAAAATATATTAAAACAACAACAACAAAACGGTGGGCTTTCAAATCCCTGAAATGATGGGGTACAGTCAGTCACCCATGTGGCTCCAGAGCCTGAGGGCAGTCCTCCCCAAGGAGAGGAGCCAGTGCTGGTTGCTGAACACTTACTCCAGGAAGGCTCACAGAAGTGGTAAATAGGGGTCTAAGGGGAATTGATGAAGCATCGTTCTTATTGGCTCCAGTCCCCAAACACCAGAGCCCCAGCACCACAGCCCTTTTGGCCCAGGCTCGGGGTGGGTAAAGATGGGAGGCATACCCCAATGTGACCAGGTAGAGTTTCTCTGGTTAGAAAAGACTGTAGGCACACCTCCCAACCAGGACTCTGAGGGATTCACATTCTGCAAGATCCTGACCCTGTGGCTGTCCAGCCTTGTATACCTTCTGGGATGAGGTACTACTTAGCTCTGTTCACCTTTGGACAGTTTGGGTTGCAGAAAGTTCTGCTTCATGTTGAGTCCACTCACTCAGTCAGTAAACATCGACTGAGCACCTGCTGTGGGTCAGGTACCACTCTAGGTTCTGGTGACACAGCAGCAAACAAGACGGGCAAGGTTCCCAGCCTTGAGGAGCTCCTGACTGGAGAAGGAAATGACTAGAGAAAAAAGATGGTGTGGTGAGTGCAGTGGTAGGGAAGCCCAAGATGCTGCCAAGGCCAGAGGGGACTCTTGACTGTGAGAGGAGGTGACACCAAGCTGATAAATGGGAGTAATGTAGTAGTTACATGGGTACAAAGGGTAAAAAATTAATTCAGGCTGATGGAGAAATGTATGCAAAGTCCCTGAGAATCCCACCAGTGCTCACCATCCCCACTGCCACCCTGGTTCAGGGATCATCCTATCTTACCTGGATGGTTGTAGCAGTCTCCTCTTGGGTCTCTTACAGAGGGGCAAAGAAGCTGGGGAATGTAGCCACCATACTCTTCTATTCTTAAATATATATTCACCATTTCCTCTCCGCCTTGCCCTGCTCTATTGTTCTCCAGGGTACTTATCATCACTTAATATGACATATTTACTTGTTCATATGTTTATTGTCTGTCTCTTCCACCAAACTGGAAGCTTCTGAGGGCAATGACCATGTCTGGGTTTGCCCATGGTGGAATCCCTAAAATAGGGCCAAGTAAATATTTGTGAAATCAATGGTTCTGAAACAGAAGTGGTTCGGAAACAAGAGTCCTTCCAGATATGACTGTCTGTCTTGGATATGACCTCCCCAACACTTCCAGTGGCAGGGTTACCCTCTGAGGGCCAGTCATAGCCAACAAGCTGCCAATTTAGAAGCCTCCCTCAACTCAGCCTTTCCCGGTCTAGGCCCATCTGGCAGGGCTCAGTGGTCGGCCTGGTCCAGCTCTCTTTGAGCCCCACGGTGGAGGAGGCCCAGTCTGGGACCCAGAGCCCAGGGAGGACTGCTGAGCCCTTTTCCTCCTTTGGTAAATGTCCCCCCTTCCTTCCCAGGGCTTGTGTGTGTGTTTCTGAACCAGAAGGTGTTTACACAAAACATCCTGGCTTTGGCAACAAATTCACCCTCAATGAGAAATCCTTAATGAGTCTCCTTTTCTCCACACCAGGCAGCTGCGGGGAACACTAGCTCTGCCTCTGGCAGGTTAAGGCAGCCAAAGGCCAGGCCAAGAGGAGGTGCCACTGAGACTTGTGGGGCCACAGATTCAGGGTCCAGAGACAGCTGTGAACACCAGAGAGCTTCTAGACCCACCTTTGTTCCTGACTTTCTGCCTGAGAAGGCATCACCCTCTCCCAGCCTCAGTCTGCAGCTGTGAAATGGGGTAGGAATAACCCACCCAGACAAAGGTTGTGAAGTTCAAGTGAGGGAAGGGGTGTGAAAGCATTTGGCCACAGGGGCCAAAAGGAGGGAATAAAAGGCTGGACTCAGGCAGGAGGTCAGAATTCTAATGTCAGGCCTGCTGTTGACTTTTTAAAGTCATGGCTGCTCTCTGAGCCTGGGTTTCCAGCTTTACAATGAGGGGTTGGGCATGATCTCTAGGGAACCCTCTGGTTGCAAAGGGCAGCCACTCTCTGCCCTTTGACCTGCCTCTTCTCAGAGGTCCCGCTGGATCCTACAAACCACACTGATTAGCGTTTCAGCACTTACAGAACTTCATGGTTTTCCGGCCATTTCCTTGGGTCTAAGTCAGTTGTCGGCAAACTGGCTCCCGAGCCACATACGGCTGTTTGGCCCCTTGAGTTTTTAGCAAAGGCCAGCTTAAGAGTACTCTAATTAAGTTAATAACAATGTACCTATCTATATAGTTTAAGTTTAAAAAATTTGGCTCTCGACAGAAATTCCAATTGTTGTACTGTTGATATTTGGGGTTGCAGACCGGCGACCGCTGGTCTAGGTCAACTACTCCGGACATTGGTCCCAACAACAGGGCTCAGCAAACACTGGTCAAACTGAGTTGAAAATGATTCCTGCCTCTTCTGATCCTGCAGAGAGACCATGAGAAATATTTTTATTCACTCCCACTTCATAAATTACAAACTTAAGGTCTCAGAGGTTAAATAAAAGTCACACTGCTACGTGGGCTTCCTTAAAGTCCCTTAAACAGGGAAGTAATAATTTATATTTCTCCAGCCCTATCTCTACCAGCTACATAGTATGTAATTATTTTATATCAATTGTCGGATTTTCCCATTAGGATGAAATTTCATGAGGGCAGAGACTCTGTTTTGTTCACTGCTGCATTCTCAGCTCCTAAAACTGCCTGCCTGAGAAATATATGAGGAGCCCTGGATGGCTTGGCTCCGTGGATGGAGTGTCTTAGGTTCCATTCCAGTCAACTGCACGTACCTTGGTTGCAGGCTCCATCCCACGCCCAAGCGTGAGGGAAGCAATCAATCGATGTTTCTCTCTGTGTGTGTGTGTGTCTTCCACTTTCTAAAAATCAATGGAAAAAATACCCTCCGGTGAGGATTAACAACAAACTAACAAAACATATGAAGAGAGGAAGGCAGAGGTTGAGGAGCCCTGAGGCCTGTGCTCTCTGGGCCTACAGGGGGCGCTCCCGGCCCGGAAAGGCAGGCCCTGACCTCGGTGCCGTGGAGCGCGTGCGCGAGCGCGCCGCCGCGCCTCTTCTAATTGAGCATGCGCGCCGGAAGCCCGGCCCGAGCGGCGCGTGCGCAGAAGGAGCCGCCGCGGAGCCCGAGCGGGCCTGGATGCGGAGTGGGGTCGGAGAAGCGGGCGTCATGCTGTCCCCCGAGGCGGAGCGGGTGCTGCGGTACCTGGTGGAGGTGGAGGAGCTCGCCGAGGCGGTGCTGGCGGACAAGCGGCAGGTAGGAGGCGCGTCCGCCGCGCAGGGCCCGGGCCCAGCTGTTGGGCCTGGAGGCGATCGCCCCAGGGAAGTGCGGGGTCCGGAACAGGCTCCGGCGGCGCTGGCAGAGTTCACCCGGACTGAGTTTACGCGGTCTGACGGCGCTGGCGACAAACGGGGCAGATTGAGGCGATGTGGGCACAGCGCCGCGCCTCACCCATTTATAGACCTACGTGTTAGGGGAGCGTCCGCTCTGTGCTAGCCGTCCTCTCTCCATCCTTCCTGTGCTCTTCCGTTCCCGACCCATCACCCCTTGGGCAGTTTACCTGATCCCCTTTTCCAAAGGGCAGTTCTGGGCATCGTCCCAGTCAAGGCCTTGGAGGGGAGAAGAGGAACTGGAAAGAGGTCTGGGTGTCTGTGATGGCGCAGGGGTGGGGCCGTGGGAGGAACGTGGACCCCGGGCTTGTGGGGCCTTGTAGACCTAACGGGGAGCTCGGGCCTGGTTCTCATGGGAGTGCCAGGTGGTTGAAGGGAGTTGGGGAGGGTGGGGAGGATGGGAGCAAAGGGTGACGTACTTGGATTAAGGTTTTTAAAGGATCCCTCTGGCTTCTCTGTGGAGCACGGTAAGTATAGGAAGGCAAGGGGCCATTGGTCCAGGGTGGTGGTGATGGAGACAGCAGATGGGGCCGTAATATATTTTGGAGATGGGCATGTTTTTTGTTGTTGTTGTTGTTGTTTTTAGAGTTGTATATTTATTTTGACAAATTTCGGACAGTGGCAGTAAAGATTTTGTTCCACTAAAATCAATACAACCTCATTACTTTTCAATTGGTAGAAGTCAAGTTTTTTTTTTTTTTAAGAAAATGGCATAATAAAAGCTAGCGATGGACGGGTCTTGATGTGGCCTCCTCTTTACAACCTTTGTTGTAAGGGCTTCCAGTTTGGGAGAATGTCAGGATAGCTTCTACTTAACCCACTGCCATCGGGTTAGTAGGTCTTGATGATGGTTAGTAGTGCACAGGGGCCAGGGAGTAGGAGGAGACAAGAATGATTCGTGACTCCCCATCTCCAGTTAGATGACTGATTGGTGGTTGGGTTGGGTATTTACCGAGAAGGGGAAGACTTAATCACTGCATCAGTGAGCTGAGTGATGATAATAGCAGTTTGTGAGTACTCACCTGGTGTCAGGCACTGCTGATAATCCATCTTGTTCCTGACTCAGTAACCGTGAGGAAGGTGAGATCGCAGTTACTAGCGTGCAGCAGGATTCAAACCTAGGTGTTCTGGCTCCAGAGCCAGTGTTCTGACGCGGTATATGGTACCCCCTCCTCACTTCTTTAGCAGCTGTGGTGTTGTTAGCACCATTTCAGTGCCCTACCCCTTCTGTTCCAGTCTCATGTGGTTGGGTTTCTCACGATACCAGCTCAGAATCAGCTGGGGGAGCTTGCCCAGGGAGAGGTTTCCACTCTCCAGGGATTCTGAAATGCTAACACTTGAGAACTAGCTCTCGAGTGGATAATAAAGAATAATCTGTTTAGTCAGCATTTTCCCAGCATCTTCTCTGGGGATAAAACATCTGCACTACGCACGGTCTGTAAAGGGACCTGGAAGCTGAGCGGGGGAAGAAGTATTGTACATTCACACACCGGTCTATCTTAGGAGGACTCTGGGAGCACCCAGGAACGATGCCTTGTTGTCTCCGTTAGGTTTTAATAGAAAGGTGGGTCTGTTGGGAGCTGACAAGCTGGGGCAAGAAGTAGCTGACCTCTCTCCTACCTCTTTGCTTTTCAGATTGTGGACCTGGACACCAAAAGGAATCAGAACCGAGAGGGCCTGAGGGCCCTACAGAAAGATCTCAGCCTCTCTGGTAAGTCAAGACTTCCTCACTACAGCCCCGGAAGCCTGTTCAGTCTGCTTAGAAGGCTTTGCCTTGTCCCTAACAGACCAGGCAGGAGGCCACAGGGTGTGACACCCCCATGGAGATGGGGCAGGAAATGTCACAGGTCTCACACAGACTGTGGCTCAGGGTTTCAGCTGCTCAACTCCATGACAGGCCGTTAGGTGCTGGCTTATCAATGTTGGCACTGGGAAAGTACAGGGAGGGGGTATAACAACAGTACAAATGAGCAGAACAACATAAACACGTAATTGGAAATTGTGAGAAAGCTGAAGATGGGATTGGGCGTGTGAGAGGTGTAGGAGGATGGGATGGGGGCTCTGAGAGGCCAAGTGTTTGTGACAGAATAAGCAAGGAGGAAGGGCGTGATGAAGCTGGAAAGATGGACAGAGGCCAGGCCATAATGAGTCAAGTAGTTTGAATTTTGTTTAAAATGCATTGGAAGGTCTAAAACCTTCCTGTTGCTTTTCATCTGACCAGAGTAAAATCCAGAGTCCCGCAAGATCCCCTTTCACTCTTATCTGGGGATAATCCAGACCCCCTTTCACCCTTCCACCATCATCTCTGTTCCCCCTCACTGACCCCATCCTTACCGGCCTCCTTGCTATTTCTAATGCCCTAAGCACATCACTGATTTTTTGCTGCAGGGCTCACCCCTCACTTCCTTCAAGTCTCTGTCCACATGTCACATAATCAGTGAGGCCTCTCAGACCACCAGGTGTCACAAGTCTCCCTACGCTGGCTTCCCCAGCCCCCATACCTGCTTTGTCTCTTCAGTGCTTAGACCCGCCCGGCCTGACAAGTGATACCTTTGCCTGTTTATTCCCTTTCCTCCACTATAACTAAGCTCCATGAGGCAGGACCTTTGTCTTGGTCTGCTGTGTCTTCAGCGTCTAAAACAGTGCCTCGTGGATAGCAGGTGCTCAGAATATTTGTTGAAGGAATTACCATTTTCCATTTCAGAAGATGTGATGGTTTGCTTTGGGAACATGTTTATCAAGATGCCTCACTCTCAGACGAAGGAAATGATTGAGAAAGGTAAGGCCTCCTGGGCATGAGTCAGGGAACAGCTGCCTCCCCCTGGGGTGGGGTGCATCTCCTTAGCACTTTTTTTTTTTTTTTTTGAAGTTGAGAGAAAACCGTGTGTGTGTCTAGCATAATGCTTATCTGTGGAACAAGTTGGATCACAAATAACAGAAAATTCAACAAATTGAGGTTTAAAATTTTTGGTTGTTTTTCTCATGTAAGAAATTATCTGGAGTCAGCCATCTAGGACTGGCATTGTTGTTCAGCAGTGTCGCCTTAGCATATTCTCACGGTGGTTGTGTCATCATTGCATGTCCACGTGCCAGGCTGATGGAAAGGCGAAGGGCTTTCTCCTTATATGGCAGGGGTGGGGAACGTCTGGCCCGGGGCCGTCTAAGGCTCGGGGAATCATTTGGTCTGGCCCTGCCAAGGCATTAGGGGTGAGTTAAATGTTTGATCAAACATACCAGGCTAATGTTTAAGCTGATAATTTTGTTATAGTGCAAGAATGATATAAATATCCAAATGGCCCTTGGCAGAAAAAAGGTTTCCCACCCCTGATTATGGCCTTGCCTTCTGTTTTGGAAATTAGGCTGTCCTCCTGAGGCCTTCTGCTGACATCTCTATGGCTAGAACTAAGTTATATAGAAACAGGGAGCTTGGCATAGTGAGCTTTTATTTTAACATCCCTGACAAAAGAGACTGTGTTGAAATGGGCGCTTGGGGTGAGTGAACCTTAGAGTCGGCAACTAAATAGATGTTTCTCAAATATGCATGACCACCATTTCCAAAGCTCTTTGGAGATGCATCATAAAGGTAAAAAGTCAGGTTGCAAATGCATCCTTGGCTGGAAAAGGGCAGGTAACACACATTTTCTCTTCTACCCTTGAAAATGTATAGGCAAGAGGACCAGCAAGGCTGCCTCCATCCCTGAAGACAGGGTGCCTCTATCCCTGTTGAAATAAAAATTCTAGCAAAGGATTAGCTTGGAATAGAAGTTTCTGGTTGTCCTATTGAAAAACACACTAACATGTTTATAAAATCAAGTTGTCATTGCACTAGGGTGGTAGCCTGGAGGATGCTTTCAGAGGGGGTCGCTTGCCTGGGTTCAGGATCTGATCTTCAGCTGTCTCGGCCCATAAATGTGGTCATGTGAACTGTACCTAGAAGGGTTCTGGGACATCATTATAATTCTCAGTGATTGACACAGGCAAAACAAGCTTGTAAGAGTAGGGTTACTCATTTACATTGAGCAACCCATTTTATTTTTACTGATTTTTTTTTTTTTTTTTTTTTTTTTTTTTTTTTTAGAGAGAGAGGAAGGGAGAGGGAATAGAATGATAGAAACATTGATGAGAGAGAAACATCTATTGGCTGCTTCCTGCATGACGCCCACCAGGGATTGAGCCCACAACCCTGGAATCTAAGGAATTGAACCAGTGGCCTCTTGGTTCCTGGGTTGACTCCCACCCACTGAGCTACACCAGTCGGGCGAGCAACCCATTTTAAAAGATTGAGTAGAACCATTCCCCAGACCAGAGGCCCCACTGGATCAAGGGCTTCTCGTCAGAAAGAATGAAAGCTTGTGGGGAAGACAAACTAGCTCAGATGTTCCTGTGAGCAGGTGAGAACGGAGCAGGTGGAGAGGATTGAGTGACAGGTGTAACCTCTGAAATTGAGCTTTGTAGCTTCCACTTCTCACAGGCAGTTTGCTTTCAGGAGCAGTCTGTTAAGGAGAGAGAACCTCTCCTATCCACTGAGGCTAATTAGGTTAGGCTTGAGCATTCAGCTTGCCTATTGATTGTTAGGTTGTTTAGGTCGCATGTTATCACAGTCATGCTTTTCTAAAAACTACTTGGTGGACTTGAGTTTATAAAATCCCTTAGCCACTCATTTTCCAGTCATCACAGGGTAAGTCTGCTGTAGGTTCTTAGTTTTATTTTTTCAGTTGAATTTTCTCTAATTTCACTGTGGAAGGGTGACCTAAAATCCTGATGTTGCCTCCCCTATGCACCAACTAGCCCAAGGTATTTGCGTAGTGAAAACAGGTCAGGAGATTGAGAGTCAGGGGACTGGTCTGCTCAGCCCCATCCTGGGCTCACTCAGTGGTTGTGGGCAGGTCACGTTGCTTCTCTAGCCTTTGGTTCCTGCCTCAATTAGTTCCTGAAGTCCCCTTTTCCTTCCTCAATGCTAAGAGTCCTTGCTCTCAAAGGGGCTAGGGAGAGGCTGGCATCCCCAACTCCTTTTTAGTCACTGTGTCTGTAGCATAACCTCATCCTATTTGCCCACCTCGTTTTTCAGATCAGGATCATCTGGATAAAGAAATAGAGAAACTCCGGAAACAACTTAAAGTGAAGGTCAACCGCCTCTTTGAGGCCCAAGGTATGAGCTTAGGAAGTGGGGGATGGGGAAGAAACAAGGAAGGGACAAAACCATCAACAAGGACTTAGAGGGCAGGATTGGGAAGCCCCTCCCCGATGGGCAATGGCCTGGACAGCTTGTGAGTGGCAGTGAAGCTGTGGGCAGGGGGCAGTGTTGTCTCTAGCCTTCCCGAGATAGAATGGACAAGGAAGTTTGTGGGGTCTTCTATCACAAATTCTGTTCAGGTTCAGGAATGGCCTGAAGTATCTTACATTTTATGCTAGAGCAGTGGTTGGCAAACTCATTAGTCAGCAGAGCCAAATATCAACAGTACAACGATTGAAATTTCTTTGAGAGCCAAATTTTTTAAACTTAAACTTCTTCTAATGCCACTTCTTCAAAATAAACTCGCCCAGGCCGGGGTATTTTGTGGAAGAGCCACACTCAAGGGGCCAAAGAGCCGCAGTTTGCTGACCACGGTGCTAGGGCATGATGTGGAGACCAGGACAGCTCTGACTCAGAAGCTGAATTTCTAGGTAAACCTTACCACGTCAGATCTGCCATAGGTTTGGCAGAAATCTGGATGTTTCTGGCCAGCAGAGTCATAATTCTGCAGGATCTTGATGTGTCAGTAGTGGATGTCAATGTTCATTGTTCAGTATATTGTAGATTTGAGGCCCTTCCCTGTCAGACCTCAAAGACAGGAGTCTGACAGTATGAATGCAGTGTGAGCTCCTTTCCCAGGCCCGACTCTGGGGCCAGTAGGTTGGACAACAGGCGGCCTGAACGCACTGATGGATTGTCTTCTCCCTCTAGGCAAACCGGAGCTGAAGGGTTTTAACCTGACCCCCCTCAACCAGGATGAACTTAAAGCTCTCAAGATCATCTTGAAAGGATGAAATTCAAGAACCTAGATTAGGGGCCTAAAACCAGCATCCCCTGGGATCATGTAGGACCCAGAACTCTCCAAGGACAGGACCTGCCCTGCAAGGGCGCAGCATCAGCAACCTGGCCATGGCTCCTGTTTGCAGCCTCTTTATCTGTAGAGCTTGACGGCTCTATGAAAGCAGAGGGAACCTCAGCCTGCCAGTGCCTGTGGGCCTGACCGCTGGAGCTAATGGACACAAGACCCATTGACAGGCCTAGCAGCCACCAGTGGGTGGGTGGGGGCAGCGCCTGTGGGGGTTTGAGAATGACTGCAACAGACACTTCTCAACAGTGGCCTGCTGTTTAAACGGGCCCGGGCAGGGGAGAAGGGAGAGGGGAAGAGTGGGAGCTTCATTCCAGCATTCCTCTCGGAAAGCGAGACATTTTCAAGCAGCATGTGTAACAATTGGAATGAAGAGGAAGCTCACAGGTGGTTTCTGAATGAAGGACAGGATCCGGGTGCTTCGTGGTTCCCCACAACTCTCTGTGGAGCAGACGTACCATTCCCCCCACTCGCTCCATGTTGGCCCGTTTTCCTGCTTGCTCCCAGTGGAGCCCAGTAGGTGCTGCTTACAGCTGCTTGTTCGTCAGAGTCCTGCCCCAGAGATGGGGGAGGGAGCCTGCCCTTCACATGCTTCATGCATTCAGGATGCCCCTCCGCCACCTCCGGAAGCAGGGCCAGGGCCAGCGCTGCTCTCTGCGTTCCCTTATCAGTGGTCTCGGGTCCTAATGTGAATGTGTGTGCGGGCAACACGGTGTCTTTCTGTTGAGGCTTCAATAAAGGTTACCTAATGAATGGATAGCTGCTTCTGTTCTTTACCTCCTTGGTCCTTAACTGAAGGCGTACCACTCCCCTAGGATACCACCTATGAAGGGCAGTGGCTCCTCCTTGAAATGATAGCAGGCACACTGTCATGCCCCCTGCGGCCCTCAGCTGCTGCCGACAGTGTTATTGGAACACAGGCTGCTATGTCCAGATCCTATGCTTTCTTCAAGAGGAACTAGCAGTTTGCATTTTTAAGTTGAATTTTCTGTCTTTTAAATATTGCTAATTCAGAAAAATTTTTAAAACTTTGGTGTTGGCCAAATAAAATACCTTACATAAGTCAACTTTGGCTCAGAATTGTGACGTTGCATCCTTTTGAGGTGTTTTTTGTTTGGTTTTTGGGGTTTTTTTTAAGTAGAAATTTGTGTGTTCTTCACATACTGGTTCTAACAGTAGGGAGATGGAATTGGAAACTAAATATCCACAGTAGATTAAAAGAATTGATGGCTGCAGGCAGTGGGATGCTACACAGCTATAATCAAGAATAAGGAAGCTCTTTGAGCACTGATTTGGAACAAGCTCCAAGATTGAGAAAAGCAAGGGGGCAGGACAGGTGTCTGATAAGCTGGTGATTTGTATGCAATCACCAGTTATTTGGTTCCCTCAAAACAAACAGCATATTTGGGGTGGAAGGAAAGAACATGTTGCTGTTATATTGCATATTTTTAAATATAAATTTAAAAAGTAGGGAGTAGCAGCATTCACTTTGCTAGACATTATCTGATAGGACTGCCTTGCTCATAATTTCCCTCGAAACATTGCCCCTACCTATCCAGCGAAGTAGATTCAAGGACAGAAAGAACCAGTTGGATCCTACTGGAAAGGTAAACCCCATGCCTTGGGCTGTCTGGCTTTTCCTCAGTCACAGAGATGAAGGTAGGAGGCCCAGAATGGCTGGTTTCTGGCCTTTCCAGAGCTACCTGGTTCATTTCCTGGACTTCACAGTATTCACTTCCAAAAGCCCTTCCCATCCCTGGGCAGTCAGATTCTGTTCTTGTAGCTGGAAGAACTGTCCTGAAGCAGGAAGAGTGGTAGAGGGAGCTGTCTGGGACCCCCTAATGGGTCCCCCATGGAGCAGTTAGCCCACCAGCCCACTTGTAACTCCTGTTAAACTAAGAGGAGGTGTAGGAACGTGGGAATGCTATCTCCTTGCCTGCCAGCACAAGGTTTTCTAGTTTAAGAAACTCAGCTCCCAACCTCAAGTAGGAAAGCTCAGAGAGGACCTGCCACCTAGATGACTTAGGTAAGTGCCCCTTTGCAGGGACCCTTACTACGGAGCTCTGCCTTCCTGGCCCATGTCCATCTGAGAAACAGGGATGCTTTGGCCTGCTGGCTTTCCCCCAGGGGAGCTCCACAGGTTCCCCTGACATGCAAGGTCAGGTTATTGTAAGGAGATGTGCAGGGTTCAGTCCTCCAGACTCACAATAAACAATCTAATAACTGCTTGCTTGCCAACATAGCTTAAGACAAGTTCCCTAGCCCGTGAACCCTCTGCTCTTGGAGGACTCTCAACACTAACCTCCTGGGAGACATCAAAGGGTGACGCCAGGACACCGCTGCAGCCCACAGCATTCCCTGAGCCAAGCCTGCTGCCCAGTAACTGCGAGTAAGGCCTGTGCTCATTTATTAGATGTGATCTCTCTGGATAGTCGAATTTGCTGAGTTCTTACTCTTTGGGCCTATTAGCTAAGCCAATCTTTAGAGGTTAAAACCCATCCAGTCCAGAGGATTGGCTGTCTCCTGGTGCAAAGGTGCCCAGGGGTTGGTGGGGGAATCCAGGAGACCCGCCCAAGCAGCAGCAGCTGTGGCCCATCCAGAGGGAGGGAGGCGTGTGCTCTGAGGTGCTGCTGTGCTGGCCATGGAGTGGGGAGAGGACTGGATGACATGGCACCTTCCAGGGACGCTTGCCTCTCAGCGGCTGGGTATTAGCTGGAAGCTTTCTTCTGGCCTTGAAGGGAGCGGAACAGCTGCCTCAGCTGTTTTTTTCGATCATTGATGCAACCTGGAAGGGAAGTGGAGTGTTGGCTGGGAGGTCCTGTCCATAGGAAAAGGGGTTTGGGAGTGGAGTGACCTGTGCTTCTGCTACCTGTTGGGAGGAGGAGACAGCAGCCATGCAGTTATGGATGGCTTATGGTTTGCATCCTGAACTGCTGTGGCCCTCAAGCAGGTAATTTTCCTCTTCATGCATCAGTTTTCTCATCTGTAAACCAAATACTTGCTTTATGGGATGAGTGTAAGGATCATCAAAGGAAGGTAACATTGGGGACTTACCTCAGGGACTGCTTCAGGTGCTGAATGTGGATTGACTTGAGATCTCACCAGAATGATGTGTAGAAGAAAAAAACCGAGGTTCAGATGCCAAGTTATTTGCTCCAAATCACACACACAAAAAAATAGCAGGTCTGGGTTTTGAACCCAGGCTAATCTAGCTCCAGAAGTCAAGTTCCTAACCACTAGCCCACATTGCTTTCCTCTGGTTTTAGTCAGTGAAAATGCTTTAAAGCTAGCACAGTGCCTAGTACCTAGTAGTACCCTTTCCCAGCCCCATGTGTCATGCACAGTTGGCTAAGACAAATATTTCCATAGTAGCCCCTGCTCTCATGTGTGTCCAGGTAGTCCAGGCTGAGGCCAACATGAACTTTGGAGACACCTCCTCTCCTGGCACATTCATAATGTTACCACTTCCTGTTTGCTCTCAGAGTTGATCCTTGAAGCAATTCCATGGTCACTGAATCTTGTGCCAGGCACATTGATGGCACTCACAAATGCTGGCTGAATGATGAATCCACATGGCCACAACTACTGACCTGGAGGAGACAGCCATCTTTCTTAGCACCCAAAGCCCCATTCCTAACTCCTAGGTGCTCACTGATTGTCAAGGCTTCAAAGCTAAGAACCTTAGCTTTAACTGCAAGTGGCTCGTTCATAACTCCCAAATATTTGTGTCCAATGCAAATTTCTTCTTGGAGTTCTAGACTCATCTCTGAGTTATCTGCTGATCTTTTCACCAGGAGATCTCTCAACACATCCATAATGCATTTCATCAATACTCTTCCCACTCCCAGCCAGCTCCTCTGGTGTTCACGACCATATGCCCACACTCCACTGGATACTTGGGAGTTATCTAGAGACTCCTCAAGCAGTGGCTTTCAATCTAGGCTGTGCTTTAGTGTCATCCGGGAGATTTAAAAAATATCGATGTCCAGACCAACTGCATCTTTATCTCCAGCAGGCATTGGTCTTTTTTAAAGGTCCCTGGTGATTCCAATAGGCGGCCAAAGTGGAGAAGCCAAGATGTCCTGAATCTTTGCTACTCAAACAGGGCCCAGAAAACAGCAGCATCGACATCTGAGATGGATTGTTAGCAAGGAGAGCTGCAACAACCTCTCCCTTTCCTACATGCGCATCTGTCTGCAGGGTGACTGCTGTTCTTCCCACAAGAGGTGGAGTCTATTTCCTTGCCCTGTGAATGTGGGCTGGACTAGCTTTAACTAATGGGCTGTGGAGGAATGATACTTTGGGACTTAAAAGCCCAAGCCTGGGGGTCAAGAGGTTTCACTACATCTTCCTCTCCTTATTGGAACCCTGGGACTACCATGCGAAGAAGCCAGGCAACACTGCTGGAGGACAAATGACCACCTAGAAAGAGGCCCAGCTGACAATCATTATCAACCACCACACACGCAATGAAGCTATCCTAGGCCAGTGTTTCCCAACCTTCTCTCATGATGAGAATCACCTGGTGGAGTTGTTAAAACACAGATTCCCGGATCCCAACTAAGAAGTGCTAAACTAGAATTTTTGGGAACATATAGGTAAAATTGTATACTTAACTAGTGCTCTAAGACAGATTTTATATACAGAGCACTAAGTTAGGTATGCAATTTTACCTATATGTTCTCAAAAATTCTAGTTTAGCACTTCTTAGTTGGGATTCGGGAATCTGTGTTTTAACAACTCCACCAGGTGATTCTCATCATGAGAGAAGGTTGGGAAACACTGTCCTAGGCTACCAAATCTCAGCGCATTGCTGGGTGCTGGAGCCCTTAGTGACTGTAGGCGACACCTGGAGAATGAATAGCAAATAAGGCAGCTGTTTGAAGCTGTGAGGTTTGGGGAAGGTTTGTTACACAGTAACCGTTAACCAATAGAGAGCATCACCTGGGAACTTGTCAGATGTGCAGGATTTTAGGCCTCACTCCAGACCTAGTGAATCATATTCTTCATTTAAACAAGAGCTCCAGGTGGTTGTATCCACAGCTTGAAAGCATTATGTAGTCATCCTCCAAACACGCACTTTGGCAGACACTAGGGATCTGCTGTGGAAAAGCCATTCACAAACTTCCTCTCCTTTGCCTTCCTCTAGGCAAACTGCTGGACATCCCAGGCTTCCTTGCATCATGGGTGGCCATGAGAGCCAGCGCTGATGGATGTCAGCAGAGGTCCCGGGAGGGCATCCCTTTTGGAATAAACAATCAAAGCTTGAAGGAAAGGCTTTGGTCCTTGAGCCTGATGTTTCTTTCTGCCTGGGACCAGGACAGAGTTTCTGGAGTTGGAGCAGCCATCTTGCTACCTGAGCAACCTGAGGCAACAAGCACGAGCACCAAGGTAACCTACTACGCATGGCAAAGCAAAAAGAGGAAAGGGCATCAGGCTGCCATTGTGCCACCCTGCCCCACTAGCCCCAAGACTTCCTGTGGCTCAGGACAAAGCAGTCCCTCTCTGGCTAACCACTAGTTGGTTTTTTTGTTGCTTTTCGCCAAGCCCAATCCTAAATCATACCAAACCCGAAAAAAGTTTAAAACCTTTTCATAAAAAATAAAAAGATGCCACGAAGAGCATTTAAAAAGCAAATTACAAACTCAGTAAAATGTTTACAATAAGCTTCACAGAGAGGTGATATCTTTAACATATTTATAGCCAAGGCCTTTATACATTTAAAAAAGTGTAAACAACCCATTGAAAAATAGATTGAGTACGGACAGCTAACCAAAGAAGAAATGCAAATTAAAAATCTGAAACCTCACCAATAATCAGTGGAATGCACACGTTGCTAAAGTGTTATTGTTTGTTTGAATTCAGAGCTGGAAAATTCAATAATCATCCCGGAAAGCAATCTGGCTATAATAAGTCCATCCCTTTTACCCAGTAATTGTATTTCTAGAAATCTGTCCTAATGAAACAGCCAGATTTCTCAGTGAGCTTTCTGTGAAAGGATGTTCATCTTGCCATTGTTTATAAAAGCGAAAAATTGAAATCATGCCATGTGCTCTATTACAAGAAATTGGTTTAGCCAATTTGGCACCTAGTGAGCTAGACTATTTTGTAGCTGTATGGGAACTTTGTTTTTAACTGTGCTAAGGGTCAGGAGAGCCTAGCAGTCAAACATATTATTCAGGTTTTAGCGTCAGACAGATTGGAGTTCAGGTCCTGGCTCACCACTTAAAACCGAGACCTTAAGCAAGTTGTGTAACATCTGGAAATCATTTTCTTATCTATAAAATGATAATAAAAGCTGCCTAAAAATAAAATGAGATAACATATGTAAAATATTTAGTCTAGACCTGGCAAATAAATGTTTCCAAAAGATAGGCTCTTATTAATATTGTTGAACATGTGGAAAATGCTACATGGAAAAGTGGGACTGAAAACTCCAGGCCTATGCCAAATCTGTAAAAGAAAAAAATAGAATATATGCATTTTTTTAAAAACTGGAAGGAAACACACCAAATAGTTAAAGATGGTTGTGTCTGGATAATTTTTTTTCATTTCCTTCTTTAGTTTTCAAATAGTCTACAATAAGTGTGAATAATTTTCATTTTTTAATGTGTTTTATTTCAGAGAGGAAGGGAGAGGGAGAGATAGATAGAAACGTCAATTGAATGCCCCCTGCACACCCCCTAATTGCCGGCTGTCTCCTGCTCCCCCTTACCGGGGATTGAGCCTGCAACCCTGGCATATGCCCTGACCGGGAACAGAACCAGGGCCTCTGGTGCGTGGGACACAACTCAACCAGCTGAGCCTCACCGGACTGGCAACATTTTCATTTTTTAAACACCAAGTTTTAAAGTCAAGCCCTGAAGTCCTTAATTTCTCTTTAATCTATCATGGGAGGGGAGTTGTTTTCCTAAACCTTTTGAAATCTACCTCCTGATTAATAATATCTCTCACTATGTGCCAGGCATATATTGAAATAGAAACTAGTTAATCTCCATTTTACAGGTGAGGAACAGAGAGGTTACGTCTTGGTCCAGGGCAGACAGCTGTGCCAAGCTGCCGGTCTTAGACTACCCGGAACCTCCCATGACACATCCCTGGTGCCCACTACCCACATGGCCCCACGTACCAAGGTGTGTGTTGGTCACAAAGTTCCCCACTTCTGACAAGTCGGGAACCCCCTCTTCTCTGCTGACAGGGCCATCATTCCACATGAGGTCAAAGCCTCCCACCCGCTTCTCTCTTCCTGTGAGCCTGGATAGGCAGGAGACACAACGGGTTAGAGAAGGGGCACCTGGTAGGAACCAAAGACCCTGGCCAGGTTCCTGATCATCCCTGCAGCTGCTGGTCCCCACACTGTCAGAATGCCCTCCTTTGCCCATCCATCCACCAGCTGTTTCCTAGGTGCCCACACAGGTCTCAGAGGGGCTGTCCCCCACTTTTGTCCCATGGCTTAAACACTTGCCCTCGGTACTTCCGAATTCTGGTTTAAACTCTGCTGTCTCCCCCAGACCATAAATTTCATGAAGGCAGGAAGTGGGTCTGTTCTATTCTTTACTGTGTCCTCAGTGTGTGGCACAGGGCCTGACATATATGAGGCTCAAGTGTTTGTTGAATGACTAAATGATGGTAGATATAGTGGACACCCAAGGTTCCTCCTGCTCAGCATCCATTTTACCTTCTTTCAGCCTAAGAGTGCCTCGGTTTTTCCTTTGAGAACCATTCTCCCTCTCTCACTTACATGGCTCAGGTGAGGTTGACCCCATCCCCTGGGAGATGAACACAAGGCCTAGGCCTGGTTAATCAGAGTTATAATGATTGTTTCAGAGAGGGCATGTGACCCAAACCCCACTCATGAGCAATAAGAGTCAGCCCTCAAACTATTGCTGAAATAATTGAGAAAAAAACTAATAAAGAAGGAAAGATAAAAAGGAATGAGGGAGAGGGATGGAGGGAGGAAGGAATGGAAGGATAAAGCGATAGAGCGAGGGAGGAATGGAGGGAGTGATAGAGGTAGGGAGGTTAGGAGGGAAGGGTAGAGGGAGGGGAAGGAGTGAGAAGACAGACCAACCAACACATATTGAAGTCAGGCCCTGAATTTTCCTTATGGACACATTGTAATAACAATATATAGCCTCTCACTGAGCACTTACTGTAGTGCTAGGCAGTTGACAGTAAGTTATCTAGGTAAATTGACCTAACAATCCTGAGAGGTAGACACAGATGAGGAAACAAGCTCGCAGAGGTGGAATGACTGGTCCAGGGTCCCACTCTCAGGAAGTGTGTCCAGGAAATCCTGCCGGACCAAATCTCAGAAAGCTGTGGTCGTCTGCTCTGACCCAAGGGGCTGGGTCCTTGGACCAGGCTCCAACCCTGTGTGGACATCTCAGTCTCTCCGTCTATAAAATAGCGGGGCAGGCTAGTGTCTCTGAGGGCCGCTCAAGTCCAAGGTTCTGGGTTCTATCTCTTCTCGGGTGGGAGCCCCGATTGTCGGGTACGGGGTGCCTGAGAGGCTGTTCCCACCTGGCCTCCATGTCCACGATGTGCAGGGTGTCTTCCAGGAGGCAGGTCTTGAGCTCATAGTCCTCCTGGCTGCTGGCTGTCAGCGATGGGGACGCGTTGACCTCCAGGAGCCATCTGGGGAGGGAGGAGAGGGGGGTGTCTTAGGGTTACTGGTCCCTGGAGCTCCGGAAACTTCACTGAGAGGCTAGATGGGGTGCCTGGGCCTCATCCTCAATTCACCCAGAGTCACTCTCTCCACGTGGCTAAAACTTTTTGAAAACAACTGATACCCCACAGGGGCTGGGCTATGGTGAACTGGAAAGAGCATTCCATGTCCACAGGTCCGGCTGAGGCCAGCTCCAGGGGAGTGTTGCCCTGTAGGAGCGTGACCCAGGATTACATGATTGTCTTGTGTTTTCCAGAAAAGCCAAAAATCCAGATTTTGTGTGACCATCTCCCAATGTTTAGAGATTGTCACTGAACTTCAATGAAAAAGAAACAAAAACAAGATTCTGAAGGCCAAACTCCAGGTGACAACCCAATGGCCTCGTTTACAGCCTCTTGTTTTGTGTAACCCAGTCATTTACAGCCAGGAACCTGGGCACTGGAAGGGAATGGCTCACCCAGCAGGTCAGTGGGAGCCTCAGGTCCCACTTTCCACTATCTCCTGCCTCCTCCGAGTTTGTTTCCCCTGTCAGCATCCACTCTGATGCCCACAGCCGCGTCTTACCCCAGGCAGCTTTTGCATGACTTTTATCCCACGGGCACAGGAGAGAGACCCACTGGTACTGACCCTGTTTCTCTGAGCCTGGGCCTGATTTCGGTCTTGTCTTCTACTCCTGGCTCAGAAAGCCCCTCAGTACCATGCAGTGACCCTCAGGAGGTGCTGGGCCCCGTAGCTGCGGACTGGCGGGAGCAGCTCAGCCCAGGAGCTAAGACCATAGGTCTGGTTCTGCCCTTGACTTACTGGGTGACCTCAAGTTCCCAGAATAACCCCAAGGGTGTTGCATGAGGGCCATTGCTGTGGTCCCTGCCACCGCAGTTTGTTCTACTCATCAGTTCAACATCATGGACACTGAGGGATGCACCAAATTCTTGACAGGGATCAACCTGGTGAAGGCACTTTGCATCTGGAAAGCACCAGGGCTTACAGAGGGTCATTTTCTTGCTGGGACCAGAGGAGGATCCCCGACTCAGCGTATATTTAGGAAAGGCCTCTCAGTGCCAGCCATGAGGCTCAGTGCCCTATACTTCATTTATTCCTCACTACAATGTTATAGGCACAGCAACCATTTTACAATTGGGCAAACTGAGGCAACAGAAAGTGTGCCTAACTAGGAAGAGGCAGAGCTGAGGCCAGACCCAGGCTGTCTGGGTGGAACATGTGCCCTCTGGCTCTCCAGGGCCACAGGCCCATCCACTTACGGCTTGAGGTCCTGGTCTATGAGGATGTCATAGCCGTACAGCTCAAAGCAGTGCTTGTCACTGATGATCACCTTCTGCACGCTCTGCAGGCTCTTGATGAAGATGTTGTCCATGTCACTGAAGAGCGACTCCACTGCTTCTGGGCCGTGCTTGGACGCCAGGTACTGTCGGAAGCGCTGGAGCATCCATTTGCAGCCCTGGGGCCCGTGCACCCAGGTTGGGAGAGGGAGCCTTTGTTAACCGGGACCTGGGCTGCCCGGACCTTCCAACAATCAACGGGGCCCTCGGGCTTGGACTAGAGGAACCCATCCCTGAGGCCTATAACCAGGAGAACCCAAGGGTGTCCTTCCTTTTGGGACAAAGACTCTGTAAGCCCAAGGGGATGTGTCCAGCCAGAGAGTATGTGCCTCTCCTTCTAGAGCAGAGCCTAAACTCACAGCCCCAGTCCTTGCCCCAAATGCTCTGTGCAGGCCTCTTCCTGGGCCTACTTCCCGGATGACAGATTGCACTGACCATGTGTGCATCCCAAGGCCCAGAGAATGATCACCTGCTGTTTGTAGTAGGGTCGGGGGGTATGCAGGAGGCCCCCACTGTGCGGATATGAGCTGGGGGCCATTTCTCCCTGTGCACTTCTGTTCTGGCTCTTAACTCTTAGAAGTCATAGAATTCTAAATTTGAACCTGGCCTTGTAGGTTATTAGACAGAAGATAGGTAGATAGATGATAATAAATAGAAGCATATCTGTCAGGTCAGTAGGATAGCACATTTTGTCAGAGGGTATGCTAGTTTGGCTTATAACTTTTAAATATCCAGACACTATGCATGGGCCTCCGTTTGTACTCTTGCCCTGGGCACTGCAAATGGGAAGGGTGGGCCTGACTGCACTGAAAACTATGATCCCAAGACAAGCCTGTCCTGGGCTCTGTGGCACTCTAACTCATCACCCAGCCATCCCAGAGGCTGTGCCGGCGGGCGGAAGCCCAGCTTGCTCACCTTCTTTGGGTGGTAGTCAGGGGACGTCTTTTGCACGGCGACATTGGTGAGGTGCACATCTGGCCGAGGTTGGTGGTCAAGGATCAGTGCGGACAACAAGAGTGAGTCCTGCTCCATGTAGCCCCAGGGACCAAAGTAAGACCCTTCCTTGGGAATTGATGGGACAGGCACAAAAACAGCCCAGAGGTCACGCATGGGCTTTAGAGTCAGATGGGCCAGGGTTCAAATCCTGCCTGATTGTTACTGGCTCCGAGCCCTTAAGCAAAAAAAAAACTCTTAAAAGTCTATTTTCTTACATATTTGATGGGAGTACATCTACCTAATAAAAGAGTAACATGCTAATTGGCCATACCTTCACGATGCCCATCAGCCAATTAGGAGTGAGTATGCAAATTAACCCAACAAAGGTGGTGGGTTAATTTGCATACACAGGTGCCAAGCGGCTGGGGGCATTCTGCACCACCCCAGCCACTCCAGGCCTCTAGGCAGTGTGGGAAGGCAGAAAGGCAGCTCCAACCAGAGCAAAGGTGCTGCCGGCAGCCAGGGGAAGGAAGGCCCATTCTTGCATGAAACTTTGTGCATCAGGCCTCTAGTAATATGTTGACCTCACAGAACTATTTGAAAGATTAGATAACATTCTATATAGAAGCACCTCTTATAGTGCCAGCTATAGCTGTTATAATATTTTAACTCAAGAGGAGAACATTTTCTAACAACTAGAGAGACTAAATCCAGCCATCTTGGGATATTCTGTGCTTTCTGTCACCGGAGGGGTTTGTGCTGGGTGGCCACTTTGTAGGAATATTGAAAAAGTGATCCAGCTCTGAGGTGGGGTCAAGATGGCCTTTGAGGTCCCAGCTCTAAGAGTCTGCCTTTTGCTATCATCACCATGGTGACCACCAGTAACATCGACAACACTGTGGAGCTTACAGAGCATTTCTCACAAATCATCTCATTTGTTCCTCAAATTACTCCCATCTCAAAGAAGAGAAACGGAAGCTCAGAGAGGTAAAGGGACAGCCATTCAGAACACCCCTCCACCAACACTCTCCCTCCCCCAACACCTTCCCTCCCGCACTGCACTTCACCTCATGAAATAACCACGAGGTGTAACTTCCTCCAGGCTGACTGGGAGGTAGAGGTTCTAGGTAACTAACCCAACGGTAATTCCCCAAAACACGTGCTGCTCCCTGTTTGCAGCATGTCCGGCAGAGGAAGGCGGGCATCTTCGTTAGCACCATTGTTCTAGAATGTCTTCTTTAGAGATTTCCAAATACTTTTTTTTCCAAATTTGTCTGAGACTTCTTCTATCGTAATTTCAAAAGAATAAGCACATAACAAGCCACTAAATAATCAAAAGAGCCCTTAGGTTTATGGCCAACCGAGTTTTGAAAAGTGTGCCAAGGCAGGTCAGTGGGGGCAAGCATAGGCTTTTCAACAAATGGGCCAGGACGCCTGGATATGCACATGTAAGAGAATAAGGTTGGACCCTTCCTCATACTATAGACAGAAATTAACTCCAAATGCATCTTGGACCTAAACAGAAGAGCTAAAACTTTAATTCTCTTAAAAGTAAAACATAGAAATAAGCTTAGTCAGAGCTCCTTAGATGTGACACCAAAAGCATGAGTGACAAAAGAAAGAGTAGATAAGTTGAACCTCATCAGAATTAAAACCTTTTGTGCTTCGCTCTGGCCAGTTTTCAGTAGTTAGAGCACCAACCTGTGGACCAAAGGGTTGAGGGTTTGATTCCTGGTCAAGGGCACGTACCTTTGTTGCAGGTTTGATCCCCGGCCCCCAGTCAGGACACATGTGGGAGGCAACCAATCTAAACGTCTCTCTCACTTTAATGTTCCTCTCTTTCTCTCTCCCCTTCCTCCCTCCCTTCCACTTTCTCTCTAAAGATCAATGGAAAAAAACATTCTCAAGTGAGAATGAAAACACACACACACACACATATACTCCAAAACAACTTTTGTGCTTCAAAGGACATTATCCAGAAAATGAAAAGGTGGAGCACAGGATTTTTAGGGCAGTGGAAATACTCTGCATGATACAATAATGATGGAGACATGTCATTATGCATTTGTCCAAACCCATAGAAGTTACAGCCTTAATGTAAATTATGGACTTTGGGTGATTATGATGTGTTGATGTGGGTTAATGTTGATAACAGGGGAGGCTATGTGTATTTGTGGAGGCAAAATATGTGGGAAATCTCTTTACCTTTCTCTCAGTTTTGCCGTGAACAACAAAAAGTCTTTAAAAATAAATGACAGCCCACAAAAATGGAAGAGGATATTTGTAAGTCATGTATCTAAGAAGGAAATACTATTTAAAAAATAGGTAAAGAACTCCTATAGCTCAACAATTAAAGAGGCAAATAATCCAATTTAAAAGAGGGCTAAGACTTTGAGTAGACATTTCCCCAAAGAAGATTTACAAATGCCCAACAAGCACATGAAAAGATGTGTAGCTTGTCCAGTGTGGCTCAGTGGTTGAGTGTTGACTATGAACCATGAGGTCAACCAAACTAGAATCTATTCCTGGTCAGGACATATGCTTGGATTGTGGGCTTGATCCCCAATGCGGGGCATACATGTGGCAGCCAATTAGTGATTCTCTCTGATCATTGATTTTTATATATCTCTCTCCCTCTCCCTTCCTCTCTGAAACCAATAAAAAATTGAACCCTGACCTCCTGATTCACAGGTCAACGCTCAACCACTGAGCCACACTGGCCAGGCTGTTTCTACATTTTACTATTTCAATGTTGAGGTGAATATTTTTGTATTTTGTGTTTATATATTGACTAATTTATCTATAAACAATATATATCAAACTATTATATATTTTTATGCACAATTATAAAAGTCAGGTTAAAAACATGTCTTAAGGCTTTGTGATCCAAAGTTGGTTTATTATTTTAAAAGTTGGTGTGTAATATCTGAAGCAAATGTGGCAAAATATTAATATCTGTTCTACTTGATGTTAGATGCATGGATTTCTGCAGTTTTAAAATATTTTTTTTAATCTTTCAATATTAAAAGTTAAAAACAATTAGAAGGGGTGGAAAATGACACACAGTCACTCACTGGGGAAGCAGCAAAGCCTCATTAAATAGAAACTCGCGCTGGGCCTTGGTCTGTTTGAGAAGTGCCCGTGACGCCTAGAAGTCGGCAAACACTTGGAAATGGGAGAGCGGTGCCCCTCCTTGTCCTCAGCAGCCACTCTGGGCTTGGCACTGTTCTAACTACATTACCTGCATCATTTAATCTTAATTAAAACCAAATAAAATGAAAACAAGATGGAAAACAAAATGAAATTAAAATAAATTTGATGGCTTGCATCTGATAAATGCTTGTTAGATTAAAAAAAAAAAAAGAGCACATACACACACACACACACACACACACAGGAAATGTTGACGTTGGTAAAAAAAAAAAAAAAAAATTCTCAGGAGGGCCTACTCCCACCCTAACATGCAGGCAAGGCAAATGCATTACCTTGGACAGTCACTTAATCGAATGATGGAATTAAGGCTGACTGCTGTGAATTGGCTAAAAGCATTAGCTGGATCACCCAGATCAGCAGCTCAGCAGCCTCATCTTCCATTCCCGTCTCTCCCATAAGTAGGCAATCCAACCCTGCTGATTTACCTTTGAGTATTCCTGCGCTGTTTATTCCTTTTTATCTGATGCTCGGGTCTAAAAATCTTAAAAACATTTAAAAATATTTTTACTAATTTCCAAGAGGAAGGGAGAGGGAGAGAGAATCGTTGATGGGCTGCCTCCTATCCCCCACTGGGATGGAGCCCGCAAACTGGACATGTGCCCTGACAGGGAACTGAACCACGGCCTGCTGGTACATAGGTTGATGCTCAACCACTGAGCTACACCGGCCAGGCTTAAAAACATTTTTTGATGTTGATATTTTAAACAGACAATAGATTCACATGATTCAAAAGGTATAAGGATGTATATAAGGAAATGGCGCCTTCACACCAGATTATTTCATATCAGTCCATAAAGCATTTCCCCCATTCCTTTTTAACAATGAACCTGGTCCATTGTATGAATGAACCACTCCTCTAGCCGTTTCCTGTTCTTTCACTTTCACAAACGAGGTTGTACATACAGTGAATAGCCTTTAAGCCTCCGTTTTCCTACCTTGTGAGCGGAGCTGTAGGAGAAAGAGCCAGAAGGAGAATTGCTGGGTCAGAAGGTATGTGCATTTGTCTTTCAATGGACATTTCCCAGATTGCCTCCTAATAAGGCACCAATGTACACGCCCACCAGTAATGTATGCATTCTCCCAACCTTTCCAACACAGAGTCTTATCAAATCTTTGTTCCCTACCAATTAGATGGGTGCAAATGGCATTGTATTTGAGTGAATGAGTGAACCAATGACTAGGCACTGAAGAAAAGGGTGTGAAAGGATGTAAGGCTCTCCAAAGGGGCTCAAAGTGTCCAATCTTATGAATACTAACAGATGTGAACATTAGATCCAGCGAATACCAATCAAGGCGAATGGCAGGACCATCCAGCAGGACTGTGTAGGGTGAGCTGCTCTGAGCGGAGCAGGGCTGTTGTCCTCAGATCGCTGGGGCCTCTCACCCCCACAAGACTGGAAGCTCCAGAGGGAAGGGACCAAGCCTGTTTCTCCTGTGCCCAGACCAGAACCTGGCATCCAGCAGGCGCTCAGCACACATCTGTGGGATGGATGAGCTCTCTCCAGACTGCCAAAGGACAGGAAGGGAAGGGTGCATGGGGGGTGAGGGGGTGCGATCCCAGGATACACTGGTCATCAATGCTGCTGAGTGTGAAGCGGGTGTTGGAGAAGCGGGCGAAGCCGTCCCGGTACAGCCAGGCCCGCAGGGGGATGTACTGTGGCAGAGGAGGGAACGGAGGAAGACAAAGAGGAAGGGCAATAAATACGTGTGCTTTCACGCTTACTAGCTTTCGTGCCTGCTGTTCCCTCCACCTGGTGGGCCCTTCCTTCTATCCCACATCACCCTTCCAGAATCTGCTCCAATATCAGCTTCCTTTGATTCTACCCCCCTCTTTCTCTGGGGTGGGGCAGGGGCAAGATGCAGAAGAAAACAAAATGATGGGCTTCTTCTCTGCTCACCCCCACGTGTGACACCCCCACCTCAGGGTGTGTCCACAGTTCCCATTGGACGGTGGGTGAGCTTATCTCCTTATATCCAACATAGAGCAGTGCACCATGGAGGTTTAAATGTTCGTTGAATGAATGGCCTGGCCGGTGTGGCTCAGTGGTTGAGCATGACCCATGAACCAGGAGGTCATGGTTCAGTTCTCGGTCAGAGCACATCCTTGAATTTCAGGCTCAATCCCCAGTAGGGGGCGTGCAGGAGGCACTTGATCAGTGATTTTCTCTCATCACTGATGTTTCTATTTCTCTCTCCCTCTCCCTGCCTCTCTCTGAAACCAATAAAAACATTTTTTTTTTTTAATGAATGAATGGGTGCAGGGAGAGAGAAACTCCTTAATTAAGAGACTAGTAGGTTCTGGAACTAGGCTGCCTGGATTGTAATCCCAGCTCTCACCAGCTGTGTGACCCTGAGCAAGTCATTCAACCCCTCATCTGTTTCCTCGCCTGTGAAATGAGTAACAGAACCTCCCTCCCTGGTTAGTAGAGGACTGAAGAAGATAAAACATGCTAACTCTCAGAGCCTGGGACTTGGTAGGCTCTCAATAAATGTTAGTTGTGGTTACCATAGAGAACAGAATGAATAAAAGGGACAGGTAGAGGGCACATCCAGATGCTGGGCGTCTAAGATGGTAAAACTTAGATCATTTACCAGCCCTCACTCGCCCTCAGTGGTCCCCCCACACTCTTCCAGGCAGACAAAGTCAGACACACTCACACAGGGGCCCCAGAATGGCTTTTGGCCCCTGTCCCTGAGTCCAGCGGCCCCTTACCCACGCTGGAGGAGGGCACCTGTCTTAGTTACTCACCGACATCACCAGCACGTAGACACGCAGGTCAAACTTGCGGCCTGTGAGGCAAGGAAGTAATTAATGTAACAAACACTGGTTGTCAGGCACTGTGCTGGGTTTGGGGTATGGCAGTGGACCCACTGGTATGAATGCCAATAAAAAACACACAAAGTGCAGGTGTCTCCCTCACCCAGGCAGGAGAAACCGCATGACCAGAGGCCCAGGGAGGTAAAGACCTTGGGCCAAGAGCTGAGTGGAGGGAGACGGGGTCAGCAGGGGCCAGGTCATGTGCAATGTTTGGATTTTGGTCCACCCGCCCTGTGGAAAGCCGCTGAGGTGTCACTGCCTCTGGCTCCTGTGTTAGCGGGGACAGAGCAGCAGCGGGCACAGGGAGGAGGCCAGCACAGCTGTCCAGGAGAGAGGACAGTGGCAGCACAGGGATGTGGGCGGCCAGACAGATTCAAGAGCTGGGAGATTGGTGAAGAACCGAATGTGGGAGGGGAAGAGAGGGATACACCCAGAACGGTCTGACTTCTGGCTTAGCAACACGGGGAGACTGGGGTTGTGTCCCTAGATGGGAGGTCTGGAGAGTGAACCAGATGGTGTGGGAGGACAGGGCTGGATTTCTGCATGTGGGGTTTAAGTGGCTGGGAGATGCTTAGAGGGGGATGCTCAGGACTTGGGGTGTGGGGGCAAGGTCTCCACAGAAAGCTGAGACATGCCACAGAGAGAAGGCGGGGTCACTGGGGGAGACAGGGGAGCGGGGAGGAGAGGCCAAAGGGCTGCCCTGGAGAAGAATATTACCCAAGGGCTGAGAGGTGGCGAGTGGATGAACAGTATTTAATGATGCCCTTTAGCACCCGCCCCTCTCAGATGCTGAGACCCCCAGAGCCACGCCCCCCTCACATGCCTGACATGCCTGCATTTCACAGGCCCCGTGCGGGGAAAGCAGATGTGCAGATGCCCCGGGGTATTCTGCAGAGACTTCATGGGAGGGGACCAGGTCGTGTGAACACAATGAAAACCACTGGGTGAATTGTGTGTATGTGACTATATCTCAATAATGCTGTCATTGAAAAATAGGAAAAGAGGGCATTTGGGCAAAGTGAACAAAGTAAAATAACTTTGCCCAAGGTCACACAGCTCTAAGTGGCAAGGTCGGGATTTGAACCCAGGCAATCTAGCTTAATGGAACCCACAACCATTGACAGACTCACCTCAGGCCCTAGGCCCCTGCAGCTACCTCTCCCTCCAAGTCTACCCACAGGTGACTCCTAGCTGTCACTCAGGTTTCAGCTCACCCGTCACCTCAGAGAGGCCCTCCCTCACTCTCTGTCCCAGCACCCCGCTTGATTTACTTCATAACACTCTGTGGAACTAGCTTAATAGCTTATTTGTTTGGTTCTGGTTTAATGCTGTCTGCTCATCTAGGGCATAAGTTCCATGAGAGCAGGGTCGGCAGCCAGCACTCAGGACACTGGCCGGCACTGAGTAGGTTCTTTATAAATATCTGTTGGATAAACACATGAATGAGTTGGTTCTTGGAAAATGAGGGGAGTTTTAGGGAACCAAGGAGGGAGGGAGAAGGGCATGCCGGGCAGAGGAGCGGCACAGGCGACAGCGAGGAGGTGGGAGAGTGCAGGACAGATCTCCATCTTTGCATCAAATCACGCCTGGCGCCAGGCCAAGCCCTCAGTAGGCAGGCTGCTAGTCAAGGCTGGTTGACTGACTGACTGACTGATGACGGACCACGCAGTGGGAGAGCAGGGAGCAGAGACAGTCCTCACCTCCTATCAGATAGGGGTTTTCGATATAACGCTGCGCTACATAATTCTCCACAGGAATTTCTTCTTTCTGGTCATCCGAACATCTTGAGTCCTAGTTATAACGATAATAATAATAATTAATTATTATTATTATTATTAACATTTATTGAGCATATCCTGTGCACTAGGCACTGTCTTACACACTCTACTTGAGGTATATCATTTGATCCTTCAATCAACCCTATCAGGGAAATTGTAATGTCACCCCCGTTTTACAGATGAGAAATTAAATCACAGGGAGGGGGAATGACTTGCCCAAGGTGACATGCGGGTCAGTGGCACTGCTGGGAAGTGGACCCACACAGATTGGGTCCAGAACCTGGCATTTAACCCAATAGGGCAGCCACTGGCCATATGTGGCTATGTACATTTAAACTGGTTAAAAGAAAGTGAATTGACATACTACAGCAAGGATGACCTTGGAGAGATCATGCTAAGTGAAAGAAGCCAGACACAAAAGGACAAATATGGTTTGATTCCACTTGAATGAGGTACCTAGATGAATAAAATTCATGTAGACAGGAATGGAAAGGTGGCCTCCATGGGCTGGCGGGAGGGGAGGACGGAGAATTGCTGTTTAATGGGCACAGTGTCAGCTGGGGAAGATGAAGACATTCAGAAGATGGTTGGTGGTGCTCGGCCTATGTGGCTCAGTGCTTGAGCATCAGCCTATGAACCAGGAGGTCACAGTTCGATTGCCAGTCAGAGCACATGCTCGGGTTGTGAGCTTGATTCCCAGTGGGGGATGTGCAGGAGGCAGCCGATCAATGATTCTCTCTCATCATTCTCCCTCTCCCTTACTCTCTGAAATTAAAAAAAAAAAAAAAGCAAATGTTTGGGTTTTTTTTTTTTTACACAGATGGTAATGGTTGTACAACAATGTAAATGGAATGAATGTCACAAAACTGTATACTTAAATATGGTTAAAAGGGTAAGTTTTACATATATTTTACCACAATAAAAAAGAAAATAAGCCAAAACCGGTTTGGCTCAGTGGTAGAGCGTCGGCCTGCGGACTGAAAGGTCCCGGGTTCGATTCCAGTCAAGGGCATGTAACTTGGTTGCGGGCACATCCCCATCGATGATTCTCTCTCATCGATGTTTCTAACTCTCTATCCCTCTCTTCCTCTCTGTAAAAAATCAATAAAATATATATTTAAAAAAGAAGGAAATAGGTTAAAAACCCAGTCCTTCAGTCACATTAGCCACATTTCTGGCCAAGGTCAACAAGTGCTAGTGGTCACCATATCGGGAAGCACACAGGGAACACCATTTCCACCCCTGTGGAAAGTTCCATTGGTCAGTGCTGCCTGTGACCACTCAGGCCCCAGGGACATGCCTCTCCCTCCTCTGCCTGCTCATGCTTTGCTGGCCAGCCCAGCTCCAGGAGACAGCGGTGACCTCACACACGTGCGCAGCGCCTCAGCCTGCACAGCCCTTGCCACTCACACTGTTCCCTGCAGAGGAACTTGGTGAGAAAGCTGAGGCCCAAAGGCAAGCCTCACACACTTGTTGAGGTCACAGGACAGACCAGTGGCAGGGGGCCCCGAAACCCAGGGATTCTGGCCCCAAGGGTGGCCCCAAGCTATTTCAACACAGAGGCAGCCCTTCTTAGGACCCGGATGCCCCCATATAGGTACTCACGTGGCTGCCAGAGGGATTGACAGCACTCTGGGCCTGCTGGGCCTGCAAGCTGGTGAGCTTTTTCCCAGCAGTGCCCTGATAGTTTCATGGAAGGAGTCAGGATATGCGGTGGAGGGAGGAAATTCATTGATTGGGCACCTGCTGTGAGCCTGCTAGTGCAGTAGGTGCTGGATGTGTAGGAGTTTGATCATCTTGCTCCTCTCACCCATCCTGCACTGTTACCATCTCTAAGGTTCAAAGAGGTTCAGCAATTTCCCCAAAACCACACAGCTTCTGGGTATTGGAGGCCAGATTGGAACCAGAATTTCTACTGAGTCATGTCTTGGGACATGATAGGGGAAGAGGGGACTAGGACCTAGGAAGTTAACCAAACTGCCCCCAGCTGGGTAAGCAGGAGGCCCAGGTAATGCAATGTTCTCAGGTTTCAGGCATATTAACTCATTCTCAGCAGGTACTGTTACTCCCGTACTTCTCCCTCATTTAGCTGGGCACAGAGAGGTGAAGTAACTTGTCCAAGGTCACACAGCTATTAAGAGGCAAGATCAGCATTTGAACCCGGGCAATCTGGTTCCAGAGACTTTGTACCCATTGGGAGGACCCATGGGCAGAACTTCTCTGCCAGCCCTTCAAGTTTTCAGGGAGGGAAAGAAAGGCTCCTTGTCCCAGTGAGCACAGAGGGTTTAGGGAGGAAGCGGGAGAGGCGAGCTCACCTTCCTCCAGTCCATGATGTCCTTCAGCTTCCGGAATAGGAAGATGCCCTTCCCCTGGGACCGGGCTACCTGGGGTGGGGGTGGGGGGGATGCAGAAAGGTCAGCATTCGGCTCTTTGTGGTTCCTGGTGTACCCCATATGCCGGGACCCTCCCCAGCACGTCTGTCTCCATCTCCCTCATGGCCCTCCTGCTCTTCCCTGAGGAATGGCCCAGCCCAGCCCTGAGGAGGTGGAACAGGGAAGGTGCTACGCCTGGAAGGAGGGTGAGGCAGAGAGGAAAGTGAGAGACCAGCTGAGCTCACAAAGGCATCAGTTGCATGAATAATACAAAAGAGCGGATGATTAAAAAACCCATTTCTAGCAGTCCTGGGAACATAGCATCCAATTCTTTTTTTAGAAATCAATTTGCCTTCCTAATTAGGTTTTCCTTCGGCTAATCCTGAAATCAGTCTGCCTTCCCTGAATGCCAGCATGGATAATTCATAGCTTCACAGAGGCGAGGGGCTGGGAGAATCTTTAATATAATGCAAAGCCCTCAGTACCAGAGGCTTTACTTCCTCCGTGACATCCTCTTCGACGGTCACCTGCCTGGCCTGGCACATCCATTGGTTGCAGAGTAGCTCTATTAAGCAGTCATCCGAAAGGTATACAGTAGGTGTCTACTGTGTGCTGGGCATTATGCTATAGCAATAACCTCGTGAAGTTTTCACAGCCTAACTTGTTTTGAGCTAAATTTTGCCTGCCTGGCTCCGGCGTCTAGGACCCCCTAGGACGAATCTGATTCCTGGGTCCGTTAGTTATCTTCAGCCACTGAGCAGGCCCCCCAAGTCATTTTTTCCTCCAGCATGAAGGCCTTTAGAAGAAAAAAACTCATTTCTCTCTCTTCTCCCCTGAGCACGGCCCTGCTGGCCACTGTGGGGCTCTCTGTACAATGTGGGGGCAGGCAGAGTTGTCAGGCTCGGCTGTGCAGGTGGCCCCCCTACACAAAGGGCTCCCAGTCATGGGGGCAGTGGGGGCTGAAACCCCGCCTTCTCTGTCTGCTGTGCTGTGCACCCCGGTTCAGGTTGGGTGTGCCCAGGAGACGGGGTGTCCAAAAACGGCGGAGCACTATGGTGGCGCAGGGGCAGCAGCATGCACAGCTGTTTTGGAAAGCAACTAATAATCAGTGTGCTCCAAGGGCTCCCAAGAGTTCATGGCCGCACAAAAGATTTACATTCACTTCACAGAAGACAATGAAGAGGCACTTTAGAAGTCTCACACTTTTAAGTTCCAATGAAAACAATGAAGAGGCACTCAACTGCATCAGTGTTCAGAAAAATGCCAGCGAAAACTGCAACATGACACCACTACACACTCCCTGGGAGTGACTGACACAGAAGACAGGCAAGTCCTAGTGCTGGGGAGGCTGTGGAGGGGCTGGCACTCTCACCGGTGCGGAGAGTGTGGGGTGTGTGGAAACTCTTTGGCAGCATCCCCTAGGCTAGTGTTTCCCAAACTTGTGACATATGTGTACCCCTTCTATAATTTTCGTAACGCTGAGTACCCCTTGTACTCATGAGAATGTAGAATTAGGTGCAGCTTAGCACGGTGCAGTGCATATCCCCACCAAACTCCGGTGCAACGCGTACCCCCACCAAACTCTTCCCAAACCGCACTTTGGGAAACACTGCACTGAACACAGGCACCCCTGTGGCTCAGCAATTCCTCTCCTGGGCCCTTACACAGGCGCATGGGCACCCACGGGCATGTGCAGGAACGCCCATGCAGCACAATTCATAATAGTTCCAACCTCAATACTCCCAAGTAGACAAATATTCACTCAGTAGAGCAGTAAACAATGATGATAAATCATAATTTGCATTTAACTGGGATTGAGGGCGATGTCCAGCTGCTCCGCTAACCATCTCTGGAGTCAACCTATCATCATAACTTTAGAAGTCTCACACTTTTAAGTTCCAAACCCAAGGGTTTGTTCTTACATTCCCTGAGAGTGACAGCCCAGCTCTGTCCCACACCAAGTTTACTGAATCAGACTCCGTGGGAGGGAGGCGCATTACTAAGCTCTCCAGAAAATTCCCATTTACTCTCAAGTCTGAGAATTACTGCTGTACTCAGTGTTGTTCAGGGACAGGGGCAATGGCAAACGCATTAATTCCCTTTACCGCTGAGGAAATGGACTCAGAGGGGTTGAGTGACTGCTCAGGATCTCAGAGCTCATAAGTGGCAGCTACAGGGTTAGAACTCAGGCTAGCCTGGCCTGTTTGGCTCAATGGACAGATAGGGTGTCGGCCTGAGTATTAAGGGTCCCAGGTTCCATTCTGATCAAGGGCACATGCCCAGGTTACAGGGGAGGCGCAGGAGGCAGCCAATCAGTGATTCTCTCTCATCATTGACATTTCTACCTCTCTTTCCCTCTCCACACCTTACACCCAAGACAGGGTGCCTCAGCTACTCAGGAAGGAGAGCAAGTATGCGCACACACACACACACACACACACACACACACACACACACAGCCAAGATCCCTCCTCTTAATTACAGCTATAAAGGCCGTGGGCTGGGAAAAGGAATCAACTTAATATGCGAGTGCTCGCTCCCAATTAGCACAGACTATCATGGAGAGGATAATGGCTGCTGGGAGCTGGAACCCGCAGGTGGGCTGCAGCGTCCATCTGCCTAAGCCCTTGTGCTCAGCTTCGCGCCTCCTCACTGTGCCTCTCAGGCAGGGATGCCAGCCTTCCGGCAGACGGATCAGGAGGCCGGGGGAGGTCCGGCTCAGTCTTCGCTCACTGAGCATTTCTGAAAAGCTTGAATAAGTAGGTCTAAGCTCCTCACCGTCACAGTGGGACTGGTAGGACCTCCTCCCAAGGACCACAAGACCTGGGCAGTGCAAGGACGCACTTCCCACCAAAGCCGGTTTGGCTCAGTGGTAGAGCGTTAGTCTGCAGACTGAAAGGTCCCGGGTTCGATTCCGGTCAAGGGCATGTACCTTGGTTGCGGGCACATCCCCAGTGGGGGGTGTGCAGGAGGCAGCTGGTCGATGTTTCTCTCTCATTGATGTTTCTGGCTCTCTATCTCTCTCCTGTTAAAAATCAATAAAATATATTTAAAAAACAAACAAAAAAAAAAACAAACCGCACTTCCCATCCATGTCTCGGGTTTCCTTTATGGCAGGAAGAGAGGCAGGGATCTGAGCTCCAGCAAGGCCCTGGATTCACTGCTGGATTCACTGCCCTGGTGCCCTGAGGACCACATGTTCCCCTACCAAACGCTTATTGAGCACCTATGGTGTACTGGCATTCCTAGCTGCTGGGTCCACACCCTGCGGAGAGGAGATGAAGTTGGCCCCTCAGGCGAGGCAGGCGGTGCATCTGAGACAATTACCAGGCAGGGTCCTGTCCTGAGATGCGCCCTGGGACAGCCCTGCCCCCTGGTCCTTGGCACTGGGCACTCACAGGCTTCATGATCCAGGTGATCCCTGGGTTTTTACGGAACTCCTCCACAAACAGGTGGTACTCGCACGGCATCTCGAAGGTTTTGGGGAAGAAGTCGCACTTGGCTGCCTCCAGCTTTCCTGCCTCGCGCTCCAGCTGTTTCCGGAACCGCTTCAGGTTCTTGACCATGTAGTTCTTGCGGGTCAGCTGAGCAGGGGGTGAATGGGCAGGCCATTAGCCCCACTCCACCTCCAACCCCACCCATCCCAACTGCCCCACTGCCTCCATTGTCTGGCCCACGAAGTAACAGTGACTTTGACTAACTAAGCGTAACTTTAGCCTGCTATTCTCTCATTCTCCCCACTTTACAGCTGAGGAAGTGGAGGCTCAGAAAGGTTTAGGAGGTTGCCCAGGGCTATGCAGCTAACAGGCAGCACAGCCAGGCTTTGACCCAGGTCTGATTGTGCCATACAAACTTTTAAAAATTTCCCACTCCTGGCTTCTCCAGCCTCATCTTTGTGTTCTGGTCCCACCTGGACCTCCCTCCTATCTCTAGATTCCAAACTGTTCAACTTGTCTCTACCCTGAGGTCACCCAGGCGCTCAAGCATCCTGCTCCTTTGGCCCTTGTGCCCAAGCCAACCTGACCTTCACATCTCTACTGCCGAACCACCACCCAGCCCGGACCTCCAACCCCACCCCAAGACAGCCTATTCCTCAGGCCTTAGATCCTTACTCCCTCTCACTAGTTAGCCCGTCATATATCTACTGTACACATTGCCCACCTGGCATGCACACCTTTCATCCTGGTTCTTGTAACCCCAAACTAGTTCCTGTTCATTGCTACAACCAGTGGCAGGCATTGGCTGACTCAGTCCCCTCAGCCCACCAGCTTACCTCGTAGTGGTTTCGGAAGTGACTGATCCGCACGTGTTCATCCATGTAGGTGTGGTCGAAGTTCTCCCGGAGCCAGCTGACGTCACACCAGTAGAAATCCCACTCCCCTTCGCTGGGAGTGGGGTGGGACAAAGGTCATGGCCTGAGGACCTCCGCACTGCCGGGAGTCTGGGGCCCTGGGAGGTACAGCTAAGGGGTCAGCAGCAGTGTGTCTATTAGGAGTCTCCAGGAGGTGGCCGTGGGCCACTGCTGACCACAACCTGCTTTGGTAGGCTAGAATGACAACCAGAGAAACATTCCTACCAAGATCCAGGCTGGTGGTTTCCAGTGAGTTCAGATATTACTTCCTGGCACATATTGGCCAAATTGCTCTTCTATAATTATCCCCACTATAATTATCCATGTCAGACAGACACACCCTTCATATCACAGCCCCCACCACTCCCTATGGCCTGTGACAAGCAGCCAGCCTCACCTGATCATGTTACCTGCCTGGGTCTTGGAAGCATCCTGGGGCTGCCACCCCCACGCTCACATTACCAAGCAGTGGAATTAGGTAACATTTGCAAGACCCTTTGAGTTCAAAAGGCCCTTTCTTACTGAATCCTCAGAGCAGCAGCTCTGGAAGTGACTAGGATCACACCTCGAGCCCTAGGACAAGGATGGGCTTGCTCACCCAGGACAGAGCATCAGGATTCACACCCAGGCCTGCCTGACTCCAAATTCCGACCTTATTCTTCACCACCATGACAGGGAGAGAGACAGAGACCAGACTGATCTATAAATCTGACACCAGAGCTGGGGTGGAGGTGCTTGAAAAAGATGTGAACTAAAATAATACCTCCATGATTACTTCTAAATTTTTAAGTAAAAAATTAGATATAACTGAAGTCCCATGTATCTTCTTTCCTGCCCCAAAGGAAGCTACTAGCCTGAATGTGGTGTGTGTCATTTCTATGAATGCTTTTACAGCTTTACTATGTACATGAGTGTATTCATCTACAGCACATGGCCTTGTTTGGCATGTTTTTAAACTTTCTAATAGCTAATACTTATTGCTTACCATGTGCTTGACGCTGTTCTAAACACTACAAATATTAACTCATTGACCCTCATAGCAATCCTAGGTATTATTGGGTCGGCAACTAAGTACTTGCGGATTTTTTAAAGAAAATCAAAGACAATTTTTTCATGGAACTAAATAACTTTATTCTGTAATGTATTGCCCATTTTGATCAATGACCTCTTGCCATCTTTCAGGCAGCATCATAATCCCACGTTCAAAAAACTTCTGGTTTTTATTAGCAAAAAACTGAATCAGGTACGATTTGACATCATCATCATTATTGAAATTTTTACCATTCAAGGAGTTTTGTAAAGATCGAAACAAAAAGTAATCAGATGGTGCAAGGTCAGGACTATATGGTGGATGTGGCAAAACATCCCAACCAAGCTCCATTAATTTTTGCCGAGTGACCAAAGATGTGTGTGGCCTTGCATTGTCATGATGGAATACAACACCTTTTCGATTTGTCAATTCAGGCCGCTTTTCTTCAACTGCATTGTTTAATTTCATTAGTTGTTCAATGTAGACATCAGAATTGATCGTTCGGTTGGGTGGTAAGAGTTCAAAGTAGACAATTCCTTTGTAATCCCACCAAACTGATAACAAAACCTTCTTTTGATGAATATCAGCTTTTGATGTTGTTTGAGTTGGTTCACCTGGCCTGCTCCACGATCTTTTCCGCTTGATATTGTTGTAAACAACCCATTTTTCATCGCCAGTTATCAGTCGTTTTAAAAATGGATCATTTTCATTACGTTTCTTTAGCAAATCGCAGCTGCTAATGCGTTGCGTTAACTGTGATTCTTTCAGTTCGTGAGGAACCCATGTATCGAGTTTTTGAACATAGCCAAGTTGTTTTAAGTGATTTTCAATGCATGTATGTGATACATGAAGCTTCTCTGCAATCTCACGTGTTGTACTGTGACAGTCCGAATTGATTATTGCTTTGATTAGGGCGTCATCAACTTCAACTGGACGACCAGAGCGTTTTTCATCTTTGAGTGAAAAATCACCAGAACGAAATTTGGCAAACCAATTTTGACACTGCCGTTCTTTTAAGGCTTCGTCACCATAAACAGCACATAACTTTTTATGAGCTTGCAATGCGTTTTTCCCTTGTGGAAATAAAAAAGCAAAATATGACGAAAATGTTCCTTTTGATTTTCCATTTTTCAACGAACGCCAAACGAAAACTACAAAACCGATCAAAAAACTTTTTTCACTGATTAACAGCTGAATAGCCAACTACCAAATAACAAAATGTGTTTTACATTTGTACTACGTCTGCAAACCTAAAAATTCAACTGAAGCCATATGTGTGTGAAACCCGCAATTACTTAGCTGCCGACCCAATAGGTTCTATTATTAAGCCCATTTTACAGATGAGAAAACCGAGGCAGAAAGATGTAAAGGAACTCACCTGAGTTGATACAGCCAATAAGTTGCAGAGCTTCTGAGACCAAGCTCTGTGGTTAGAACCACTACTGACTATTGCCTTTTACAACTTGCTTTTCCACCAACTTTTTGTTTTGGATGAATTAATAAATAGTGCATTATTCATTCATTCATCCAACACATGTGTGTTGAGGTTATCTCTGTGTTAGAGATGATGTTGGGTGCATTGTTGGGTATAAGACATGGGAGAAACCAAAACAACTGGCCAAGTGGTGCATATAATACCACAGTGAATATTAACAATAAACAAAGAAACAAAAAAAATAGCTCTATAATGAGGAACTGTGAAATATGCCAAGAGCAATCCAGTAGGAGGCCATGAGGCAGAGTAGCTGAGGGACCTATGTTGGGTGGAGGCCACCATGTGGAAGTGATCACTTGACTGAGGCCTTAATAGTAAGGATGAGGGGAGGGCAGGAGATGAGGCCCTGAGGTTGGAAAGAACAGGTTCAAGAATGTGAAGAAAGGCCAGAGTAGAGGGAGAAAGGTCATAGATGGGCTGGAGAAGGGCAGGGCCCATAGCAGTGCTCTGTAGGCCATGGTGCATACTTGGGGTTCTTTTCTAATTCCAAAAGTTCATTCATTTGTACATCATCTTCATGATCATCACAGTCAGGTTGCTCTTAGATCACCCAGGAAGACATTAAGCTGCTCAACAAGGACAGCAGAGACTCAGGTTCCTTCTACCTTCCCATTCTGCCATCCTTAACATGTTGTCCTCATGCTCATCACCCAAAGGTATCACGTCATCTTTCTTGGTGGGAAGCAAAGAAAGAGACAGCTCTGGCCACATCTATTCCAAATACCTGACAGGCTGATGGTCTGAATGAGACCTCATTCTATCTGGAGATACTAGACCTCAGGTTAGGTCCAAAAGGGTGAGGCCTCCCATCCACAGAGTCAAGTCTGGTGTAATGGCCCTGGCCTCTGGCTCTTCCTCATTTGAGGACCCTGAGACAATTTGGGATCAGTCATGAAGCAACCTGCTTCATGGACTCCCACACCATTAGCACAAGACAAACCTTCAAACCATGGAGCAAGGCTGAGGAGGGGCAGTGGACAGCCTGAGCCCACAGAGCAAAACAGGAGAGAGCCCCTTCCTACACAACACATGCATGTGCCAGTAACCTTTCTCTAATCCATCAAGCCCCTCCCCCACCCTCCATTACACCAGGCAGTGGGAATCCTGAACTCATCCTTTGGCTCATTTGTTCCTTCATTCACTGCGAGGCTGCTAGAATAGGGCAGAGATGAGGCTGGGACTCTGCAGACGGACTGGGTACAAATCCTAGCACAAGCTCGTACAAACAGAATGACCTCAAACATGACATTATTTGCTCTTTTGTGTCCAGTTTTCTCATCAGTAAAATGGGGATAATAATGGCACCTACCTGGAAGGTTTGCTGGATAATTCAAAGAGATTGTGCATGTAAAGTGCTGAAGAGTGTCTAGCAGGCTTAGCTATTGTTATGCAACAGATATGTATTGAGCACCATGACAGGGTAGCTGGTTGTCCTCCCCTTTTTCTATCGTAGTAGAAATCCCAACATTTACCATTCTACATTTTCCAGATTCCCCTGCAGCTAGGTGTGGCCACCTGGCTAAGTCTCAGCCGGTGAAATGGGACTTTTGGGTTGTGTCCTTTAAGGGCAGAGCATGTCTTTTCTTGCCTCCTTCCAACCCACGGCTTTTAGAATGTGGATGTAAGGCCGGAGCTCCATCTGAGACTGTGGAAGAAAAGGGCCTCATTCAAGGGATAGCAGAGTGGAAAGACAGAAGCATATGGATCCCACATTTCCATACCATCTCTTAACATCCTACATCTGTTCTTCAGTGGGAGAGGTAAGTCAACTTGCAGTGTGTCAAAGCCTCTTTTACTTTGGGTCTCTGTTACATGCATCCAAACCCTAACCTTAGAAACTAATATTAGCACCTACTATGTGCCAGACATTGTAACCGTACTCATCTCATTATCCTCAGGGCTCAGCGTAGAAGAAAAAAAGTAGGCTTAAGTAACTTGTTAAGTAACTTGTCCAAGGACACAGAGGTAGTAAGTGGCCAGGGGAGAGCAGTCCTGACCTGGACCTGTCATCACTAGATTCTCGCCAGCAGGTCTGTGATGGCTGCACTTCTTGTTTTACAGAGAGCCACGAGACATTGCTAGAATGCGGCCGCGATGAGCCTGGCATATTTAAGAGAAAGGCATGTATTTTCTTGCCTCCTTCCAACCTATGGCTCTTGGATGTGGATGTAAGGCCGGAGCTCCATGACACGGAGCTGTGGAATAACAGAGCTGGGTTTGAATTCCACTCATGTACTCTGTGACCTTAAGCAACTGGCTTAATCAGATGTTTCTGGATGCTTATCAGGCTTAAATAAAACAAACATAGCATCAATAATGTGCCTGACACATGTGGGTGCTAAATAAACGTTGGCTCCTGGCACAGACAAATTGGGAGGAGTCCCAGTAGCCACCCAGAGGAACTGGGAGAAAAACAGGAAGACAAGGACCTGTGAGACAAAGGGAGGGAGGGATGAGGTTGGAGGCGGGAGGTCTTACTCCTTTACTTCTACCCATCCCGGCCTGCGGCGAAGGACATCCATAAGCGTGTTCATAAGAGTAGTCTTGAACCGGATTGATGCTCTCTGCTCTCTGAAAGACAAGGCAACAGGACACTTGCTGAGGATCAACTATTTCTCTAGGATGGTCCAGGGGGAGGCAAAAAAGGGAAAGAAAGGAAATGCCAAAAAGTGGAATGACTGAATTTCAGAATTTAGCATATAACACGCAACACTTAAAATAATCAAATTGAAAACTATAGCATATTTAGATCATTGAAAAATAATAGCAACCATTTTATTCAGTGCCTACTATGCGCCATGCCTAACCCTCATAATTAATGATACGTATTTGCAAATCCCCTTTTCTGGCGCTCATCCTGAAAAATGGAGCAGATGTGCTTTTCCCTATTCCTTCTGTAAGTACAACTAAAACCCCAGGACACTATATACAAACAAACAAACAAACAGAAGAAGTCTGTAAGATGAATAGAAGGTAGGCCAACTCAGGACTTTAGGACCCAAAGAACAGAAGGGTGGAGAGTTTTCTGCGTGGTTTATTTTTGCTTTGCTTTATTTTGCCTCCTCGATCCCAGATGTAAAAACAAAATGTTTAAACAGACAAATACCAAGTGTTCATAAGAATGTGGAGAAATGGTAATTACCCGACAATGCTGATGGGAGTGCAAATTGGATGAACCTTTGGAGAGTAATTTGGCGCATTAAAGCCAAATAACATTTCATACACATTAAACTGGCAAAATCTCCAAGTCCAAGTCCTGGCAACAATGCATTAAAATGGAAATTCCTCCTCTGCTGGTAGAAGGCGCTTTGGAGAACCACGAGGCAGTACTGAGTACAGCTAACTGCACATACTCTGCACCCAGCAATTCCATCTTAGCTCTACTCTAGACAGACACCCTACATATGTTTTAAGCAATATTTGTACAAGGGTGTTCCTTAGTAACTGTTAATGTTTTGTATGGAACTAACCTGCAGCATATGCTGTTGGGGGCCCGCCCTGTCCCGTGGACATTCACATTCCTGCGCGTGCCAGTCAGAGGGCTTTCCACCTCCAGTACCTCTTTGCTGAGGGCTTTTCCTGGCTCTCCGGAGTCTGCTCAGCTAGCGCTTGGAGCAGAACTGAAGTACCAGAGAGTTAACTGCCCTCCCCCAATAGCATATAACCAATGGTGACTGGAGTTGATAAGTCCTCCAGCTCTCTCATCACTTAGTTGGGTTAAGTCTGCACTGTGTTCTATGCTATCTCCTAGGCATCCCAGTGGGATTGAGCCCTACTTCCCCACAGCAAGAACCTGCCAATAATGTACCTTTCGTTGGTTTCCTTCCTTTAGCTGACTCACTTCCCTGCCAGTGCTTACAGAAATCACCTTCCAGATAAACGACTTGTCCTCGAATCCTTGGCTCAGGTTACTTCTGGAGGAAACCAATACTAAGACACAACCTATATGCCTTTTAACAGGAAGTAAATAACTTGTGGTATACAGTGGGACATATGGAGTAGATAAATGTATCAGACCTACATGCACAAATATGATAAATACTGAAAATATGATTTTGTGTTACAAAAGCAGGATGTGTAATCATCACAGTATAATGCCACAATGTAATGTGTATTCTTAGCCACTCATGCAGCTAGGGGTGTCCATGCCACACAGTTCTGGTCAATAAATTAAATATATAAGGCTGATAAGGAGGGTGGGTTCCTGGGAAGCTTTGTGGGGTTTGTGTGTTTGTTTTTTGATGTTTTGATGTGTGTGTGAGAGAGTGAGTGTGAAAGAGAAGGGGGAGGGTGCCGGGTGTGGGGGAGGAGAGAGGTATTGTGTCTTCCCTCCCCACTTCTTCCCATCTTGATCATGACCTGAAGGCTGAAGTTGTAGCAGCCACTTGGTGTCCATAAGGAAAAGATCAAGACAGTCACAGAGACACTAGCTCTGACGTTGTTGAACTACTGCACCAGCCCTGAAGATTTTATGTTATGTGAAAAAAATAAATACAATATTTTAAAGCTGCTATTAGTTGGGTTTCCTGTTATGGTAGCTAAACACATTTCCAATTGATATCTGCCCTAATAAAATATGTGGGTGGATCCTGTTAACTGACATGCTCTTTGTTTTGTGGGGGTAGGAGTGGGTGTGTAAATTTAGGGCCAGGATCTAGAACAGAGCTGAACTGCTCTGCATAAGAAAGTGAGAGATTTAACACTGATGGGATAGAGTCAGTGAGGCAAGAAAGAAAGCAAAGATGGCTGCTGCATGAGAGAAGAGCATAAGACGGTGGTATAGCCAGGAGGGACTTGAGAGAGAACAAAAACATATAATGAAATAAAGAATAGGAATATCTAAAATATTTGCCATGGTGTGTATAACATAAACGACCTCTTCTAAGTCCCCACAGAATTATTCAGCAAAGTCTACATTGCTCACTCCTGCTCTGTGCAAACAGATTCTTTTGAGGGAGTCTAAAAAGATGCTGAGTTCTGCACCAGGTTACTATTGCAGAGTGAAGCAGAAGATCAGGGTGGAGTTCACATTTGAGTTATCACGTCAATTTCCCATGGCTGTTAAAGGAGGAGGGAAGACGTAGTTACATATAACATGGGCCCTGGAGTCCAACTCTGCTAACTAATCCTATGGTCTTGAGCAAGTTGCATAGTCCCTCTAAGCTTCAGTTTCCCCATCTATAAAGTGGTCATAATAGTATTTACTTCAAGGATTGTGGTAAGGTTCAGTGAGATCATTCAGGTAAAGTGACTAGCCCAGGGCCCACCACATAGTAAATGCTCAATAATTGTTTTTATTATTATCATCATCATTATTATGATTATTAAAGTTAAGATGGAGCCGAAACCGGTTTAGTTCAATGGATAGAGCGTCGGCCTGTGGACTGAAAGGTTCGATTCCGGTCAAGGGCATATACCTTGGTTGTGGGCACATCCCCAGATGGGGGTGTGCAAGAGGCAGCTGATTGATGTTTCTCTCTCATCGTTGTTTCTAACTCTCTATCCCTCTCTCTTCCCCTCTGTAAAAAATCAATAAAATATATATTTTTTTAAAGTTAAGAAGGAGGAGGGGGAAGGAAGGAATGAATTTATTTCTGTGTTTATTTAATTGGGTGGGACCACTCACCGTTCTTTTCCCTTTGACAATCCATAGCCCTTGTAGTTTTGGTTCTGCAATGAGAAAGGAAAAGTGGTACCACTAGTTTTGCATGTCCACCTTGCCTTCCCAGTTCCACTTACTGCAAATGTTAACATCTTCAATCCATCAGATTCAGCACTGTCCAGATCCTCCTGAGACAGTAAGGTCATCCTGGCCAAGTTCTCATTGGTCACCATGTGGCCAGCAACTTGGTCCTTGGAATAAACCCCCAAGTACCCAAGGCCCACCTCCCTATAGACTTTCTCCACAGACATGACCAGTAGAGGGAATACCTAGTTTTCAATGCTCCAAAGGTCCGTCCTGAACCCCAGTTTTGAAGGCTGAGCTCGGCCATATCTGTGAGAAGACCTTCTACTCCAACCTTGAATGTTTGATTAGATCTGTGATTCAGGAGGGGGCTGGGTCAAAGAGTCAGAGAAATAGATTTTTCAAATTCTCAAAGGGTGGTGGGTATTATTCTGCTTCTACCATACAGCTTGGCCCTCAGCCCTGGGTGACTGGTGGCAGATATGAGAAAAGAAATCAGAACTTGTGATTTCCGCAGGCTGTCCTCTGCAGCTTGGACAGACTTGTCATCTGCATTAGTTTTCTATTATTACATGACAAATAACCACAAACGTAATGGCTTAAAACAGTGCAAATTTATATCTCACAGTTTATATGGGCCAAGAGTCTGGGCATGGCTTAGCTGGAGCCTCTGCTCAGGTATCACAAAGCCACAATGAAAATGATGGCCTGAGTTGTGGTTCTCATCCAGGACTTGGGGTCCTCTTCCAAACCATTTGGCAGAATTCTGTTACTTGGGGTTGTGGGACTGAGGTCCCTGTTTACTTGTTAGCCATTGGCTGGAAACTGCTCTCAGCTCCTAGGGAGTGCTGGTCCCAGAGGCAGTTCACAACATGAATGCTGGCTTTCCTCCAGGCTAATAGAAGCAGGTCCTCTGACTTCCAACCCTTGTCCCTTCAAGTTAACCACAATGGGGTCTCATATAACCTATTGTAATTATGATGGTAACTATCCAATCAAATTGACAGGCTCCGCCCACATTTAAGGGAAGGGAATTACACAAAGTGTGTACACTGGGGATAGGAATCTGGGTGAGGGGCAATCTAGAATTTTGCCTACCACACCATTCTACCCCCTCAAAGAGCTGTTGGAGGAAGGTAATGGGAAGCTGCTCTACAAAATTGGCAGAAATAAGCTTATGCACAGAAGTAAGTTAAAATCTTATCCCATTCATCATTCAATCCCCTCCAAATGCCTCCAAACTAGTTAAGTGTCCTAGTCTTTTTTATTGCATTTTTTATACTCTCTCATGTTTTCAATTCCATTTTCCACATGTTTACCTAGCTGCTCCAGTCTTTGATTTCCTCACTGTATTGCATTGGCACTTTCGTCAAAATTCAATTGACTATATATGTGGGTCAATCTCTAGTCTCTATTTTGTTCTATTTACTTATTTGTCTCGTTGAATATCACTACCAAACTGTCTTAATTACTGTTGCTTTCTAGTAAATCTGAAATCAGGTGGCATGTCTTCCACACTTTTTTTTTAAGATTGTCTATAATTTGGGGGTTCTCCATATAAACCAGCTTGCTAATTTCTAAAAAATAATAATAATAATATGTTGTAATTTTTTAAAAATTTTTTTCACCCAAGGATATTTTCCCATTGCTTTTAGAGTAGGAGGGTGGGGGGAGGAGAGAGAGAAAGAAAGAGAAAGAAACATCAATGTAAGAGAGACACAGTGATTGGTTGCCTCCGAAATGTGCCCTGAAGTGAGGAATGAACCTGCAACTCAGGTAGATGTCCTTGATAGAGAATCAAATCCTCAACCCTCAGGATTCTAACCACTGAGCCAGGGCTAGTATTTGGAATTTTGATTGGAACTGCATTAAGTCTAAAGATTGTTTGGGGAAGAAATGACATCATAAAGCATTTGAGTATTCCAATCCATGAATATGGTCAGAATCTCTATTAATTTAAGTCTTTAATTTCTTTCCACAATGTTTTCTAGTTTTCAGTGTATGTTGAACATTTAAAATTTTTTCATAGCTATTTGATTTTGTAAATATGTTACATTCTATGGCCAAGGAAATTAAGGTTGCAGATGGAATGAAGGTTGCTAACCAAATGACTTTAAAATATTGATTAAACTAGATCATTTGGAATTGCCTGGGTAGGTCCAATGTAACTACTCATTTTTAGTTGTGAAAGGGAATTAAGGAAAGGAGTTGCCATTCATGAGAGGTGGAACACGGGATAAGAAGAAGCTGGTTGGAGTGGGAAGAGATAGGTTCTATAGTAACTCATTTCATTTCTTTGGGTCTCTCTCTCTTTTTTAACTTAAAATGGGGGAGATGGCCTATGAACTCCTAGAGATCAGGACTTCATCTTGTGTCCCCATTGGCCAGCTCTGTGTTCCCCTGGATGGATGGATGGATGGATGGATGGATGGATGGATGGATGAATGGATGGATGGATGGATGGGTTGTGAATGAATGAATGAATGGGTAGGTAAGCGGGAGATGGGGCAAACAGATCTCTAAGAGCTTTTCCAAGTTAGGAAATCCGAAATTGTGAGCTTCCCCCGAGTCACAGAAATCGCCGAGTACAGTGCGAGTCCTACAGTGTTGTAAATTTCCCGCCAGCCAGTCTGGTTCGGTGGACTCGCGCAGAGGCTCCGATGGCGCGCGGCATGCCGGGACTTGTGGTCTTTTCTCTGAATTTATAATTTTTGCTCCATTCATCGGAATCCTTCCGCGAGGATCCTACATGTTTAATCCCTCCGCAGCTTCCCTCCCTCTCTTTGGGGACGACGAAAGCGCCAGGGTCCTGCTGCACTCCTACCTTCAGTCGTGACATGACGCGATTCCGCAGGGCCCGCTTCAAACCGCCACCTCACCGGGCGGGAGCCTGTGCGTCCTGTTGCCAAGGCGACGAAGGGGGTGGTGCCCGGATCCGCCGCTCTGATTGGATGATCCTAGAGAACGCCTTCTGGAGCGGTCGGCGCGTCTCAGAGGCAGGAAGTCCTCCTCGCCCCGGCGGCCGAGACCCCGCGGGCATTCACGGCCCAGAGCCTCTTCCTGCTGAACTTCGCTGGACCCGAGAGCGCCGAGCCTGAAAAGTCAGCTTTTGGAAAATGCAATGGCCCTATGTTTCCTTACTCCGGCCCTCACTAAGTCACCTGGTCAGTTAGTGGATCAGTTGATAACGCTGCCAACCACTTCTGCTCTCTCCAGTCACTTTTTTTTTTTTTTTTAATATATTTTATTGACTTTTTACAGAGAGGAAAGGAGAGGGATAGAGAGTTTGAAACATCGATCAGCTGCCTCCTGTACATTCCCCATGCCCTTGACCAGAATCGAACATGGGACCCTTGAGTCCGCAAGCTCACGCTCTATTCACTGAGCCAAACCGGTTGGGGCTCCAGTCACTCTTTGTAATTCTTATGCCAGCACCCACCTCAACGCCTGCAGTAGCTACTTACCTGACCGGTCTACTAGTAACCTCTATTGCCCTGTTCATTCCAGTTTCATTCTCTGCACAGCAGCCAAAGAGCTCTTTCAAACACAAATCCGATCTTCATTCTCCCCTGCATATAACCTGAAGTGGCAACTTATTGATCACTGCATTCTGTACTGGCTCCCTGTCCTTCCTCCTTCCCCTCTCCACTCCACTACCCCGGGGATCTATATACCAATCATAGCTGATCAGGAACTTTTTTTTTTTAATTTTTGTTATTTTTGTATAGCAACAAAAATATGTTAAGTAGGAATATGTCTACAAAATGTATGCAAGATATTTTATTAAACAACAGATTAAGTATCTACTCTTTGTTATGCCCCATTCTTGACTCTGAGGATACAGCAGTGAACAAAATCAACAAGCATCTGTCCTTGTGGAGTTTGTATTCTCATAGAGAAAACTGCAAAACATTGAAGGACATTAAAGAAGGCCTGAATAAATGGAGGGATATACCATGTACATGGATGGGAAGACTCAATATCAACATAAAAATGTGTATTTTCCCAAATCCAATCAGGAATTTTGAGAGCTCTTGTCAAACCAAAATAACAAAGTGTATGTGTTGAGGCAGAAGACATTTCCCTGCCTATCAGCCCCAGTGTAATGCAGGGAGAAGCAAATAGCAAGGGAATACATGGGCGATTCTAGAAACAGACACCGTGTGTGCGTGTGTGTGTGTGTGTGCGCGCGCGCTATAGAGGTGGCATCATAAACGAGTGGGGAAAGGATGGAGGACTCAGTAAAGGGCACCAAGGACCTGGCTTTCCTAGGAGTGAAAAATAAATGCCTAATTCAAGTGGATGAAATAATAAATATGGCAAACAAATACTTCAGACTATTAGAACATTTTATTATCTCAGGGTGGAGAAAGAGTTCTTAGATAAGCAATAATACATATATATGTATATATACTTTAATTATTAATTCCAATGGGTTAAATCTGAAAAGAAAAAACATCAGTTGAGCTATCAGCTGCTACATGTGTATACATTTTTGGGGACACCCTGTAGAGCACAAGCCACTGGTGATTGAGGCTACAACCTGGCATGTGCCCTGACTGGGACTCCAGCGTGACCTCCCGGCCTGAAGGTCAATGCTCAACCACTGAGCCATGCTGGCTGGTCCCCCACATGCTGTTTATTCCTGCTGGAAATCTCTGTACTTTCCCACACGCACACACCTCTTTCTAATCTTTAAATAGCTGGGTCCTTCTTCTACGTCAGGTCTCAACTTTAATGTCACCTATTTAGAGAGGTTTTGTTTGTTTTTTTCGTTTTTCCACTTTCGTTCCCTTCCTAGAAAAGCGTGACCATTTATAAATGCTTTGTCTACTTGCTTATTTTGTTTGGGCACCCTCCCAAACCTGAGGTGTCCAATCTGCGGTTAGCAGACAGATACAGCTATGAAGTGTCTGACATGTGCCTGGTTTGAATCGGGATGTGCTCAGAGTATAAAATACACACTGAATTTTAAAGACTTCATACCATTAAAAAAAGATGTGAAATATGTCATAATAATTTAAAAATACTGACTGCATGTTGAAATAATAATACTTTGGCTATATTGTCTTAAAACATCATTAACAACCTCTTTCTTTCTACGTTTTTAATGTGGCTACTAGAACATTTTAAATGACTCACATGACTCACGTTCTATTTCTATTGGGCAGTGTTGTTCTAGGAACTGTTTCCCTTTCCTACCTATGTGTCCCCAGTACCTACCTGTAGTAGGTGCTCGGTGAGTATCGTCGAATAACTTGGTTTTCATGAGCACTCTGGGCTCAGAGGGCGCTGAGACAGGCGGCCCCATGTGTGCTGTGAATTTGAGGCGTAAAGAAACGCAGAGGCAAAGGTTTTCTTTTTCTCCAGCCATTGCATTTTCAACGGTTGTCACTCCTCTGTCCTTATCTGTTCTGACATTCCTCGCATAGTCATTACCACTATGGATGGGGGAGGACAGCTGGTTCCTGGTTCCGCTGCTTCTATTTCAGTCCCAGAGAAGGTGTCTGGTCTCCCTCACTTTGTATTCTCCAGCTTTGGTCCTCGTAGCAGGAGGGCTCAGCTCAGCACACGGAGGCCCTCAGAGAGGGCAGCTGGGACTCCAAGGGGACCTTCCCAGGGCCACCCAGCAGGCCAGAGGGGAATAGGGCCTGGAACTTTGGTCTCCAGAATCACTTTCCTGGACTCTTGCCTCCAACGACATCCTGTTGTAGTCTCCTTTAACTCAGAGGGGCCAGGTGACTGCAACCTTCCCCTCCCCTCCCATTCACCTCTGTCTTCTTAAGGGGGCCCTAAGAACAGGTGTGCCTGGCCCCAACAGAACTGACCCAAATGACCACAGTTGGGATGAAGAGAGGGGAGGGTCAATGGGAGGATGGATGAATGGAGAGGAGGATGAATCAGTGAATGAATGAACTGGAGGATGGGAGAACAGATGGTTGTGTGAGGGGGGCAGGAGGATAAAGGGTTGGCTGTTAGGGTGCCTGCATGGGGCGTGTGGCGGGACCGAGGCTTACAGTTGGAAGGAATTGCTCACTTCTCTGTCTCAAACAGAATCTGAAGAACACGGGACCCATAGCAGGCAAGGTCCTGCCCCCGTCACTTTTCTGCTAGAGAACCACGGCCAACGGAGCCTAGTGCTGTGCCCCAGGGCCCGCTGGGAAGTCGGGGCAGAGCGGGAGCTGGGAGCTGGGCGCTGGGGCTCTGAGCCCCCGCCGGCCCGAGCCTGCCGGTGCCAGGTGGGGGGGGGGCGCTCCCCCCGCCTCCGGAGGCCTGGGCCCCACGCGGCCCCACAAGCTGCCGTTGTCCCGTGGGCCCTGGGCCCGGCACACTGGGGCTTTGTCCAGTCCCCGCCGCGACCCGCGGGAGGGGCCCCCACATGACCAAGGGGGTAGGAGGAGCCTGCGGCGGTGGCAGCGGCGGCGGCTCCCTCGTTTGCCTCCCTGGCCGGGGGTCGGCGGGCGGTGACGGCGGCGGGGCCGGGCTGGGCGCGGCTGTGGACGCCAGGCCCCCTGCTCCCCGCCCGGCAGCCGGCGCTGGGCCTGGGCCATCGCGGCAGCTGTGACCCCAGCGCCTTCGCGGCTGCAGGCTGGGGGTGCGGCCGGGCCCCCGGCCCGGGGATCATGGGGAATGGCATGACTAAGGTAGGTGGGCGGGACCGCGCCGCCCGCACCTGCTCGCCCCCGGCCCGGGCCCTGGACGGGGTGGCTCTGCCCGCCTCTGACCTTCTGGCTCCCGCCGAGTCTCTCTGGGTCTCTGTCTCCTGCTCCCTGTGACTCTGAGATCGTATTTCGCTGTGTCTAGGTCTCTGTCTCTGTCTGTCTGTCTGTCTGTCTGTCTCTCTCTCCTTCTCTCTCCCTCTTTCCCTCTCTCTCTCCTCTCATCTCCATCTCCTCTCCCTCTCACTTTCTCTCCCTCTCTCTCTCCTGTCTGTCTCTGTAGCTGCCTTTTCTGTGACTGTTTCTCCCTGTCTCTCTCTGTCACTCCTAGACTCTCTCTCTCTCTCTCTCTCTCTCTCTCTCTCTCTCTCTCTCTCTCTCTCTCTCTCTCTCTCTCTCTCTCTCTCTCTTCCCTTGTCTCTGACTCTTGACTCTACCTCCTCCTGTCCCTGTCTCCCCACTCCCTCGTCCTCAGAATTCCTGGCCACCCACTCTGTCAAGTCCGTCTCCCCTTCCCTCTTCCCTGGTCTTCTGCCCTCCCTCTTCTTTCCTCCCGCCCCCACCCAAGGCAGCCTGCCTGTGCCCCCTCGTGCCCCCCCCGTCCCCCTCACAGGGTCCAGGCCCCCAGAGGGACAGGGCCCCCCGTCCTGAGGCTCAGACAGCCTTCATGGGATGGAGAGCGCTGCGGGCTCCAGCTGCGGGGGTGGGAAGGGCCCGCTCCCCTCCCTGCTGACCCTGCCGGCTCACCCTGCCTGTCTCCCCTGTAGGTACTTCCTGGACTCTACCTCGGAAACTTCATCGGTGAGCACGGCCCCTCTGTCCCGGGCCACGGCACTCTGCCTGTCATCCATGCTCTGGCCCCCGCACCCTGGAGGCCTCAGGAATGGGGCTGGGGGCATGGAAGTGACACCAGGCTGGGAGGGGGAAGAGCTCACGAGGACTAAGGGGCAGGTTCATGGGTGGGGCATTGTCTCCAGGGCAAAGGGCTCAGAAGGCTGGACGCTGGGCAAGCCAGCAGCTGCTCGGAGCCTCAGCCTCTCCCTCCACACCAGACCAGCGCCTCTGAATGTGCTGACCCTGAAGGGCTGGCTTGAGGTCTGTTTGCAGAAGTCCTGGAGACTGGATTCCACCTCAGGAACTCCACTGGTCAGCACTGCCCACTCTGCCCCAAGGCCTTGGCACTCTGCCTGCTCCCGGCCTGTGTTAAGAGACAGACTGGTCCAGGGTTTGGGGGGCCCATAGTGAGAAAAGTCACTTCCATCTGCAGCATCAGAGAAAGCTCCTGAGAGAGAGGGGCATCTGAACTGGGACAGGGCCCTCCCCATCACCCTGTCCCCCAACGGCTTAGGTGCCCCCCTCCCATAAGCCCTGATCCCTTCCTCCCTGGAGCTGCCTCAGCAGCACGTGCCACTCTGCTTTCTGAGCATTTGGCTAAATAAGGTCCACATTCCCATGAGGGCAGAAGCAAGGACTGCCCATAGTGAGCAGCAGTAAGTGTGCTGAATGAGGATGTGGACAAATGGGGAGAGAGGCGGTGTGTGTCATATACTTTGATTATATATAAAAGGTCTGTATAGACTGGCCATCCAGCCCCTAGAAATGACCTCTGAGAGCAGTAGACTGTGGGCCTGTCCCCAGGTCACGTTTCATCTCTTTGTTGATGCAGATACCAGATTTAAAACAAAAATGGAAACCTATTCTGCATGTTGTCCTGCCGCCTATATTTCCCATTTAATCATGTATTGCGGACATCCTTGCACATCAGCACGTGCAGATCTGCATAGTATTCAAGTATGAATATGCCATTTTTTACCCGGCTCCCTTCTGATGGACATTCAGTTTGCCCCCGTTTCTATTTCTGATGTTTTTACCGTTATAAGCAGCACTACAGAGAACAGTGTCCTCTGTGCACAAAACCTCATGGGAACAAAACCTTCTGTAGACAAGATTCCTAGAAGTAGAATTACTGGGTCAAGGCTATGCTGGGAAAAGGTGTTTGCGATGGAAAGAATAGCTCAGGGCAAAGGGGGGGTGGGGGGGATGCGGGGCTGTTAACTTGGGGATGCCCCAGAGACCAGACTGAAGCCTAGGGGTGTGGCAGGACCTATGCCAAGAGCAGGAGGTGGCCTAGGAGTCGGGACCAGGCAGAGGGTCCGCCAAGGTGGAGAGGGTGAGGTGAGAAGGAGAGCTGGGTGGGGAGTCGCCTCTCACTTAGCCATCAGGAACACAGAAGTCACACCTGCCAGGCTGGCTCAAGACACCTGTCTCTTTCAGATGCCAAAGACCCGGACCAGCTGAGCCGAAATAACATCACACACATCATCTCCATTCATGAGTCACCCCAGCCTCTGATGCAGGTACTCGTCACCCGCCATCCCAGGGCTGTGCATAGATCAGGGAGGGGGCTTCAGACACACACCCCAGTGCCCATTTATCATGTACCTACTATCCTGTTTCCCCAAAAATAAGAGTGTCTTATATTATTTTTTGCTCCCAAAGATGCGCTAGGTCTTATTTTCAGGGGATCTCTTATTTTTCCATGAAGAAGAATACGGTACACATTTATTGTTAATTGAAAATAAAGGAAATTTATTACCTGTATATGGTACGGTAGTACTGTAGTTGTCAACACAAACCAGACAAACTGTGAATCCTACAGTATCAAGAATTTACTCATTTGTTCTATGACAATCATGTCATCATCTTCTGGAACATCATCATAACAATCCAATTCCTGAATTTCCTGGTGAATTTCTTGTGACTCCATTTCTTTCAGAATCAGTGGACCAAATCTCTCATGTTTAGACGAGGGGGGGGGGGCCTTATTTTCGGGGGATGCCTTATATTTCACTCAGAAGGAAACCTGTAAGTAGGTCTTATTTTCAAAGGATGTCTTATTTTCGGGGAAACACGGTATGTGCCAGCCAGTCCTTTACTGCCTCCCTGACCCCCTGACCCATGCTATCTAATTTGGTTGAAAACTGGCCTCTTTAACATTAGCATCCCTGTTTGCCAACTGGGGTAAAGTCATTTGCCGAGATCCACACATCCAGGAAGCTGAGCTAGAATTGGAACCCAGGCCATCTGGCCCCAGATGCCTCCACCGAACCATAACAAGGCCCCCACAGGGGCTTCCCACGGCCCAGCTGAACGGATGACCCCAAGTGGATGATTCTGGGCTCTGTGTTTCGTTGTAGGACCTGGTGCTGTGGTTCTGCCTCTCTGGGCCCCTGATCCCTCAGCCCCATCTGCCCCAGGGGGCTGTTGGGAGGGGGCAAACGGGCTGTGGGATGGTGAAGATGCCTTGCACACTGTAAAGCACGGCTCCCACAGGAGCAGCTGGTGCTGGAATTATCGAGTCCTGGGGAGCAGGGGGTGAGAGTGTTTGACCCAGAGGAGGAAAGCAGGAAACTCAGACCACGTGTGCTGAAGTCAGGAGGCCTGCGTTCACATCTGCACTTATTCTCTCTGTAACCGTGGGTATAATAGGACCGTGGTTGGCAAACTGCGGCTCGCGAGCCACATGTGGCTCTTCGGCCCCTTGAGTGTGGCTCTTCCACAAAATACCACGGCCTGGGCGAGTCTATTTTAAAGAAGTGGCATTAGGAGAAGTTTTAAAAACGTGGCTCTCAAAAGAAATTTCAATCGTTGTACTGTTGATGTTTGGCTCTGCTGACTAATGAGTTTGCCGACCACTGGTTTAGGACATCACCTCTCGGAACCTCAGTGGTCTGACCTGTAAAGGGAATTTTCTGAGAGTACTGACCTCACTGAATTGTTGCAAGCCACACAATAGGTGCTTAACAATTTACAGCTGATCTGTTGCAAGGTTAATCTTACTCATCGCACGAACAGTGACCCTTCCTCCTCATCTGTTAGTCTCAGTCACCCACTGGAGGTAAAGAACTGGGGGTGGGAAAGGGCTCTGAAGATCTGAGATTCAGACCAGGTTCTGTCACAGATTTGCTGTGTGACCTTAGGCAGGATCCTTTCCCTCTCTGGGCCTTAGTGTCCCCATGTGCCTGATTTGATTATTTCTGAGAGCAACACCCAATAATCTATGCTTCTCAGGGTCACTCAAAGAAGAATTTTTCAGGTCAATGGAGTCTGATTTTGCTTTATAAGGCAGGCTTGTTTTGAAGTAATTGGAGTATGCAGTCACTAGATTGCACGGGGAAGGTTGTGAAGTCATGAATATATTTACTAATGAAATGGCTGCTTGTAAAATGAGTCCCTGCTCCAACAGCCCTCCCCTCTTCTCCCAAGCGTCTCTCCCACTCCATCCATCAGTGAGTTTACCAGCCAGAGGGTGATTATGCCCTGCAAATGCAAGGCCAAATGTGTTGCAAATGAAATTGCAAACCTTGCAAAAGATGCAGATGGAGTGACCTTGGTGAAAGTGAGCTGGAGAAAGGCTGGACTCTCACATGAAGCTGTTAACAAATGAGGATGGGGGGGGAGGGTCCCCTTAGCCGCCTGTTAGCTGCTAGCCATTGGTGGGCCAGATACCTGAAAAGAGCCATTTGAATATCAAACGATTAAGACAAGTCCTTAAAAAAAGTGATGAGGTTCTTGTAATGTGAGCAGAAATCATCTTTATGAACTTGAGTGAAGGTGAAGCATGAAATGAAGGATGCTGGAACAAGTTTGTTGGAAAAACTAGTGACACTACACTCCTTGATTATTTTAATAATTAGCACAAGTTTTATAACCACAATTCATGAAGTGTAAACTTACTTTTCATAATTTTTTGTTTCTTTTCAAGAAAATGAAATCTGCTGTGCCCTTCCTACGATGTAATTTTGTAATCCTTCTTTGGAGGGTAGTCACTCTAAGTGACCCTTTCCTGCCTAAAAGAAAAGTCCCTGGATCCTTTTTATCAAGTTCTTAGAAGGTTCTAGAATCACAGATGGTCAGAGCTGGGAGATCCTCTTTGAACAGGGAGGACAACTGTGGTCCAGAGAGGGACAGGAACTGGTCTTGGGGTCAGGAGGTGCTTGGGGGGCCCGGGCTGGGTAAGAGGGTGCAAGCAAGCCTGCTCCCACGGCCTGTGTGTGTTTTGTACTTCCAGGGCATAACCTACCTTCGCATCCCAGTAGCCGACAACCCTGATGTACCCATGTAAGTTCCCCGGATGGACCCACAGTGGGACAGACAGCTGCCTCCTGTGACGGTGGGAGGGAGGAGGGGAAGTGGTGTGAGGGAGAGAAGAGAGGACTCAGACCAGAAAGCTGTTCTGGGACCCCAGCACAGAGGGTCACCCAGCCCCAAGTTTGACTCTGTCTCAGCCACGCCTTGGTCTGTGCCCCTGACCAAGGCCGTTAACCTCCCAGAGCTGAGTGTCTCCTGCTGTGAATCGGAGAAAGTGCCCGACTCACAGGATCAGCTGCACCAGCGCATTTGGGAAGGTCAGGCTCAGCTGGTTCCTGGCCCTGGAGTTAAGATATCTGGGCTCTGGCCAGGCTTTGCCTTTTACTTGGTGTGTGACCTTGGATAAATCACTTCGCTTCTCTGAGAGGGACAATGGGGGTGTCATTAGCATTGAGGAGGCTTTCTGAGGTCAGATGGCATGGGTTGAGAATCTAGCCTGAAGTATATTGGGGGCTCAGAACCCAGGATTTTTTAAAAATATATTTTATTGATTTTTAACAGAGAGGAAGGGAGAGGGACAGATACATCGATGAGAGAGAAACATCAATCAGCTGCCTCCTGCACACCCCCTACTGGGGATGTGTCCACACCAAGGTACATGCCCTTGACCGGAATCGAACCTGGGGCCTTTCAGTCCGCAGGCCGAGGCTCTATTCACTGAGCCAAACCGGTTTGGGCAGAACCCAGGATTTTTGTTCATGTTAGCAGCAGTGCCTCCAGCCTGGGAGGGGCCCAGACAAGGCACCGCTACTCCTCTGGAACCTTGCTGTCAGCCCCATTGTAGACCATCACTGTCCCCGGTGATGGCAGACCCCCCGAGGAAGGGGGACCCCTGTGTCTCCTCCCACCCATTTCCTTAAAAAATCAAGATTCTCCCTCCCCTGTGAAAATAGGGTCCCCAGGACACATTGGGGAGATTCTCCGGCCTCCGCAGCGGGATCTGCCATGACTGGCCTCTCTCTCTTGTCTCACACATCCCCACCTTGTGGCACTGGCCCCTCCTCACTGCAGCACTAGCTGACTGAGGACCTCAGGCTCTTTGTCTCTTGCCATCCCATAAATGGGGAGGGGGACAACTGGGAGGACCCCCCCCCCTCCTTCCCCTAGTGCTCCCTTCCTATTGCTTTCTTTTCCAGCAAAAAGCACTTCAAAGAATGTATCAACTTCATCCACTGCTGCCGCCTCAACGGGGGGAACTGCCTTGTGCACTGGTGAGTGAAGAGGGGCTGTTCTCTACCCCAGACACACACTCATCCTGTGGGGAAGCGGGAACGTGTGGCAGGTCTTGTCCAGTGGTCACAATGGCTGACCATCCACGGTTCATCTGATAGAAGCTGAAAGGGCGCTCAGATCAGGGCTCGGTCCTTCCCCGGCTGTGAGGCCATGGCCAAATAGCTGTTTCTCCCTGAGACTCAGTTTCCTCATCTGTGAAATGGAAAGAATGCTGACATGATGGGCTATTGGGAGGGACAGGTGAGGTCATGCAGGTAACCAAATACCCACCAATAGTTCTGGCTCCCTCCCCTCCCCTGTCCTCTCCTCCCCTCTAGGCATTTGAGCCCATTGTAGTGCAGGGTAGTGGAGAACCCCAGGCTGGGAGACGGGACCCCCAAGTCTTCCCAGGAGCCCCTAGCCCAGTATACGTCACTCATTTCATCACTTCTCCCTGAGCACTAGTCCTGAGCTGGAGCCCCAGCCACAGGAAGAGCTACCTGCAGCCTGTCTCTCACCCGCTCTCCCTCCTTCCCCTGCTCAGAACGCACTGGCCATCTCCTTGTTTTTCAAGTCCACCAGGCTCCCATCTCCTGGTCTTCCTGCACACTGTTCAAGACTCGGCATGGTGTCACTTCCTTAGGAACAGCTTCCCTCATCCTCCTCCTCCCCCCACCCCACTAGATTAATATCTCTTCCTACTCCATCTCCCAGCCCCTGGACTCACCTTCATTGTCACCACCTGAAACCTTTCCCTGGTTAGCGTCTGTCTCCCCCAGCCATACCATGAGGATCAGGATGACAGAGGCCAACTCTGTTTTACAATACTTCCCACTAGATCCCCAGGATCTGAAAGACAACAGAGGGTCGGAAAACGTCCGTTGAATGAATGGATGAATGAAATGATGTTTCACTCAGGACTTGAATGTGGAGGGATGCCTGGGGATTGATTCTCCAGGCAGAGGGAACAGAACGGGCAAAGGCCTGGCGGTGGGGAGATAGGTCCTGGCAGGTTCCTTGTGGTTGGAGCTCAGGAGGCAAGGGTGGGAGAGCGGAGGCGGGAGCGGGGGTGGTTTCTGGGGGCCTTGCCTGAAGCTTGGAGTGGGGTAATCAGCTTTGCAGGCATCTCTCGAAGCACCACCGTCGTGACAGCTTACGTGATGACTGTGACCGGCCTAGGCTGGCGGGAAGTGCTCGACGCCATCAAGTCCACCCGGCCCATTGCTAACCCCAACCCGGGCTTTAGGCAGCAGCTCGAAGAGTTTGGCTGGGGCAGTTCCCGGAAGGTAGGGACTGGGGCAGGGGCTGGGGCACGGTGGGAGGCTCTTCCCACTTGAGCTGAGCATTGATTGGAAAGAAGTTAGCCCTGGCAGGGTTGCTTAATATCGATAGTTAGAACACCAACCCATGAATTGAAGGGTCATGGGCTCGATTCCTGGTCAAGGGCAGGTACCTGGGTTGTAGGTTTTGATCCCCAGCCCTGGTTGAGTCGGGGAGAATGTGGGAGGCAACCAATCGATGTGTGTCTCTCACATCGATGTTTCTCTCTCTCTCTCTCTCCCTCTCTTCCCCTCTTCCCTTCCACTCTCTCTAGGAACTAATGGAAAAAATATCCTCGGGTGAGGATTAACAAGAACAAACAAACAAACAAAAACAAAAAAAGAATTTAGCCTCTGCTTCAGACATGGCAGAAGATTTTTCTGGGGTCTCAAATGCATGGCCCTTGAGCTAATATATCCCCCAGGTGTATTTTGTTTGGATAGCTAGAAGGTTTCCATTTCACTTACAATCTGAAGGCCTTTAGGCCAGACTCTGGACCCCACAATCTGATCAGGTCCCAGAACTACCTGCTCTACCTGCCTGGAACCCGAAGGGCATTTGAGCGTTTGGGCCCCTTTGGAGAGAAAGGTCCACCTCCTACTCTACCCCTGGATCCCTGATGAGGCCAAAGCAGTCCCTTCTCCTTTGCCCAACGGGCAGATGGCACGGGACTTCCGGGACAACTGGGACAACTGGGACAACCGGGGAAGAGAGACAGAAAGAGAGAGAGAGAGAGAGAGAAGCAGCAGCGAGTGCAGGAAGGCTCTCAGCAGGTGGCGGGCTGGCACCCAGAGGCTTGTCTGCAAGGCTTTAGGAAGGAGGCAGGCAAAGAAGAGGCCGGTGTGAGTGGAGTTCTGTGCAGGGGGGAGGGATTGATGCGGTTTCCGCTGTGCAGGTAGGAGGGTCACTCTGGCAGGTCTGGAAGATGGGGGGATGGAAACGCAGAATGGAGGCTCAGGGGACCTTGGGGAAGGGGAGGGGCTTAGCGAGGCCTGGGAAGCTGGCCCCAGGGCAGAAGCTCTAAGGATCCGGGAGGGGGCCGGGGCCAACGGCCTGGCACCGACCGAACCCCTGCCTCCCCACCCCAGCTTCGCAGGCAGCTGGAGGAGCGTTTCGGAGAGAGCCCGTTCCGCGACGAGGAGGAGATGCGCTTGCTGCTGCCGCTGTGCAGGCGCTGCCGGCAGGGCTCCGCGACCTCGGCCGCCTGCCCCGCGCCGCAGGCCTCGGCCTCCGAGGGGGCCCTGCAGCGCCTGGTGCCGCGGCCGCCGCGGGAGGCGCGCGGGCCGCTGCCGCTGCTGGCGCGCGTCAAGCAGACTTTCTCCTGCCTCCCGCGCTGCCTGGCCCGCCGCGGCGGCAAGTGAGGGCCCCGGCCCTCTTCCTCCTGACCGGTCCCCAGAGGGGGTCCGCCTGGGCCTCCCGCGGCCTCCAGGAGGGCCCCGAGCCCGTGGGCGCCCCGCGGCGGCCCGGGCCCTGCTCCTGCCCCCTCTGCCTGCCCTGCCTGTCCGCGGTGGCGCGCCCTCCGCCGTCCCGGCTCCTCTGCGTCGGGCCTGCCTGCTGCAGCCACCTGGTGCCTTAGGCCTGGGGCTGGAGGCGGGGGCACGGGCCCCTGCTCTGAAAGGCGGAGGGAGAGGGCTTGGACGGCCCGTGGGGTATTAAAGAGACACTGAAGCGGCTTTCCTGAGTGCCTCCCAGTTACTGAGCGAAGGTGGGGCAGCGGGACTCTGCCAGGGGCCGGGGGCCTGCAGGAAGCAGGGGTGGGGGAGGCCCTCTGCGGAGCTCGCCACTCTGGGTGAAACTGCAGTCCCTGGGCTGAATTCTGAAGGCTTCTCGGACACTCTCCCCCACACACACACACTCCACCCCCATTTCTCCCCAAGACTTGGTCTCCTTCCCCTGAGCCCCCTTCCCTATTCACAAATACTAGCTGGTAAATTAAGGTGACCAGATTTTAACATTGGTAAAGGGGGACACCATTGGGGGGGGGGGGTTCTTGAGGGTCTCTTGAGGTCCTCCCTCCATTCTCTAGCTTGTCGTGCATTCTTTCCAAAAATCGGGACTTCTTTAAAATACCTTGGGACACGGGACAAATTGTTAAAAATCGGGACGTCTGGTCACCTTATGGTAAATGCCTCCCTTGTACACGAGTTCGCTTAATCCAGGGCAGGCAGCTTGCCAGAGGACACACAGCTGGAGCAGGGTTGGCAGGCGTGAGGGTGAAGAAGCAGCTCTTTCTGGTTTTGGCGGTTCTGGAGAGGAGGACCCACCCCAGCTGGTGGGAAGATCTTCCCACCTAGAGTGTAAAGGTCAGGCAGCCAATAAAGCAGCAAATTGACTTCAGGGATGAGCAGAGGCCATCGGAGCTGCCTTCTCCTAAACTAAAATTAACCCAGAGTTTGAGAGGGCTCTGAAGTAGCTACAATAACATAGCCACTGGCATGGGGCTCTAACTGTGCCCCGAACACTGCGCCCTCGTGTAGCTGGTGTTCTGGTGGGAAAGACATCAGGTAGATGGATAAGCAAAAGGAGCATAAGGCAGGGAGTGAGGGGGTGAGCTGTCCTCTCTCTGGGGAGAAGCATTCCCCCAATGGCTGGACTCAGCAGAGTGCGGGGAGCCTGTGGGGTCCTGGCTAACTGGAGGGGTGGGTTTGGGGGGGTGTCACCATCCACTGGGTCAAAAACACCTTTCTAATTCTATCCGTGCCTTCCCCGACTGAAACATCTCCATGGCCCCCCGTTATCATAGGACAAAGCAAACGCCTTGATCTGATGTTCCCGGTCCTCCACGATGCCCCCTCCTTCCACCGTTACTGTCACCACACTGTGACTCAACAACAACCATACCATTCGTGTACTGACTCTCGCTGTGGGCCAGGCATGTGTTACACATGTCACCTGGATCCCGTTTAATCCTCCAGCAGCCCCAGCGGGGAGCCGTGGTGCCCAGGGTCCCCAGCTGGCACGTGGGGGGGCCGTGATGTGAATCCAGGCAGTCTGGCTGTGGACCCCCTCCCCCCCACTCCTAATTCTCCTCCTCTGCCGCTTAGGCAAATGAAGGGCTTGTCTGGCACGCCAAAGGCCTCTGCTTGGATGCAGTTATTTTGTATTCTTTAAATACTTTTGGATTTAATCATGTGAAATGCCCTATGCCCCATAGGAGCCCTTCAGGCCCGAGTCTGAATCCTGGCCATGGCTAGAAGTGTCCGCACTGGGCGGCTGCTGGACTATGGGGACGGAGGGCGGGGTGTGAAGGCAGGTTCAGCCTCCGGGCAATACTGGCTGGGCGCCCAGCCCTGCACTCACTGCAGGAGGAGCGGGGTCTCTCCTGGAGCCTTAGTTTCCCCAGATACACAGCGAGGGATGGAGCAGCCTGAGCTACCTGACCTCTTTCAGACTGCAAACCCCCGGGGACAGTTTAATGAAAGATACAAACTAGAAAAATGCAGAGACATTGAGGAGATCACAGACCCCACCGGGAACCCCTAGGCTCCAGGGATAGCCGTGGTTTAGGCTCCTGGGCTCCGGAGACAGAGAGACACAGGTTTTGTCCTGGCTGCCCCACCTGTTCGCCCTGAGACCGTGTCACAGGGCCTTCCCCTCTCTGAGCTCCAGTCTTCTTTACAAGGAAAGGGGTAGTTGTACTAACCTCACACGCCGTCTCAAGAACCAGCCCAGTCACTGCGGGAGGGCTCTGGCAGGCCGTACGGTGGTGAGCGTCCTAAGGGGGCCCACGGTTTAAGGAAATCGCTGTCCACTGTGGCCCTCGGACCCGCTGGGTCAGACTCGTGTTCTACAAGCCTGGGGTGGCTTAGCTTGAGAAACACTACACCTTTCCAGCCTCCACGGGCCAGGTTCTGCAAAGGGACCGGCGGTTTTCTGGCCGCCGGGAAGAACAGAAACAGGCGCAGCGGGGGGGGGGGGGGGGGGGGGGGGGGGGGGGGGGGGGCAGGGACCCTCGTGTGCCTGTTGCCCCCCACCACCACCCCTGGGAATGGGCAGAGCCCTGGCTGACCCACGCCTTGCCCCCAATGGGCCTTGGCGCCCCTGGCCCCTCTAGCTGACCTCTGCTAGCGGCCCCACGCCCTCCGGGCCAGGCTGCACGGGGAGAGACCAAGGCCAAGGGCCTTCCGGGAGGGGGGACAGAAAGGAAAGCGAAACCTGACCGGCCAGACTTTCGCTTTCGCTGCTTGCACACGCCTCCCAGGTGGCCCCGCTGTCGCTGCCCTTCGCGCTGGGGGCCCAGAGCTGCGGGCTCAGAGCTGCCCCCCAGCCCTGCGTCCCCGATGGCCGGCGACCCCTGGCGGAGGGAGGAAGGGAAGGTCCCCGACGGCGGCGGAGGGCCCTCGGCCGGGCGCGGGGGTCCCCTGCGGCTCCGCGACTGGCTGGTGCTGCAGATCGAGAGCGGGAGCTACGAGGGGCTGCGCTGGGAGGACGAGGGCAAGACCCTGTTCCGCATCCCCTGGAAGCACGCGGCCAAGCAGGGCTACCAGGCGCGGCGGGACGCGGCGCTCTTCAGGGTAAGGCAGGCAGGGCGGGCTGCGGACCAACCCGTCCAGCACCTGGACCCCTGGCTCGGCCCTTAGCCTCCCTCAGTCGTCTCTAGTGTCCTCAGGCTCCCCCTTAAAACAGAACCCGCACATCTCAGGGGGCCTCTCCTCCCTCTCCACTGCGTGAAATGAGATGCCGGTGACGGGAACTCCCTCGGTTGGGGACATTTTCTTTGCTTCCCAGCGCCAGCCCTTCTCAGGGACCTGCCCTTTCTTCAGCCAGCATTAACTTCCCCCAACGGGCGCTTTCCCATCGCATCCAAGGTCCAGAATCTCTCCTGTAAGCAGTGAGGAACCAGCCAACCACGTGTCAGGTGGCCACCAGCACCCCAAACTCCGCACTGTCTCTAGCTCCCGATCCTCTGGTCTCCCCATCTCCTGGAAAAAGTCTGCTGGCCACCAACCCCCTCACTCATACCCCTCCCCCCAATTCCTTCTCTCCCTCCCCTGCCCCTTCTGGCTTCCTTCCGTCCCTCCTGCTAATGTTATCAGGTGCCAAATCTAAGGTTGCCATCACTGTCATCTGCTTTGACCCCTCGGAGGTGGGGGGAGGGGGGGTCTGGAACTGGAGCACCCTCCCTCCTCCTTGAAACACACTCGCTCGGTTTCCAGAACTTCTGCCTCCCCTCACACACACACCCTGCCCGCCGTTTTTCCCTGACCTACCCTCACGGCCCCCGCTTCTCAGCCTCCAAGCCCTCCTCTCCTATTCCGGGGCTCTCAGCATCCACTCCTGGGCCTTCACGCCCCATTCTCCCCTTCCTCAGCCCCACCTGTTGGTCTCCTAGTCCCCAGGCCTCTCAAACTCAGCATCTCCTCAACACCGCGCTCCTCCGCTTGCCCCCACAAGCGTTCGTTTCTCGAAATGGAACATTGCACTCGCTGCCACCCAGACCCCAGAGCCGGGGGCCTGAACCCTGGCTTCCTTCCTCCCCTCCGAGCTCACTCTACTCCACCACCACGGCCTGCCGGCTCTCCCACGGAACCTTCCTCCGTCCACGGACGTGGACCCATTCTGCAAATCTCTCACCAGGACGTCTGCTGCGGCCTCAGTGAACTCCCTGGTTCCTCCTGTCTCTCTCTCGGCTCTCCCCTCAGTCCTCCAAAACGATCTTTCTAAATGTACATCTCGCCTTGCGGCTCCCCTCCCCAGAATCCTTCCGTAGCTCTGCCTTGCCCTTGTGATAAAGTCTCAGCTCTTTATCGTGGCCTCTTAGCCTTGGAGGAGCTGCTCTTCCCTGCCCTCATCTCTCCACTCCCCACCCAACCCCACCCTACTCCCCACTGAAGACCCAGCGGGGAGTTCTTTCAGTTTCCAAATGCTTCGTGGCTCTCTCACCACTGGACCTTGGCACCTGGTGTTCCCGCTCCTCTTCATGTTTACCCGGCCACTGTCATGGTGCTCAGCTTAAACGCTTCTTCCTCAAGACTCTTCCCCGGTGCATGCATTTACTGCTCTTATTAAGTCTAACTCAGTGCTTCTCCCACTCCATCCCTGATTCCTTCGGCTTCCCCCACTGAACCCACTTTCCCTGAGAATGATAAGTGCCGTGGTGACACCGAGCACAGAGCCTGGCACACAGCAGGTGCTCAGGAAGTGTTTTAAGTGTTTGCATGGCCTTCTGTGCTGCTGTTCAGAGGAGAGAGATTCTGCAGGCCGGCCCTCCCTGTCCTTCTGGCTGCTCTGAACACCCCTCAGCCCACCCCTGACACACACATGTGACTCCCTGGCTTCACACCTTCCTGGAGCCCAAAGCCCAGGGGACAAAGCTGGGCCTCTGAGGACTTCTGTGACCCAACTTCCACCTAGCCCTTCCTTGGCTCCTCTCCACCTTTCTCCCACCACACACATTACCTGTGGATTTCATGTTCGCAAATCCACTCATCCGCTGAAATGTGTAACTCCAAATCACGGCTGTGGCCATTTACAGACACCTGCAGACGAGTGAACAACCTAAGTCCCTGGACGTGCACATTCCCAGCTGAGGTTGATCCGATGATGCTCTGCCTTCTTGTTTCAGCTCTCACGCTATAAACAAATGTCCTTTTGCCATCTATTTAGTGCCACGTATTAAATATTTTTGTGTTCTTTTTAAAAATATTTTATTGATTTTGAGGGGGGGGGGGCAGAGAGAGAGGGAGAGAAACATCAAAGTAAGACAATACATGGATCAGCTGCCTCCTGCACACCCCCTGCCCGGGATTGGCCCCATTACCACCACCACCCTGCATGTGGAGGTAGAGAAGCCCTCAGGGGTGATCAAGAAGGTGCCTGGGCGCCGGCAGTGGGTGCAAGCAGCGGCTCTGGCACCAGCTGCGGATGCGAGAGTTGGCTGCTGGCCCCAATTGCCCCGCAGGAGCAGGGGGAGGTGGAGAACCCTTGAGGGGTGATTGGGCTAGCACCAGGTGCCAACAGTGGGTGAGAGCACCAGGCAGGATGTGACTGGGGAGCAAAGAATGTTCAGTAACCACCAGAGGCTCGCCTTGGTCTGGCGGCCCCCTCACCTGCTCAACCATCCCGCCAAGGCCGATGCCCACCATGTTCTGTGCATGCTCCCTGGTAGTCAGTGAACATCATAGCAACTGGTTGTTTGGTTGTTCCAACGTTCAATCTATTTGCATATTAGGGTTATATAGATATAGATAAAGGTGTTATAGATATAGATGATGATATAGATATAGATGAAATAGATATAGATGATATAGATATAGATATAGATATAGATATAGATATAGATATAGATATAGATATAGATATAGATATAGATAAGGTATCCTGTGGAAATACACATAAAACAAAGTTATTGATCACTTGATGAAAATGCTTCTAGATGCTGCCTATACTCTATAGTGGATATCCACCACACACACACACACACACACACACACACACACACACACTGTCCCGGGGACATAGCACCACAGTATTCTGCAGGAGCTCTCCCTGGGCCCTCCATGAGCCTCTGTGAGAACTCCTTTGAATGTGAATTTCTACTCACAGGGTATGTTTCTACTTAATTTCAGTAGGCATGCCAGATGACCATGTACAAGCTCTGCACACATTCCACACCCATCAGCTCTGCCCACCTCGCAACCAACTCCTGACATTATCCAACTGGCTAAGTTTTGTCAGCTTACAAGTGATATCCCTTTGTTTATTTGCATTTCTCTAACACTGATGTATTTAAATACTCGTGTGTTCAGGGGCTTATGGTTTCTTTTTCTGTAAAGCATTCATTTTTGTTGATTTGCAGAAGTTTTTTATATGTTCTAGATTTGGCCCCTTGCTAATTTCAAACATGGTCCATTTGTTTTGCCTTATGGGTCATGCCTTTGAAGGTTTGTTCCCAAGTATTCTCTGCTCCTAGAAGGTTTTTCTCCTACATTATTTACTGTTCATTTCATAAGTTTACCTCTTACTTTTCGTTTCATCTTCTGGAGTCCACTCTCTGTATGTGGCAACAGGTTAAGAGTTAATTTTATGGTCCTCCAGATAGCAGCTCACCACATTATTTTATATCCTATCATCCTATTTCTTTTTTATTTATCACAATCCATAATTTGGAATATAGCTACTACCATTGAGCTGTCTGCAGCTCTTTTCCCATCAGACTGGAGCTCCTTGAGAGTAGGGACTGTGTCTGTCTTGTTCCCCATTCAGTTTCTAACTCAGTCCTGACACATTGTAGGAGCTCAAGGAACATGGGCTAGATGGAGGGAGTGAGGAAAGAAGAAAGGATGGAGAGGTGAAGGAACAAAGGTCAGAGGGAGAGAGAGAAGGGTGGGAGGCAAGGGAGGCCCTCATTCTTTTTTATAACACCAGTCCCCCACCCAGGATATTCCTGCCCAAATACCCTTGCTCATCCCCAGGCCTGGGCCATACACAAGGGCAAGCACCTGGAGGGCACTGACAAGGAGGACCCCTCCACCTGGAAGACACGGCTCCGCTGTGCCCTCACCAAGAGTGTGGACTTCCGCGAGGTGCGTGAGCGCAGCCAGCTGGACATCTCCAACCCCTACAAGGTCTACCAGATTGTGCCGGACAGTGCCCATGGCCCAGGTACCATCTTGCCCCTGGAGGTAGTGGCCAAGAATGGCTCTGTGGGCAGTAAGAACCTCATTTTGCACATCATAAAATGGGAAATGGTAAGCTGAACTAATGGGCAGTTAAGCAGAGAAGGACCCTGTTGATCTCCCCATTTGAAAAGGAGGAAACTGCCGAAACCGGTTTGGCTCAGTGGATAGAGCGTCGGTCTGTGGACTGAAAGGTCCCAGGTTTGATTTCGGTCAAGGACATGTACACTGGTTGTGGGCACATCCCCGGTAGGGGGTGAGCAGGAGGCAGCTGGTCGATGTTTCTCTCATCAATGTTTCTAGCTCTCTATCCCTTTTCCTTCCTCCTCTCCCTTCCTCTCTAAAAAATAAATAAAATATATTTTAAAACAAGAAAGAAAGAAAGAAAGAAAGAAAGAAAGAAAGAAAGAAAGAAAGAAAGAAAGAAAGAAAAGGAGGAAACTTAGGCCCAGAGAGAGGTGGGTCTTGCCTGAGATTATGCAGTGAGCTGGGGTACTCTGTCTGGGATCATCTCAGTTGAGGGGGTCCCCCTTGGGGCCCAGGAGTCAATAGCCTGTCTCTTACTCCATCCAGTCACCAGGACTCGTGCTTCCCCTGCAGAGGAGGGGGTTCTCCGGAGCCAGCAGGAGCCCCTCAGAGAAGTGACGGAGCCCGCCTGCAGGCCAGCCCAGGTCAGTGTGTGCCCTGCAGCCCTCCAGCCTCGCCAGCTGTCACCTTTTACCCAAACACCCTCTCAATGTCTCCAGCAAATGCTCTCCCCCCTCCATGCCCACCCTTCCCATCAGCTCTACCTCACCTCTGCCATCACTTTCAACTCATCATTCTATCCACTTTGCCTCCATCGCCTCTAGCTCCCTCACTGTTCCCATCACCCCCGTCATCTTCAGCTCCATCATTGTCTGCACCAACGCTATTTTCTCCAAGCTTACTCCCTGACCCCTGTCATCAGTGGGCCCATTACTCTGACCCCAATCACCCCATAAGATCCAGTTCTACCACCGACTTCCCTTCACTGTCATCACCTGTAGCTCTCACCACATCATCTCCATCTCCATCACTGTCTGTATCACCCCTACTATCTCCACCCTCATCCCCTCTCCCCCATCATCAGTGGTTCATTGCTCTCACCTCCAACAATCCCACCAACTCTCTTTTTACCTCTGTGGGAAAAAGGTCTTAAGCTCTGAAACTCCAATTCCTGTCAACCCCAGAGAGCCTTCAGTCTACCCACACCTCCTCTGCCCACAGTCTGGGAGCTCCTCCCCGCTCCCCCCCCCCCCCCCACACACACACACACTATTCTCTCTCCTGGTGTTCAGGCTGGCTCCGGATTGGCCACTGAAGATGCGAACAGGGAGCAGCCCCCCAGGCTGGCCCAGCAGGGCTCCTGGGCACCAGCTGCCTTGCCCCTAGGCCCTCTGGCTGACCACAGTGAGTACCTGTCCCTCGCCCACCCTGCATCCTCCTGGCCTCCCGCAGGACCTTGCTCTAAGGGTCCAGGAGCACAGGGTGAGGGGGTGCCTGCCTGCGTTCCCTCCTTCCCCAGGGTACCGGGCTCCAGACCCCTCCGGCTTCTGGAGCCTTTTGCCCCCTGAGGACTCCAGCAACCCCGGTAAGGAGTCTAGAGGCTCCTCCGCCAACCACTCACCCACCAACCACCGTGCAGGCCCGGGGCTGGGGCCAGTTACCTCTGTCTCCCCCCATGGTACCCGGCCCAGACTCCCACTAATCTTTTGCTGAGGGCTTAGTCGCTTCTATGCATCCTTCTGAGCTCTCCCCACAGTCCTGAGAGCGAGATCCTGCCACCACCCCCATTTTACAGAAGCCAGACACAGAGCTGAGGGACCTTGTCCAAGGTCACACAGCGAGCGACTGGGGACGTTCCTAGCAGCTCCTAAGTGCCAGCGAGAGAGGAGAAGCCCGGGGCCTGGCTGCAGAGCCCACAGCCCTAACCACTGACCACTGCTGGCTCCTCACAGGGAGGCTGCTGCTTTGTTGTTATGTCCACCAGCATGCTGGGAAGAAGCTCCTAAAATCCCAGCGTTGGGGCTGGGAAAGCCTCTGTGGGAGGCCCCCCATTGTACAGAGAATCCCAGGCTCTGCTTTTGAAGCTAAAATTCCATTCCGTTTTTTTTGTTTGTTTGTTTGTTTGTGGGTTTGGTGTTGTTGTTTTTTTTTTGTTTGTTTTTTTTTGTGTGTGTGTGTGTGTGTAATAGCTAATAGTTATTGAACAATTACTATGTTCCAGGCCCTGTATTAAGCACTGCTTCTGGAAACATATTCAATTTATTATTTTTTTTATTATTGATGTTTTTACAAAGAGGAAGGAAGAGGGATAGAGCGTTTGAAACATCGATGAGAGAGAAACATCAACCAGCTGCCTCTTGCACACCCCCCTACCGGGGATGTGCCCACAACCAAGGTAGTACATGCCCTTGACTGGAATCGAACCCAGGACCTTTCAGTCCGCAGGCGGACGCTCTACCACTGAGCCAAACCGGTTTCGGCTCCCATTCCGTTTACACTGGAAGCTGCGGTTATTTACCACCGCAGCCACCGCTAGAATGATTGCTGTCTCTTGTCGGGGGTGGGAGGATGCGGGGGGCACCCAGGGTCCCAGGCCCTGCTGGGGGGTGAGATGCGGGCGGTGGGAACTGGCGCCGCCCTCACCGGCGCCCCCGGCCCCTCCCGCAGGCTGCTGGCTGCACGTGCGGCTCTTCTACGGCGCCGAGCTGGTGCGGGAGGCCACCGCGCGCACCGCCGAGGGCTGCCGCCTGGGCCCGCGCGCCGCCGCCGCGGACGCGGCCGCCGAGCGCCTCCTGGGGCCGCCGCGCGAGGCCCAGGTGCGCTTCCCGGAGCCGCCGCCAGGGGCGCGCGCGCTGCGCCGCCTGCTGCCGCACCTGCAGCGCGGGCTGCTGCTGTGGGCGGCGCCCGAGGGCGTGTTCGCCAAGCGCCGGTGCCGGGGCCGCGTGTACTGGCGCGGCCCGCTCGCCCCGCACCGCGCGCGGCCCAACAAGCTGGAGCGCGAGCGCACCTGCCAGCTGCTGGACACGCGCCGCTTCCTCGCAGGTCGGTGGGAAGGTGGGGCCGGGGTGGCCGGCGGGGCACTGAGTGGCCGGACACAAGATGGGCAAAGGGCTGTGGGCAGGGGAGAGTGGGCAGAGAGGTGTGCGAGCAGGGGAATGGGCCTCAGGATGCGGGGCATGGGGCCGACATGGAAAGAAAGGACCTGGCACAGAAGTCCTGGGAGTGGGAACAGATATGGGCATCAGGGAGCTGGGCACAGATATTGCCGTAAACAAATGGGAGATACAGGCGGGAACAGGCTTGGTGCTGGGGGTATGGGGGCATACGCAGAGGCGTGGGCAGGTGTGTTGTCTAGGGCAGGGCACTAGACGTAGGGTGGGCAAGAGGGGCACTGGGCACAAGATAGGCATAGCTGAGTGGCAATGGGCATGGATGGGCATAAAGGCAGAGCAGTGAGCATAGGAGCACAAGACATGGGGCGTGAGCACTGGAAATGGGCACGGATGTGGGACATGAAACATGTGGAAGTGGGCATAGGGCATGGGTGTGCACAATGGGGATGCGGGCTCATAGGACGTGGGCATGGGATATGAGCGCAAGGTGGGCACCAGGTGGGACGTCCACAACCTGTGCCCGCAGAGCTGCAGGCCCACCTGCAGGATGGCCACCCAGAGCCCGAGTACCAGATCCGTCTGTGCTTTGGCGAGGAGTACCCTGGGCCCCCGGACCAGCCGCAGGAGCGGCTCATCATGGCCCACGTGAGTCACCTCCTGGGCCAGGCCCCACACCCGCCAGTCCCCTCTGGACGGCCCCTCACTGCTCCCTCTGGTCCCAGCTCTGCCCCTGACCTGCTATATGGCCCTCTGCATGTATGACCCTCATGCAAAACGTGTGTGGGGAAGGGACCGTCATTAGGCTGTGACTTCCCACAGGAGCGTGGAAGGTGGATAATGGGGAACGTCGGCTCACTGCCTCTCTTTGCCCCCTGCAGGTGGAGCCAGTCTTTGCCCGAGAGCTTCTCCGCCATGCGAAGCACCACAGGCACTGGGCCCCGGGCGCCAGGCCCCAGGCCCCACATCCCTGATGGCATCGCTCATGCGGTGACACAGCTGAGCCGGCCCTAAGCAGCTGCTTCTCCCTCATACCTTCTAAAGTCTCTCTCTCACACACACACACACACACACACACACACACACACACGATGCAGATCCCACCCCAGCTCTGCCCACACTGAGCCAGCGGACTTCGGCCTTCCCCACCCCCCACCGAACACGGCCTTCAGCCTCTGAGCTGAGGAGGCGCAGCCGGGAAGGCATTGTGTAGGCGGAGGGCCTCCCAGCCGGGCCGGGGTGTCAGGCGGAAACTGAGCTGGACCTTGAGATGCCAGAAGCAGCAATCAGAGCAGAAGAAATAAGACTCCTTCTCTTTGCGGAGAGCTCAACAAGCCTATACGGTCACTCTAAAGCAGACCTTACTCTGAGATTGATCCATGATAAGCTTTGCTTAAAGCTGAGTTTACCTCGAAGGGGCTCTGAGTTTCCAGACTCTTCTCCTACCTGGGTTTGGGGTGAGGGGAGGAGGTCCCAAAACAGAGGACTTGGCCTGACTCAGGGACTTTGGATACTAACCACTAAGCCATCAGCACCTGGAGACACTTTCTTTGGAGAAACTGAGTCAGCCCCGCTCCCAAACAGAGCCCTGGGGCAGAAGCCAAAGTGGGAACTAGGAGGGGTCCAGCCCCTCCCCAAGCCCCTTCAAACTCTACAAACTAAGTTGTAGCAAGTCCTTGAGATTGAGAGGGAGCCCCTCACCCATGAGGGCAGTTAGCCCTGCTTTGTCATAAGTCACCACTTTCCGCCCCTTTCCTGATTTCTGACTTGAAAAGGCTGCTTTTGCAGGTGGCATCATAATAAATCTCTTTTAGTGAGACATTAGTACGTCTCACGTTGCCCGGATGGCGTGGCTCAGTGGTTGAGTGTGGACCTATGAACCAGGAGGTCACAGTTGGATTCCCGGTCAGGGCACATGCTCGGCTTGTAGGCTCAGTCCCCAGTGTGGGGCATGCAGGAGGCAGCCGATCAATGATTCTCTCTCCTCATTGATGTTTCCATCTCTCTCTCTCCCTCTACCTTCCTCTCTGAAACAAAAATGTATATTTAAAAAAAAAATAAGTCACTTTTATGGGAGGGAAGGGGGACTACGATTCAACAAAGGACAGAAGTCAATCCGATCGCTGTTTTTTTTAAATTCATTCAGTAAATGTGGATGGAACACCTGTTCCAGGCCAATGCTGGACTCTGGGGACAGAGCAAAACAGCATGGCCCGACTCTAACTGGGGTTCACAGCCTGTTTCCCAGCGGGGCCCCAGGGACTTCTGTGTCCCTGCCCCTCACAGGAGAGGTGGTGTGTGAAGGAGTTACAGAACCCTAGGTTGAAATCCTAGCCTTTTCATTCACTCGCTGTGTGACTGTAACCAAGTCACTTCACTTCTCTGAGCCTCAGATTCCTCATCTGTCCAAAAGCAGCTCTGAAGGCCTCTGGAGCAGGGGCGGTCTGAGAAGTGCATGTGGAGAAGGGAGGTGAATGGGCCTGGCATGGAAAGAGCACACAGTAGGTACCCTCTGACTTGGCTACGTGTGGCTCAGAGAACATGGAGGAAGCTCCGCCATCTTTCAGAAGGCCTGAGTGTCTGTCCTGGGCTTTTTTGGTTTGTTTTTGTTTTTGTATCCCTGGCCCAAGGCTGCAGCAGGCGGGGAGCTCAGTTCAGAGTGACTGTCCTCAGCCATGTCCTACTCTGTGCTAGGCTCACAGAGGGTGCTGGGTACTATGCAAGGGAGCCTTGTTGCTTCCTCACCACAACTGGAACAGATCAAGAGTCACCAGCTCCGCCGAAACCAGTTTGGCTCAGTGGTAGAGCGTCGGTCTGCAGACTGAAAGGTCCCCGGTTCGATTCCGGTCAAGGAAATGTACATTGGTTGCAGGCACATCCCCGGTAGGGGGTGTGCAAGAGGTAGCTGGTTGATGTTTCTCTCTCATCGACGTTTCTAGCTCTCTATCTCTCTCCCTTCCTCTCTGTAAAAAATCAATAAAATATATTTAAAAAAAAAAAAAAAAAAAAGAGTCACCAGCTCCACTTTAGAGATGGGAAACATAGGCTCAGCCAGGGTCAGGGACTTGCTTGAGACACCTCATGGGAGAGGGCATCTCTCTACCCAAATGTCTGTCCTCCCTACACCACTAGAGGGCGCCGGGGCTCAGCCAATGGGTTTGGCGGGCTCTCATCTCCATCCCAGGTGCCCCACCCCACATTCACCCTGCTGAGAGGAGATTAGGGAATAGTGTGGCCTCCAGGGCTCTGCGTTGTGGGAAGTTGGGAGAAGAAGGCCTGGGAGGAGGAGAGGAGGAAAGGGGAACTGGAGTGGAGACTGGAGAAGCCCTTGGTGGCTTTTAGCGCCCAGTTCTCTAGCTCAGCACTTAGATACTGAGTTCTCCCTCTCTCCGCAGAGATAACTGTCTCTCTATCCCTCCCTCTCTTGTGAGTCTCTTTCTCTCTCTCTCTCTGTGCGTGTGTGTGTCCTCCTTTTTTTCTCTATCTCTGTACATTTGTTTCTCTATTTCAGTGATTCTTTTTCTGTATACTCCCTGCATGTATGTGTGCAAGTGTGTGTATTTTTTGTCTTATCTTTGTCTCTTTATGTCTCTGCCTCTATCTCTGTGTGTTTTTGTCTCTTGCTAGATCTCTACCTCTCTTTGTGTCTGTCTCTGTCTCTTTCCCCTCCCCACTATCTGTCTCTTTACATCTCTGCCTCTGTCTCTTTTTGTTTCTGTCTCTGTCTCCCTCTGTTTCACATCCTATCCCTCCCCAGCCACCACCAGGCAGCACATGTGGGCTGAGGGTCTCACTCAGTCCCTTCCTTCCCAACTTCTTGCCCCTGGCAGCGGCTCAAAACTTCCCAGTCCAGGCCTCTCCTGCCCGCCCCTCTCCGGCCTTGGAGGAGGGGGTGAGGGAGGAAGGGAGGGAAGCCTGGCGGGCCCACCCCTTTTTGCCTTTCCAGGCTGGGAGGCCGGGCCAGTGGGCCTTTTAACCAGCCTGGGCAGGCTGTGCCGGACACCAGCCCTGGACGCGGTGCCTGGCTCCCGTGGTCCTGGCAGCCGCCGGCCCGGCCAGCCCAGCCAGCATGCAGCAGCAGCCCCCACCGGGGCCCCTGGCCCCCGCGGCCGAGCCCACCAAGCCCCCCTACAGCTACATAGCCCTGATCGCCATGGCCATCCAGAGCTCCCCGGGGCAGCGGGCCACGCTCAGCGGCATCTACCGCTACATCATGGGCCGCTTCGCCTTCTACCGCCACAACCGGCCCGGCTGGCAGAACAGCATCCGCCACAACCTGTCCCTCAACGAGTGCTTCGTCAAGGTGCCCCGGGACGACCGCAAGCCGGGCAAGGGCAGCTACTGGACCCTGGACCCGGACTGCCACGACATGTTCGAGCACGGCAGCTTCCTGCGCCGGCGCCGGCGCTTCACCCGGCGCGCGGGCGCGGAGGGCACCAAGGGCCCCGCCAGGGCGCGCCGGGGAGCCCTCCGAGCCGCCGGCCGGGAGGGCCCGGGAGCCCTCGATGCCACGACCGGCAGGCAGTGCCCGTTCCTGCCGGAGCCGCCGGAGCCCAAAAGCCTAACCTTTGGGGGCCTGGTGGGGACCCTGCCAGCCAGCTTGTGCCCGGCAACCGCCGACGTCAGGCCCCGGCCGTCTGCGGAGCCCAAAGAGATGCCCACGCCCAAGCCTGCAGGCCCAGGGGAGGGCCCCGTGGGCACCTCGTCTTCGTCGTGCCCGGCCTTTGGCTTTCCTGCCGGCTTCTCTGAGGCTGAGGGTTTTAGCAAGGCCCTGGCACCCATCCTGACCCCCGAGGCCGGCCTTGGGAGCGGCTACCAGTGCCGGCTGCAGGCCCTGAATTTCTGCATGGGCGCCGACCCGGGCCTGGAGCACCTCGTGGCCTCGGCGGCGCCCTCCCCTGCGCCTCCCGCCCCTCCGGCCTCCCTGCGGGCCCCGCTGCCCCTCACAGCCGACCCCAAGGAGCCCTGGGCTGCGGGCGGCTTCCAGGTCCAGGGAGGCTCCGGCTCCCCGCTGGGGCTGACCCCCTGCCTCTACCGGACACCGGGAATGTTCTTCTTTGAGTGAAGCCAGCCTGGCCGTGGGCAGCCCCTGCCACGTCGCCCTCCGGGCCGAGCCGGGCTGTAGGAGCGGGGAGCTCTCCAAGGACCCAGGCCTGGCGAGGCCGACAGCAGACAGCGGGCACAGGAAGCCGAGACTGGAGTGGTGAACACTCAGCCAGCACCAGGGCCTCCGGACAGACTTGGGGGGAGGAGAGGCAGAGCCCCCCTGAGGTTTATCTGTGGCTCTCAGGGCCAATAAAGCCGGTGTGCCGATGAGGGTCAGCTTGCTGGACGGTCGGGGGCTGAGGGCCGGGAGGCCTGGCTCTGTGTGGTTGGCCGTGGTTGTGGGGTTGTGTGGCAGGTGAGAGACCCCCGGTGGACATATTCCACGTGAGGACTCCTCCTGCTGGGGACTTTCTCGGGGAGTTTCCCAGGAAGGCAGAGGAAGGGGGAGCAGGGAATGGGGCAGAGAGAGGAGGGAGGCAACCGTGAGAGATGGGGGAGGGCGGATGCCGGCCTGGCCGGAGGGGCTGGTTCTCCAATCCCAAACTCTGACTCAGCTGCCCCCGTCAGAATGGGTCCGGATAACCGTGACCATTTGTGTCATTCACTCCATCCCAGGCTTCTTCCTCTCGCCAGATCCTGTGTGGTTGGGGTGATACCCTCGTTTGACATGGGAGGAGTCGGAGCCTTGGAGAGTTTGGGGTCCTAGCTTCGACTCCAGATGGCACATGAGTGGCAGAGGGGAAATGGAAACTGGGTGTGTGTCTGCCCCCCGCCTGGCCTGCAGCGTGAGCAGACGCAGGGTAGAAGCAGAGCTGGTGGTGTAGAGTTCAGGGGGTTCAAATGCCGGTGGTAAAAGGGCACAGCTTCTGCCTTTCAAGGCTCCAAGGCAGGCACTGGTCCCTCCTCTGGATTTCCTGCAAGAACCGGGGCTCCTGGGTCCCAGCTCTCTGAGCTCTCCTGACGACTTAAGAAAGCATTTCTCACCCTAACCGGTTTGGCTCAGTGGATAGAGCGTCGGCCTGTGGACTGAAGGGCCCCAGGTTCGATTCCAGTCTAGTGCATGTACCTTGGTTTCGGGCACATCCCCAGTGGGGAGTGTGCAGGAGGCAGCTGATTAATGTTTCTTTCTCATCGATGTTTCTAACGCTCCCTCCCTCTCCCTTCCTCTCTGTAAAAAAGAAAGAAAGAAAGAAAGAAAGAAAGAAAGAAAGAAAGAAAGGGAAAGGAAAGGAAAGGAAAGGAAAGGAAAGGAAAGGAAAGGAAAGGAAAGAGAAGCATTTCTCTCATGGTGGGGAGGGGAGGGGCTGTCCTGGGTACAGCCCCAAAGTGACAGAGCCCTGGCCTGTCCCTCTCTGGCTGCCCCCTTGGGTGTATTGTGCCCCCCTCGGAGGAAGGAGCTTGGAGTGTCCCACTCCCTCATGTCAGAGTGGCTGAGGCTCCTTCCAGAGCCTCAGTTCCCCCTCTGGATCACGGGTGTTCGAAGAGCAGGGCCAGGATACTGAGGGACCCCTTCCTGGTCTTCGGTGTGGTGTTCCGGGGGGTCTTACAGCCACAAGGTGGCACCCAGGGAACTGGAGACCCCTTCACGGGGCGGGCGGCCCAGGCCCCTCAGAGGCGCTTCCTGGGCAGGCCGCCACAGGGACTTCAGTCTCTGCTCTCCCTCCTCCCTCGGCAGGTCCCCTGGGGCTTGGGAGGAAGCGAGCCCGGCTGGACAGCCCCAACTGTCTGGTTCCCACAGGCTCCAGAGCCAGGGTGGAAGGGGTCCTGCAGGGTGGGGGCGAGCTGAGGCCGGAAGGGGTTGAGAAAGTGCCTGGCCAGCTGTGGGGCCCCTCCCTTCCATGTCTGCTGGACCCCAGCCTGGAGCCCATCGGGCGATGGGGAGGAGAGGGTCCGTCCTGTCACATTGGGGCAGCCTCGTGGCGGAGAGGGGAGGAGAGAAAGGTCCTGGGGGGGGGGGGGGGCGTGGATGAGGAGAGGGGAGGAGGCTCTCGTGTGGATTCGTAGATGGCATGTGCCTGTGTGGGTCAGTATGTCTCAGAGAGTGTGTGTGTGTGTGTGTGGTGCACAGAGACAGTTACAGAGACAAGGACAAGCGGATTCAGGGAAAGAGGCCTCTGCCAGGCGCTGTTCCCTGTGGTGCATTCCTCTGGAGACCTGGTGACCCCAGTTCCTTCCCAGCCTGTGTCCTGAGCTCGGAGGAGGATGGGGAGGCTGGCCTGCCTCAGGGAGCCCCAGCCTCTGCATCCTGCCCAGCCCTCCCCCAAGGAGGTTTGGCTTCTGAACTGAGGTGGGGGCGTGGGGAGAAGAATGCTGCACCCCCTGCCTGCCCACCCTTTGCCTGGGGGAAACCCACGCCCAGGAACGCCCCCCCCCCCCCCCCCCCGCTCTGGCTCCCAGCACCGCTGAGAAGTGAAGACAGGCCCCCCTCAGTCCCAGTCCCCATCAGGACCCTGGGCTCGGTGCCTGCCTTGGACTCGCTGTGTAAGACTGGACCAGTGCCCACCTCTCAGGCCCTGGTTTCATTCCCTTTGCCCCAGGCGGGTGGGGGAGCAGGGAGACAGCCTGACTTTTTGAGTCTGCGTCCTAGAGGAGGGTGTGACCTGGGCAGGGGGTAGGGGGAAGGGGCTGGAGGGGATCTCACCCCAGAGGCGCTGGCCCCGAAGGCCCAGACATCATGATCTCACATTGCCCTCTGCTCGCTGCCCAGCCTGGGGACCCCACCCACTGGGCCTTCTGCCCTCACATTCTTTCCATGACCAGCAGACTCCCTCTGGCTCCTGCCTGGCCACCCCCACCTGGGGGTGGGCAGTTCTTAGCAGAGATTCAGAGTGCCCAAGCTGGCGGACCCTGAGAGTGCACCTCAGCACAGATGACGAGACCGCCAGAGGCGGGAAGTGACCTTCCCAAGGCCACACAGCACAGTACCTACCGTGGCTCCTCCCGCTGAGCCTAAGCTGTTTCAGGACCAGGGCCACCCACCTGACTCTGCTGCAAGGACCCTTTCCCCTGCCGACTCGTCAGAACCAGGAGGAGGTCACAGCCCCCACCCCGCCCTGAAGGGTAGGGCGAAAAGGGTACTGAGTCACCTTGCTAAGTCCAAACTGGAAACGGTAAAACCAGTGGTATGTCAGGATGTTCCAGAGAGTTTAATCACAGCAGCAGCTCAGATTCTTGGAATGTCAGAGGTGAAAGGGCGTCTCCTGCCCAGCTTCTGAACCCTCTCTGCACCGAGTAGTGCATACCACATGGGGTTCCAGGGCAAGGCGCCCCTGACTTCAGAGGCACCCCGTCCCCTTTGGCAGCTCCAAAGGACTGTCAGGCGGGTCCCTCGGTCTCGGCTCTCCTACCCCCAGGCGGCCACCCCCACCCACAGGGCCGGGCCTTCCTCAGCAGCTCCTTCCTCCGCCCTCCGTGTCCCACTCTCCCACCCACGTTTCCTTCCCCGGTTTCTGGCATTCCATGGCCCAGAGTCCAACACTCCTTCCCACACCCCGGGCAGCCCCTGGGCCAGGGGTGGGGACCTTCTCCCTTGGAGGGCGGGTGCTCTGAGGCCACGAGTGATGAGGAAGAAGGAAGGGGGAGGCCGTGGCAGCCAGCCTGGCATGTCTGCCTGCTGGGAGTGAACGGAGCCCAGGAATCCAGGCCTCAGCCAAACATGTCCTCCCCACACCCCACGGGCTCCCGTCTCCCCCAGGGCTGGGCTGCCAGAGGCAGTAGGTGCAGCAGCTAAGAGCAGGAGCTCTGGGAGCCCAGCTGCCTGGGTTCAGAGCCGAGCTCTGCCAATTCCCAGCTGTGTGACCTTGGGCAAGTTGCTTTCCCTTTCTGTATGTCTCTGTGTTTAGCTATAAAACTAGAGGCCCGGGGCATGAAATTCATGCACTCAGGGGAGGGGACGGGGGTTGTCCCTCAGCCAGGCCTGCACCCTCTTGCAGTCTGGGACCCCTCAGGGGGTGTCTGACTGCCAGCTTAGGATCGGGCCTAAGCTGGCAGGCAGACATCCCTCTTGTAGTCTGGGATCCCTTGCTCCTTACTGCCTTCCTGCTCGCTGCTCCTTATGCTCAGCTCTGGAGGCTGGAGAGGCTCCCGCCACTGCCACTGTTATCACCAGTCGTGAACCCGGCTTCTGGCTGAGCAGTGCTCCCCCTGTGGGAGCGCACTGACCACCAGGAGGCAGCTCCTGCTTTGAGCGTCTGCCCCCTGGTGGTCATGCACTTCATAGCAACCGGCCATTCAGTTTATTTGCATATTAGGGTTTTATTATGTAGGATGTGGACATTAACAGTACCTACCCCCATGGGGTTGTTGTGAGGATTACATGAGCTAATATTTGCAAAGTGCTTAGAGTAGAGCCTAGCACATGGAAGCTGCAATATAGTTGTTAAGTATAATAAATAAGTATTTGGGCACTGGGGGCGTGTCCCCTTAAACTGATTTACCCCCCAAGGAAAGGCCACGCTACCGTGGAGGTGGGGGAAGGCAGGGGAGGAAAGACTGACGTAGACAAGGCTTTGAATTTAATTCCTGGCATCTCGTCTTCCTGGCTGTGTGACCTCAAGCACACGGGCTCACCTTCCCAAGTTCCAGTTTCTTCATCTGTCCAATGGGGACAATGATTCCAATTCCCGGACTGGTGTGTGGAAAACCCGCACAGTATGAGCGTCAGTCAGTCAGCGAGAATAAAGCTGGAACAAACAGCAGCCCCCTGGAAGGTCTTGTAACCTCAGCCCAGCCCGCCCTGCCTCTCTGCCAGGGCAGAACTTCCCTCCCCGCAGGCCTGGAGGTGCCTGGCCCCCTATTCCGGCTGCTAATTGGCTGGTGACGCAGAGGCAGCCGGTAGGGCTGAAGGAAGCAGTTCCCCGCTAACAATGGGCCAGCGTCAGCCAGCACCCTGCCTGGTGCTCCCTGGAAACACGGGACCCCAGTCCTCGGGGTGCACCTGTCTCTATGATACAAATGAGAGGCTAATCCTCCGGCTCCAGGTTAAGCCAGCGGGTTCCCTGGAGGGTGTCTTCTTCGCACGCGCTGTCCCCCCACCTGGAATGCTCACTCCCCTCAGCGGACCCTCCCATCCAGAGCCCAGTAGATACCCCTCCTCAGAGAAGCCCCTCCCTGGGGCTTCTGAGTAGGTGCCCCCGGACCATTTCCTTTCTCTGCAGCCCCCCTGGTTCCTCCGCTGGCACCTACTGCAATGCGGGAGCATGCGTTTCTGCTGTATTCGCTTTAATCGTGTTTCTCCTTAGAATGCAGGGGATGCCCTAACCGGTTTGGCTCAGTGGATAGAGCGTCGGCCTGCAGACTGAAAGGTCCTGGGTTCGATTCCGGTCAAGGGCATGTACCTTGGTTGCGGGCACATCCCCAGTAAGAGGTGTGCAGGAGGCAGCTGATCGATATTTCTCTCTCATCGATGTTTCTAACTCTCTATCCCTCTCCTTTCCTCTCTGTAAAAAATCAATAAAAAAAATTTTTTTTTTTTTTAAAGAAGCAAGGGTTGGATCTACCTCAATCCCTGTATCCACTTCTTTAACCTGGTGGCCAGCGCAGAGCAGGCCCTCAATAAAGGTTTGCAGAGTGGACAAGTGGAGTCATGTCAGCCACTCATCCGTTTGCCATGGATTAAATCTCAGAGGGCTCCCTGGCCCCCTCAGAGCAAAAGCCCAAGTCCTCAGGGGCCCGTGTGATCTGGCTTCACCTCCTCTTGCCTGTCCCTGACTCCAAACAGCCTTCACCCGTGCAGAAACCCCTCAGGACCCCCCGCCCCCATGCCCTTCACGTCCGCAGAGAAGCCCACTCTGATGGCCATATCCCACCCACCCCAACAACGCCTTCTAAGTTCCTTTCTGCCCTTCAGACTTCTGCCAGAGACTTTTGTCAATGGGCTGCTGGCCCTGGAACCTAGAGCAGCGTCTGGCACATACAGGTGCTGGCGCAGTAGCTGTGGGGTATGAGGTCAGCCGCCCGTGCTGCTCTTCACGTCTCATGTGCCTGTTACCCTGGCTCTGGGAGGCAGGGGCTGCTGTTACCCCACTCCACCGACGGGACTCTGAGGCTCAGAGAGGGCAAATACATCAATTGGAACCCTGTCTGCCTGACCTGCACCCCGTCTCTGCCGCCAGCCTGTCTCCCGAGCAGTATGAGATCTGCCTCCCGCCTCCTGTGCCCACGTCCTCCCAGCCCCTCAGGCAGATGTGGCTCAGCCTCTCTGGTCTCCCCGTCTCCAACCTCCCACTCACGGACCTCCCTGCGCGGAGACCCTTCTGAACCACAGATCTGACCACGCCCTTCTTTGCTTAAAACCCTCCATGGCTCCCTGTTGTCCCGATCCAGGCTGGCATTCCAGGCTGCCAACTTCTCTGTAATTATCTCCCGCTTCATCAGATGCAAGAGCCTCACTGAACTGCTCCCAGCCAAAACCGGTTTGGCTCAGTGGCTAGAGCATCAGCCTGCAGACTGAGGGGTCCCAGGTTCGATTCCGGTCAAGGGCATGTACCTTGGTTACGGGCACATCCCTGGTGGGAGGTGTGCAGGAGGCAGCTGATCGATGTTTCTCTCTCATTGATGTTTCTAGCTCTCCATCCCTCTCCTTTTCTCTCTGTAAAAAAAAAAAAAAAAAAAAAAAAAAAAATCAATTTTAAAAAATGCTCCAGTCATGCTTGCTCCCAGCTCCAAGCCTTTGGATACATGGCCCCCTCTGCCTGGAATGCCCTCTTCCCTCGATCTGGAAAAACCCTGCTCCTATTTGCCCTCGGCGTGGCTGTCACCTTCACTGGGGAGGAAACAGGGCTCAGTGTCTTCTTCCCTGTCAGCGCCAACCTCCTACCCACTGGGGTCCCAGAGGCCGTGAACCCCCCAAGGGTGGGGACCATGACTAATTCATCGCCAGGCTGGCCAGGCTCAGAGCAGGGACTCCTCAGTTAGCCAGGAGGCGACTGGATGTGTCGGAAGTCTGACTGCTGGCTTACTTCCACATTTCACCAGCCTGACTCCACTGTTTACTGGCTGGGAACCCATGGACTTGTGCCTCAGTTTCCTCATCTGTGCAAAGCTGGCCGTGAGAATACCCACTCACAGTGTGGGGATGAATGAGCTCATACGTGCAATCACTTGGTACGGTGCCTGGTGCTCAATAAATAACGCCCGAGAGAGTGGAGGAGAGAACAGGTGGTGGGCAGCTGCGCGGGCGGGAGCTTGGTCCAGGCGGGCGCCTCCTTCAGGGCGGCCCTGGCTGCATCTTTTCCCACCGCTGCCCTGCTGGGTCCAAGGTGGCCGGTGGAATGTGAGGCCAGTGGACACAGACAGGAAGAGGCAGCGTCACCAGCCTTGGTGTAATGCAAACCAGATGCAGCCTCAGACCCATGGGGTGGTCACTGTGGGCTTGGCCAAGGCCCAGAGGCAGGAAATAGTCTTGGAGGAACGCTCTCTGGGCTGGGACCAGCCAGGAGGAGCTGTCCCACCGAGGCCGTTAACCCTTCTGAGCCCACAAAGGGGGCCAGGACGCCGGCAGAGGAAGCTTGTGGTTCCGGCCCCATGAGGCACAGAGCACCTCGCAGGAAAGGCCACAGCACCAGATTCCACCGGCCACACACCAGGCTCCATGGCGGGCAGGGCACACCAAGCAAGGGGCAGGGGACAGTCATAGCCTAGCACTTGGGACTTGCAGATCCGAAGCTTTGGCCCTGACCTGGCTCCAGCCGGCAGGCCCAAACCAGCTGAGGGTTCATGCCTCCATCAGGTGGCTCCTGGTGAGGGGGGGGTAGGAGAGTTGGGGGGGGGGGGGAGAAGTTGCTTCCACCTCCCCCGAGGCTGCTGGCGATGGAGGCTCCAGTGACAGGTGCTGGGGCCAGGCCTGCAGAGAGGCAGGACCTCGGTCCCATTTTAGGGGCTGCCCGCCCCCCCCTCCCCCCAGCTTTTTCCTAGGTGTGCTCTGTGGCCCTCGGAAAGAGCAAACTCTCCCTGAATCCCCATTTCCCTACCCATATTGCTACCTCCAGAGACCAGGGGAGGCCCAAAGGAGACACCTAATAATAAAAAAGAGCTTCCTAAGATATACTCCTGGGAAGGGGTGGGGACAGAGGCAGAGATCAGCCTGTTCCCTGGGCCTGGGTGGGCTTCTCGGCCAGGGTCTATTCGCTTGCTGTGTGACCTCGATCCAGTCACCTTCCCTCTCTGAACCTGTGCAATGCGGTGAGCGAGCACCTAGTCCCAGATGCTGATTATCACTAAGGCCCTAGGAATGGCAGAGGGGAGCAGGGCTGAGGGCTTTCTATCAGGAAGGAGGAGCCAGGGGTCCTGGGTTCTAGGTCCAGCCGTTGCTGTCTCTGCTGAGGGGCCTTCCTCGCTTCGGCCACGGCTTCCACAGCTGGACCCAGGCCCTAACTCTCTGCTGTCACCGGACCTCATTCCTCCTCCCCGCCAACCCACAGCAGTGACTCACCCCTCATCATCACGCTGTGTGGCCAGAGCTGAGCCTGGGTGGGGGCCAGCGAGGCTGAGAACCAGAGGAAGCCACAGGCCCAGCCCAGCTGGCAGGTGGCAGGTGGGCAGGCAGCGGGATCCTCGGCCGTGGGGGCCTTGCCCTTAAGCTCATTTCCCACCACGAGCCCAAGCTAGGCTCCCAAGCCCCTCCACGCCCTGGCTAAGCGCCCACCAGGCCCAGACCCAGAGTCACCCACTCCGTGAGGCACCTGCTGCAGCAGGACCTGCACCCACCTGTGGAAGCGGGCAGGGGTGGCGGTGAGGACCCTGCCTCCCCCGGGGGTGGTCACTAGGGGGTGGCCAAGGCCCAGAGGCAGGGGACCCGTGTTCATCGCGGAGGCAGGGGAGGGAGGGGAGGAGCTGTCGTGGTCTCGGTCTGTGGGCAGGTCCAAGCTTCTCAGGAGGCAGGCAGCGCAGCAGTTAAGAGCGTGGGCTCTGGGCCTAGACTGGGTACAAGTCCTGGCTCTGCCACTGACCGCTGTATGAGCCTGAGTACGTGGCTTATCCTCCATGAGGCTTGGCTTTCCCGCCTGAGAAGCAGACACAACACAACGCCCGCCTCGCAGGGTCACCGAGAGCAGCGGGTGCGATCATGAGCAGAGCCGGGCCGGGCCGGCACCATGAAGGTGCGCCATGTACGTGACCTGCGCTCCGTGCCACCCCCGCTGGGACCCGGGCCATGCCTCCGGCAGGCGGACCAGCCGCCCACTTCTGACCAATGTCCTCCGGATGCACCCTCTGAGGGTCACGCTCTCCTGTCACCCCACCCCCAGCAGATGGGGCCCCCTCCTCTGCCCTGCAGGCCTGTGGGGAGGGAGGCTGTAGTCCAGCAAGAACAGCTCTCCCGAGGCCTCCTGGGAGGACCCCCCCGCCCCGCAGGCCCAGCGAAGACTCCGCTCTCTGCCGACGCTGGGCTCTGGTGAGAAGCAGGGTGGGCTCAGAGCACGAGCCTGCTCTGGGAGACAGAGGGTTCGTGTCAAGCCCCAGCTTCTGACTTGCTGAGTACTCACTCCTCACGTTTCCTCCCCTCCTCAAGCCTCAGTTTCCCCCTTGGTAATAGGAATAATAATATCTACCCACCTAACCTTTCTGAGAGGAGTAAATGAGTTACTATACATACACGTGCTCAGAGAGAGCCCGGTACACAGTAGTCACCCCGTAGGTAGGTGTTAGCTGGTGCTGTGCCCTCCCTCTCACAGGTGAGGGAACTGAGGCACAATGTAGAGGAGCCACCTGCCCAGATCGTGCCCTGGGCAGGGTGGCTCCCGAGGCTGCACCGGTGACGGTGACCCTGGGAACCAGCACGCCGCTCGCCGGCCGGGGGTCGCCTGTGACGTCGTCTGAATGAATGCAGGGAGATGAGGCCACATCCAACCTGTACATTTATTTACAAGGCACAAGCTGAGAGCAGGCTGGGGGCCGCCACGGCCTCTGCACTTCTCCGGGGCCTGTGACTCCGTCCTCTGAAGCCCTCGTGGCAGGGGCGGGGGCCACCGCGGCCGGTGGAGCCAGCGAGCGAGGCCCTCAGGCAAGTTCGGGGTGGTCTTCCGCCCCCCCCCCCCACCCCCTCCGCCAGGCCTGGGCGGCGTCCTCCCGCTCGCTCGCTCACTCGGAGTTCCTGTGTGTTGGTGGTCGGCGGGGAAGGTGGGAGGGAGCCGGAGCCGGCCAGATGGTGTGTGCTCGGCCTTATCTGCTGGGTGCAGGGAGGCGGGCGGGGCGCGGGAGCCTCTCTCACAAAGCCCGCTCTGTCTGCCGGCAGCTGGGCCTCAGGAACCGACGTTGTTGCCTTCCTGCCCCACCAAGAGCCTCCCATCCACACCCGCAGGGGCCCCCCACATGGGGACCCCACCCCTTCAGCTGAGAGCAAGCTCAGGCCAGGGTGCCCCGGCGGGGCCACGCAGGGGTCACCAGGCCAGCAGTTCCAGAGGTGGGGCCAGGGAGGGAGCAGCAGGCCCATGGCATCGGGCGGTGGCTGAGGGGCCGGAGCTGGCCGGGGGCGGCGTCAGCAGGATGGACTCAGGCCACACCCGAGGCGGCTCTCATCGGGGAAGCGGTCGCCGTGTGGGGGCGTGGGGAGCCCCGAGCCGCCCAGCCTGGCGCAGCCCTGTCCTGGCCAGGCCACCCTGGGGTCTGGCCATCTGCTCTGGCCTTCTGGGCTGTGAGGCCTCAGCCCCGGCCGCCGGGCAGCTGCATCCAGGCCTCGGCCGCTTCTGGGGCTCAGACCCCCAGCGCCATCAGTGCCCCTGAGCTGCTGATCTTCTTGAAGCGGTTGGCAGCGCTGACAGCGATGAAGTTTTTCTGGGGGAGGGAGGAGAGGGGTCCCAGTCAGCATCGGGCAGCTGAGTGTCTCCTAACGTCCCCTTGATTGCAGGAGGGCCAGCGGCCAGGGAGGGTGCAGTGTTCAAAATGGCCACAGGAGGCGCCATGACTGCACCCTCCAGGATTCCTTCCTTCCACAGGTTGGTCAGCCAGACCAGTGCTCTGTCAAGGTGCTCCAAGCGAAAGACAAACCCCTAGCCATGGCCAGAGAGTCCCTCCACACCCTGCCCCCGCTCCCTTCTGCGCTCATCTCCCCACCCCGTAGGTTCCCCATCAGTCCTGGTTTCCTGCCTGCTCCCCACACTTGCCAACCAGCTTCTCCCTCAGGGCCTTTGCGTTGGCTGTTCCCTCCGCCTGGACCGCTCACCCCTCGCCTCCTTCAGGTCTCTGTCCACATCCTCCCTCTCAGTGAGTCCTCCCTGAGCCCCCATTTAGCAGTGCGACTCTCCTCTGGCACTCCGGACCATCCTTGTTCTTCTAGAGCCCTTCCCTAAGCCTCTTCATATCTCCCCACCCCCCACCCACACCCCCAAACGTCAGTCCACAAACACTGAACTCCTGTGTCTTATCCATTGGTTTGTATCCCCGGTGCCTGGAGGTAGCAGAGGCTCCATTGATATTTGAAAAGGGCAGGAAGGAAGCCTGTGAAGAGGTCAGAGACCTCTTCCTGACCCTGAGCCCCAGGCGGATGCCCCTCCTCAGGGTGAAGGGGGTGGGGGGGAAGGTCAGGAGCCAGCCCAGGAAAGAGAGAACAGCCAACCCTGTTCTCAGGCAGGGCCAGGCCTGGTGGGTGGAACTTGCCAAGGCAGGCCTGGTGGGGCCGAGAACTGGTGCCAGGAGCTCTTCCCGCCCTGCCGCCGCTCCCCTCAGCCACCCCCAGCCCCGCGGTACCTTCCAGCGTCTCTTCATGAGGTATTTCTTAAGCAAGATCTGGGACTTGAGGCGTCGGTTGCAGCGCTTGGCTTTCTCGGCCAGGTTGTTGAGCCAGGGGTGGGCGAGGCACTGGGCAGCGCTCATGCGGGCCCTGCGGGGGAGGGTGCGGCGAGGAGAGGGTGGATGGCTTGCCCACGGGCACCGGCGCCCAGCCAGCCTTGCAACCAGGGCCCACCCCGCCTGCACACGCGTGCACTGGGCTCGCCCAGGGGGGTGCGCGAGCCTCACCCCTGGTCCTTGACGATGAGGTGGGAGACGAAGTCTTTGGCCTCATCGGACACGGCCTCGAAGGTCTCCTCGTCAAAGTACCAGTTGGCAGCCAGGACGTTGTTCAGGGTCTCTGTGTCATCGTCTCCCAGGAAGGGGGAGAGGCCACTCAGCCTGGAGGGAGGGGATGGCGGCGGGCGGCGGGGTGAGACCGGACATGCTAAGCCACCTGGGAGGGTTTGGGGGGCGGGGATAGATCCTAGGAGGCAGCACCAGATGCTGAAAAGACCCCCAGCCTCTCACGTGGGACAGACCTGAGTTTGAATCTGGCTGGGTGACCTTGGGCAAGTCACTTCCCCTCTCTGAGCCTCACTCTTCTCATCTGTAAAACGGGCATCATCATCCCAGCTTCCCAGGGTTACAGTGAAGGAGAGGAACGGTGAGGGCACAAAAATGTCCACCACCCCTGTGCCCCCGCCCGGGGCCATCAGAGACCTGCTGTCCAGTCCCTGGGCTGGGATGCTATGCCTTCAGGGGCCTCGGTTTCTCCATTTGTAAAATGGGTGCCAAGTTCCCCTGCCCTGGTTCTCCCTAACACTCCCAACTCCCAGCAGAACCCTGACCGAGTGAACGAGTGGGGTGAGACCACCTCACCTGGACCCCGAGGCCAGCCCCGGCCTCCGCCGCCCACCCGGCGCCCGACCCCAGGACCCCGCGCTCCCCGGGGCTCACAGCATGTAGGTGATGACCCCCATACTCCACATGTCCGTCTTGTCGGAGATTTGGTCGTAATTCACCACCTCAGGGGACAGGAACTCCGGGGTCCCAAAGTTCACCTTCAGCTTCTCGTTGGGGTTGTACCTGGGGGTGAGACCAAGTGCTCAGAGCACAGCCCGCTGCCTCCCCCCCCCGCCCCGCCCTCTGGCCTCCTCAGAGGCCGGCCCTGGCCTCCCCCCCAGGTGGTACCTCCGTGCCAGGCCGAAGTCAATGATCTTCACCAAGTGGCCGGTGTTGTTGACACACAGGATGTTCTCTGGCTGAGGAGAAGGGGTGGCCCGGATTGGCCTCTGGCCCGGCCATCCTCCCTCCCCATTCAGGTCCACCCCGGTCCCCGGTCCAGCCAGAGGCCCAGGCCGCCATCCACGCCCCCAGCCTGCCTGCTCCAGGCACAGATGTGGACCCCGAGCGCCCGAGAGGGATTGGAGAGAGGCATTGCAGCGCCAGGCTTCTGGGTGGGTGCAGACGGCATTTTCCCTCATCTCAGGCCAGGAAAGAACAGTGTTCCCGCAGTTCTGAGGGCGCAGTCACTCTGTGCCCTGGGGAGAGGCTCGTTCAGGGTCACCAGCGGGTACGTGGAGCCCTGGAGACCAGAGCTCTCAGCAGAAGCCTCGCTCGGGGCTCTCAGAAGAGGCCTCCTGGGCACGGAGGGCCTCACGCCGCTCCCGGCGTGCTCTGAGAGGGGTGCTCTTGTCTCCCGGTCAGGGACGAGGACAGCGCCTACAGCTGTCAGGCCCTGAATCAGTCACTTCCCGTGATTAGCTCCTCAGTCTTTCCAACCGCGCTGTGAGGCAGAGGCTGTCACTTCCCGGGCCCATTTCACAGCTGAGGAAACTGAGGCTCGGACAGGAGTGACTTGGCTACCGTCGCCCAACAAGTAAGTGACAGTGCCAGGGCTTGATGCCAGGACCGGCTGACGCCAGCGCTGGTCTTCCGATATCATTCTGCCTGCTGCCAGCCGGCAAAGACCCACCGTGCACGCCACAGGGGAGGGCCTGGGCCGACGGCATCCTTTGCTCCCCACCCTCAGTACCGAACTAAGACCCGTGGGTGCTCAGGCAGGGCTCCCAGAATCCTATGTGAGTGACGTCACTTCAAGGCTAGTCCCTCCCACGCTGGGTGCTTCCTGTAACCCAAGGGCACCACCAGTGGACCATAAACTCTATTGCTTCCCCTAGCCTGCGATGGAGTGGGACTGAGCGAGGTCGGAAGAGGGATATAACTGTTCTCTCAGGAAGCTTTTCTTGTTAGCGCCTTCTATGTGTGTATCGCTGCACTGGCACTAAACTTACTGTCTTGTTTGTCTGACGCCTCTCCTAGTTTGTCAGCTTCATAGGGGCAGGCGTTTGGGTCTGCTCAGTTCACCGCGATCTGCACCTGCTGCTGGAACAGCGTGTGGCATGGCGTAGGCCAGTGTTTCCCAAAGTGTGGTACGCGTACCCCCAGGGGAACGGGAAGAGTTTGGTGGGGGTATGCACTGCACCGTGCTTAGCTGCGCCTAATTCTACGTTCTCATGAGTACGAGGGGGACTCAGCATTACGAAAATTATAGAAGGGGTACACATATGTCAAAAGTTTGGGCAACACTGGCGTGGGCCCTCGACAAATATTTGTTCACTAAACAGGCAAACACATCTGTTTCCAGGTGTTGGTCTATTTAGTGTCTTTCAGGGCCCAGCACAGAAGTAAGTGCTTTTGCAACACTGAGTAGTAAGCTCTTTGTGGGAGGCCCTGTGCTTGGGGGCCACAGGGCTGCAAAAGGCACTTTCAGCAAGTGCCTCGTGTCAGACTGGAAGCTCCTGAGAGCCAGGACCAAGCCTCTTGCTTGGTTTTCCGTCCCGTTCTTTATCTCTGGTATTTAGTAAGTGCTCCATCCTTGGTGAGTCTCCAGGTGGGAGGATGGAGGGAGGGAGAGAAGAAGGGGTGGGAGAAAGGAGGGATGGCTGGTTGCCACCCTGATTTCAGGCGGTCAGAGGCGGCTCCCGGCCCTCCCAGGAGACCCAGCCCCAGTACCTTGAGGTCCAGGTGCAGGACCTGCATCTGGTGCATGAAGAGGATCCCGTCGCAGATCTGCCGGACAAACACCATGGTGTCCACCTCGGTCAGCTGGTAGTCCTCGTCCACAATCCTCTCGAAGAGCTCTCCGCCCTCGATGCTGCGTGCACAGACCCTCTGCAGGCTGCTCCCGGGCCCCGCACCCCCCGCCCCGCCCCCCTGCTGGCACTCACTACTCCAAGAACAGGATGATGTCGTGGGGGGTCTCGATGGCTGCGTAGAGCTGGATCAGGTTGCGGTGGTTGAGCTGGTTCATAACCTCGATCTCGAGCATCACCATTTCCTGGGGACCAGGGGAGCCAGGGGGCCATCCAAGGGTCACCGCTCCCTGCCCTCCACCCTCCAGACCCACACCCTGATGGGAACCTGGCCTGGACACTGCCCAGCCTCCTCCTCCTCACTGGCCTCCGTGCCCGTCCCCAAGCCTGTGTCCTCCCCACCCCCAGTGCTTCCTTTGCAGTTCTTCCTCTCCTCCTGGCAGGATACGGGGGATCCAAGGGCCCAGACCTCCCCGCTCATCACTCCCCTCCCGACACCCTCTCCCTGGGCATTCTCCTCAAGCCCCATGACTGGGTAATTCCACCCGGATGTGACCAATCTCCAAATGCTCTCCCCACTGAGCACTGCCTTGAACTCAGCACACCCACATCGCCAGCTGCCATTTATTTCCCTCGGATGTCCAGAGGCATCGCAACTCTGTCAAGTCCAAAATTAAACCCTCGTTACCGCCCCTTCCCCACATTTGAGCTTGTCCATTAGCAAGAGGACATCGCTCTTCACCCAGGCGTGCGGGACTCCAGGTTAGGGGCAATCCCAGATTCTTTCTTTAATCTTGCTTCCTCACACCCCATGTCCAATCCATCAGTCAATCTTCTGGCTCTACCTTCGAACCAGATTACAAATCCAATGATTTCTCACCTCCTCCACCACTGCCGTCCTAGCCTACGCCGCCATTAATTGTCACGTTGAGAAAGTTTGCAAGCCAGCTGTCACACTGGGAGTTTGAAATCAGTGATGGTAGAAATATTTACACCACGGAAATTGGCAAAGGCCACCAGTCAGGCCTCTCCCTGAATTTTCTCACCTCCCTCCTCCCCAGGACATCATATCACTAACCCGAATCACTCACTTCATCTCTCTCATCCATTCCTCCATTCCTATCTCACCTCGCATACATTCCTCAGGGAGGCCTAGCCTCGCCCCCTCTATCTACACATCCCCGCACACTCCACTCTCCCTGGTTCTTACCTGCCTTTATTTCTCCTCCTAGCACCTCTCAGTTCCTGGCACCAGGCTTATTGTGCATTCTGCTTTTTAGTTGTCTGTTTCTCTTCTCTAGCATGTCAGCCCGTAAGGGCAGGGACTCTTAGTGCACTGCCATTTCCTCTGCACATTGAATGGCACACCAAAAATTGTTTGGTGAGAATTAACCAATAGCTGCCTCCAGTGGATGTATGCAGCACACATGGATTGAGCATCTACACTGAGCCAGGCCCGTGAGAGAGGCCTGGGGACCCAGCAGTCAATAACATGCATCCAGGCCCTGTCAAGTGGAAGAGGCAGAGAAAGACAGAGTCACAGAGAAAACACGTGCCTTTGTGCATGGCCTCTGCCAGGAATGGCCATAAGCTCACCTCTCAGCTCCCTCTGCCCCAACTCAAGAGTCCCAGCATTCCCTGCTGTTTCCAGCACTCAGCCCTCGCCTCCCACAGTCCCTCCTTCTTCACAGTCTTCATGACAGCAGGCCAGGAAGGTCCCCTGACCCACAGGCCGGAACAGGCCTCCCCTGCCCTCTCCTCTCTGCCGCCTGCCCCAGCTCTCCCGGGTCACAGCTCTCACTACACCAGGTGGCTCGGTTGTCCTCACCTCCTCACACCCGACTCCCTCGCTCCATGTGAGCCTCTGCCTGCATTCCCTCCTTCCTGCTTCCTTCCTCACTTGTTCCTCTTTCCCCTTCCCTGCTTCCTTCTTTCCTCCCTCTCTCCCTCCTTCCCTTTCTCTCTCCTTTTCTCCTTCCTCCCTCCCTCCCTCAAGCTCTCGGCCTCCTCGGAGCCAGGCCTGGGCTGGGTGCTGGAGGCAGACCTCTAGACCAGGCCACTTCGGTGCTGCCTGAGGGCAGGGACCTCAGCCACTGCACTCCCAGACGCCCAGGGCCCAGCATGGGCCTGGCCCGGAGCCTGCCCTTCTCAGTGTTGGCTGAACTGAACAGAACAGAGGGCACGAGTGTCCTGTGCCTAGCAGGGGGAGTCCCGGGATGAGTTCACTAACTGAGGTGTCTGGTTCACGTTGAGGGGCATCAGGCCCCAGTGGTAGGGCTGTCCGTCTGTCCGTCTGTCCGGACAGACACGTGGGTAGGGGAAGGTGAGAGGCCCCCACACTCCAAAGATCCCCTCTCTCCCATAGCCAAGCCCACCCCCGCTACCTTGTCTTTGGGCGTCTGTTTCTTGATGACCTTGGCTGCCAGCTTGAGGCCAGTGGCTTTCTCTGTACAGGTACAGACGGCTCCGAACTTGCCGCTGGAGAGAGACGAGGCTGGGGGTGAGGGGGGGGGGGCAGGGGCTGAGGGGGCCAACTGGATCGCCACCATGAGGCGGGGGCACTCGCCCAGCCAGCCCTCACGCCCTCCTGAAGCTCTGCTTCTGGAACAATGGCTGAGCCACACAGACCGCGGGCACAGGAAGGGCTGCTGATCCTGATGTGACCGCCTGAGCTCTGGACCCCGGGGGGAACCTCCAGGGCTTTCTACAAAGCAGGAATCCACTGAGACAGACGGGAGAGCACTGTGCGCTCCTATTGGAAATGCTGAATGGGCGGGTTGTGTGTGTGTGTGTGTGTGTGTGTGTGTGTGTGAGAGAGAGAGAGAGAGAGAGAGAGAGAGAGAGAGAGAGAGGGAGGGAGAGAGAGAGAGACACGTGACATCTTGCACATGGCAGGTGCCACCACTAGAAGCCTGTGTTCATTGTGTAGCTTCCAAACTTGCACAGGGAAGACGTAAAGCTTCAGGGGCTTCCATGCTGTTCGGGGCCCAGGGCCCGGCTCTTACCCGCCCAGAGTCTCCTTGGAGTTCATGCTGAACTGGCTGTTGACGTTCCCGGTCCTCAGCTCCACAATGCGGTGGGGGAAGGGGGCCGGGGGAGGCGGGCAATCGTCTGGAGGCAGAGCAGAGCCATCACAGTGAGTGCCAGGAGCTGCGAGGATCCACCTACACTCCCCCACCCCCGACGCCACCCCCTACACCACCCCCACCCCACTCCTGCCTGGCCTGGGCCGTACCTGGGGCACAGCTGGCTCCAGGACAAGGGCTAGGGGACTCAGTTTCCAATTTCAGCTCTGCCACCACCTTGGGAGGCCTCTGCCTCTGCCTCTGCCTCGGCCAGAGGGAGGCTCACCTCCCCCTCCCCCTCCGGCACCACAATGGGGATGGCCCCTTAGACGACCGGGACCCTCCCCGGCTACCTGCGTCCCAAGCCACCTGCACTTCCACGGGAGAAAAAGGGGCCAGATAGGGGTTACCATGTCTGCCGGGGGCAGTGGTGGGATCTGCCTACCATCCCCTCCAATAGCACCACAGGCTGGCCAGGCTGGCCCCGGGAGGGGAGGGGAGGATAGATGGGGGAGGGGGGCAGAAGAGAGGGGGACGGAGTTTGGTAGGGAGAGGCTGCCACCTAGCGGCAGCCCCGGCGAACAGGGCGCTGGCGGTGGACGGGCTGAATCATCGGAATGGAAGCCTCTTTATAAATAGCCAGAGGCGGCAGGGAAGCCGGGCCGGGCCGGCGATAAATCAGACGGCCCTTGGAGGTGGTTCAGGTGCCGTCACCCTCGGGACGGGGCTGCGGGGCGGGGCGGGCGGAGGTCTCTGCGGCTCCGGAGGAGGCCGGGCTCCTGGCCGCCGCCCAGCCGCCAGGCCCGCCCACCCTGTCTGGGTGGCACCGTGCCGCTCCCCGGGCCGGCTGGCCGGGCTCCCAGGGCACCTCGGCCCGGGGGGAGGGTGTCAGGACACTCTGGCTCTCCTGACCCCGTCTCACCCCACCCCCAGCCCGGCCGAACCCTGGCCCCGGCCGCAGCCCCGCCGGCCGGGCTCACGCATGCGCGGTGGCTGCCCGCCGCCGGCCGCCCGGACCCGGGCTCCGGGGCTGGTCGCCGCTCAGGCCCCGCCGCGGCCCTGCCCCATCGCACACGCCGACTCCCTGGCCTCCGCTTCCCACGGACACCTGTGCTCCTCCCCACCCCGCCCGCGAAGCAGTCCGAGTACCAAAGCCTGGCATTTCAGTGCCACAGACTGACTTCACCTCCCGCCGCCCAGAGGGTTGGTGTGGCTCCAGTAACCTGCCTGGCATTTTCCAAAGCCCCCTGCTAGCCAAAGGAAAAGAAAGCCAAGACGGAGCTCCGGAGGGAGGACGCCCCAGAGGTGCAAGCCCTCTCCTAGCTGTGGATGTGGGGGCACTCGTCCCGTTTCCTTTTGCTGAGCCTCCGTTTCCCCATCTGTCAAAAGGGCCAAACACTCATGCGGCCTGGAGTCGGTTGTGTGGCACCTAGATGAATCAGCCTGGGTGAGACGTGGCTCAGAGCATTTCAGTCCTCTCGAGTGGGGGGAGACGTGGGGATCCCCTTTTCCCTCGAGCCCCCAGGCAGCCTCAAGCCCACCCCGGCCCCTGGCCTACCCAAGATCTGGAAGCAGTCCTCCTCCCTGGCTGTGAGGCTGAGGGGCTGCCCCACCTCCCATCTCGCCGCGGGGGGCACAGCCTGGAACTCGATCCCCCTCGAGGTGTCCCCTTCCACCTCAGCCTGGCCCGAAGCCTTCTCTCCGGCTTCCTGCTGGCCGCCTCGCGGGACATTTTCCCCTCCTTCTGCTGCTTTGGCTGGCACGGGATCTGGGGGGCTGGGGGTCACGGGCACCCCTTCAAAGATGAGCTCCAATGTCTCGTTTGGGGGCTTCTCCGCCAGCGGCTTCTCTGGGCTAGAAGGTGAGAACACAGAGGTGACGCCCTTACAGCCACGGCCCCGCGGTGGCCTCCGGCCCGTCTTCTTGCTTCCAAAGCCTCGTCTGCTCTGGGGAGCTGATGTAACCCTGCCCCCCAACCCCAAGCGCACGGGGCAATGTCTCCAAAGCCACTTTTTGCAAAATCAAGGAATGTTAACATTATCACAAATGACTGCGGACATTATCTTGACTATTAATACACTAATAGATAATAACTAACCATGAATAGGGTTATTGATGTGACCAATCATTATATGGATATAATTAGGGAGGTAAATACCTTTTGATTCATAAAAACAGTGGCAATGGGATTGATGTGAATATAAAATTTAAGTTGACAGGGTGTTATGATTGTGGCTTAACAACATATCCTTAATGACCTGGGTAATCTGATTAGCACTCAGGGAAGTGTAATTGAATGCATCCTGAGACTGATGCTTTCTTATGAAAAGTGTTAGTAAGTTAGGAAGTGTTAGGAAGGATCTACCCATCTGCAATGAGTCGCCTTTCCATGTTATGCTGATAATTATATTAACAAGAGGGGTTTTCCTTTCCTCCTGATAGTTCGGCTCCACCCTTGGGTAGGCCCAAGTGCACAGAATATGGGGAACCCTGGACTCTGGGTGCCTAGAGAAGAGGGGTTCCACCTGAGTGGTCTCTGAGCCCTCTCCTGCCTGACATGCTAGGCTTCTATGCAATTCCTGCTTTCTGCAAGGGTACAAGCAGGTGAACTCAGGACTACCCCACCCAGCACTGAATGTGACGGCAATGATTCCAGAACAGAGGAGCCCAGCCCGGCCCTGGGACAGCCCTTTCCCTGACCCCCCCGGGCCTTCACCTGGGGATGGCGGCAGGGCAGCTGGGGCAATGCAGGAAGGCTGGCGAGCCCCTCCTGGCTGCTGCGCGGCTCTCCAGGGCCTTCTTTTGCTCCTTGGACTCTCCAGGAGCCTGGCTGCCCGGGGACGCCTGGTTATCGCCGTCGCTGGGCTTCTCGACGCTGGCCTCAGCCGTCCGGCTCTGCTGGGGCAGGGCTGCCGGCTGCCCAGTGCTGCCCACGGCGCCTTCTCCCTCGGAGCCCTGGCAGGTAGCTGCGCGCTGGGCCAGGCCACCTTCCCCTTTCTCTGGGGCACCTTCCTTCACGGTGGGGGGACCAGATTCCTTCTTTGGATCTGGGGTGGCAGATTCCTTTTTTGGATCTGGGGGGCCAGGTTCCTTCTTTGGATCTGGGGGGACAGGTTCCTTCTTTGGATCTGGGGAGCCAGGTTCCTTCTTTGGATCTGGGGGGCCAGGTTCCTTCTTTGGATCTGGGGGGACAGGTTCCTTCTTTGGATCTGGAGTGCCAGGTTCCTTCTTTGGATCTGGGGGGCCAGGTTCCTTCTTTGGATCTGGGGGGCCAGATTCCTTCTTTGGATCTGGGGGGCCAGATTCCTTCTTTGGATCTGGGGGGCCAGGTTCCTTCTTTGGATCTGGGGGGCCAGATTCCTTCTTTGGATCTGGGGGGGCAGATTCCTTCTTTGGATCTGGGGGGACAGATTCCTTTTTTGGATCTGGGGGGGCAGGTTCCTTCTTTGGATCTGGGGGGCCAGGTTCCTTCTTTGGATCTGGGGGGCCAGGTTCCTTCTTTGGATCTGGGGGGCCAGATTCCTTTTTTGGATCTGGGCGGGCAGATTCTTTCTTTGGGTCTGGGGGGACAGAGTCTTTCTTTGGGTCTGGGGGGCCAGATTCCTTCTTTGGATCTGGGGGGACAGGTTCCTTCTTTGGATCTGGGGGGCCAGGTTCCTTCTTTGGATCTGAGGGGCCAGATTCCTTCTTTGGATCTGGAGGGCCAGGTTCCTTCTTTGGATCTGGGGGGCCAGGTTCCTTTTTTGGATCTGGGGGGCCAGATTCTTTTTTGGGGTCTGGAGGGGCAGTTTCTTTCTTTGGTTCTGGGGGGACAGGTTTCTTCTTTGGTTCTGGGGGGACAGGTTCCTTCTTTAGATCTGGGTTGGCAGGTTCTTTCTTTGGATCTGGGAGGCCAGATTCCTTCTTTGGGTCTGGGGGTGCAGAGTCTTTCTTTGAGTCTGGGGGGACAGGTTCCTTCTTTAGATCTGAGTTGGCAGATTCTTTCTTTGGATCTGGGGGGGCAGAGTCTTTCTTTGAGTCTGGGGGGACAGGTTCCTTCTTTAGATCTGAGTTGGCAGATTCTTTCTTTGGATCTGGGGGGCCAGAGTCTTTCTTTGGACCTGGGGGGGCAGGTTCTTTCTTTGGATCTGGGGGGGCAGGTTCTTTCTTTGGATCTGGGGGGGCAGATTCTCCTTTCTTTGGGACTGGGGGGGCAGGTTCCTTGTTTGGATCTGGGGGACCAGGGTCTTTCTTTGAGTCTGGGGGGGAAGGTTTCATATTTGGACCTGGGGGGGCAGTTTTTTTCTTTGGGTCTGGGGGTCCGGGGTCTTTCTTTGAGTCTGGGGGGGCAGCTTTCTTGTTTGGGTCTGGGGAGGCAGGTTCCTTGTTTGGATCTGGGTGGGCAGGTTCCTTGTTTGGGTCTGGGGGGACAGGTTCCTTGTTTGGATCTGGGGGGGCAGTTTCTTTCTTTGGGTCTGTGGGGACAAGGTCTTTCTCTGTAGCTGGGGGTCCTTCGCCTGCTGCACCTTGAGGTGCACTGTCTGTAGAGGAGGGGAGACATCAGTCAGGATTCACCCCCCTCCCCTCTCTCCCCAGCCAGGCTCACCAGAGACCAGCTCTGGGCCCAGGTCCCCACTAAGCAAAGATCTGCAAATGCTTGTCCCACTGAGCCTGTCGGGCCCTTTGACGGCTCTAGAGATGGGCTGCTGGGACCTCAGAGTCCATGCGGAGGGCTCCTGCTCCTCTGCTGGGCCCGGACAGCCCAGCACTCCTTGCCCGGTGTTTAGTGCCATCCATGAAAGCTTCACATTTTCCTAGCTTCTCTGGGGAGGAATTCATGCCAGCTCTTAACCAGCCCAGGCCTACCCAGAGAGAATTCGGGTTCCTGAGTCCCCCATGCACCACACAAAGAGGCCTTGGGCACAGAACTACCACCGAGGAACTGGCCCAGACCCGGATTCAAGCACCCCTTCCCAAGCAAGCTCCTCCCTCCGCCTCCTGCCCCAGCTTGGCACCTGTTGATGAGCTCTGGATTCCCATCTCCACTGCTCCGTTTTCTGTCGCCATGAGGTAGGAAGGCGTACGCTTCCGCTTGTCTAACTCAAGTCTTTCTAGCTGCAGAGAGAAGCGCGGGGCGTGCAGGCGGCCGGAGTCCTCCTCTTGTCAGGCCCAGCGGCCAGGGCCGGCTGCCTGAGGGGAGAGAGAGGTACCTGGAGCAGAGAGGGGCAACCTGGTGGCGTCTGTATGGCAGCGGCCGCCCAGGAGCCGTCCCGGGGCAGTTGTAAGGGATTGGGCCGGGTGGGCAGAGGCGGAGGCAGGGGTGCAGGCAGGGGAGGCGGGGACGGAGGAGAGGATCTCTTACACCAGGGGCCATGCAGCTCGGACTGCCACCACCTGTCACTCTTGGCCCCCATTCAGAGGACACAGCATTCTTCCCACGGACCGACGGGGGGGTCAGGCGGGGAGTGGTGTTGGAACAAGCAAAAGAGAAAAAGGAGGGGGCACCTGGGGCCCTGGGGCATGGGGCAGCAGCCTTTTCCCATGCCTTGGCTTGAACAGGACCAGGGAGGGGCCTGGAAAAAGAGGGGATCTCAGGCAGGGCTGAAGGGCAAGATTATGCCCAGACTGGGCCCCGGCTCTGCCCACCTGCATCCCACATGTCCTGGGGTCCCCCAGAACCAGGTTAGAGCCACACAGGCCCAAAAATAATCACCCTTGCCGAAACCAGTTTGGCTCAGTGGATAGAGCGTCGGTCTGCAGACTGAAAGGTCCCAGGTTCAACTCCGGTCAAGGGCATGTACCTTGGTTATGGGCACATCCCCGATAGGGGGTGTGCAGGAGGCAGCTGATCGATGTCTCTCTCTCATCGACGCTTCTAGCTCTCAATCCCTCCTCCTTCCTTTCTGTGGAAAATCAGTAAAATGTATTAAAAAAAAAAAAGAAAAAGAAAAAAGAAAGAAATAATCACCCTGACTCTAGTGCCCAGCTCTGTGCCTATGAGCTCTGCCTGGCAATTGGACCTACGTGGACCATCTTTGGATAAGAAATTGTCTCAGAGGTTCTTATTCAACATGCCCATGGGCCTAAAAGCCTTTTCTTTTGAAAATTTCTTTTTCGAATCATTGATCGGTTGCCTCATGCATGCCTGCTACTGGGGATCAAGCCTGCAATCCGGGCATGTGCCCTGACCGGGAATCAAACTGTGACTTTCTGGTTCATGGGTCAATGCTCAACCACTGAGCCACACCAGTGGGCTACCCTTTAACTTTTTTTATTTGAAAAATGAACTACGTGAACAGTTTACTATTCAAAGTGAGTGAATATTTCCAATATACTGTTATTGATTTCAGAGATGAAGGGAGAGAGAGAGATAGAAACAAAGATGACAAGAGAGATTCATTGATCGGCTGCCTCCTGCACGCCCCACACTGGGAATCGAGCCCACAACCCCGGGCATGTGCCCTGACCGGGAATTGAACCATAACCTCCTGGTTCATAGATCAACATTTAACCACTGAGCCAGGCCGACCGAACTGAGTGAATATTTTTTTAAGTGAGAAAATGCTGAAGAGATTGGTAATGGCTAGAAAAAAACAGAGTTGGAGCTCCTTCCTCATTCTTGACAACTTTTGCTCTTCCTGGCCCACCCCTCCTCCATTTCTCCTCAAGGTCCAGTTGGCAAACAGAAACAGAAACAGTAACTAGAAAGAAGAAATAATAACCGATCCTGTCTAGTACTTGCCACATGTGTCAGGTCTTGTTCTTGGTGCTCTTCTGTTGATTCACTCATGTGATCTTCTGAACAATTCAGTGGGGTAGGTCCAACTTCAGATGGGTAAACTGAGGCATGGAGAAGTTAAATAATTTATCCAGAGTCATCCAGTTTGTAAGGGACTGAGTGGGACTTGAACCCAAGCTCTCTGAAGGGAAAGGGGCTCCTTTTTTTAATTTTTTTTTTATTTTAGTGCACACTATTATTAGCTTTATCCATATTGTCTTAAAACATCAGCTTTTAAAAATACATGTTTTGCCCTAACTGGTTTGGCTCAGTGGATAGAGTATTGGCCTGTGGACTCAAGGGTCCCAGGTTCAATTCCGGTCAGGGACATGTACCTTGGTTGTGAGCACAGCTACCTCTTTAAATATATTTATTCCAGAGAGAGGAAGGGAGAGGGATAGAGAGATAGAAACATCAAAGATTAGAAAGAATCATTGATCAGTTGCTTCCTGCATGCTCCCTACTGGGGATCGAGCCCACAACCTAGGCATGTGTCCTGACAGGGGACCAAACCATGACCTCCTGGTTCATGGATTGATGCTCAACCACTGGGCCACACTGGTCAGGCTTTTATTTTTCCCCTCACTGGAGGAGTGAGGATATTTTTCCAATGATTTTTAGAGAGAGAGGAGAGACATCGATGTGAGAAACACATAATTGGTTGCCTCCCGAATGCACCCCAACCGGAGGCGGGAATCAAACCTGCAACCCAGTCATATGCCCTTGACTGGGAATTGAACCTATGACCCTTCAGTGTGCAGGCCAACGCTTAAAACATCATCTGATAACTCTGCGGGGAGCTTTCATCTTATTTTCTAGGTGAAGACAGGGAGGATCAAAAGATTGAGTGCCTTGCCATGGCCAGTGTGGTTCAGTTGGTTGGGTGTCATCCAGTGCACTGCAGGGCTGCCCGTCTGATTCCTGGTCAGGGCACATGCCTGGGTTGCAGGCTCCATCTCCCGTAGGAACAGGAGGCAGCTGACTGATGTTATGCTCTCACCTCTCTCATGTAGATGTTTCTCTCTTTCTCCTGCTCCCTCTCTAATATATATATATATATATATATATCTTTTTTTTTTTTAATTGATTAACTTGCACAAAGTCACTCTACAACTAAGAGGAGTCCAAACAGAAATGTCCTTCACAACCCAAAGTTCTCTTAATTCCATAAAATTTCCCTGCCTGTGCTCACCCCACTGTCCCCACTGGGGTCCCAGCATTCTGGAGGTTGAAATGCTTCCTGTCTGCACCTACTATTGGGAGCCCCTGGCCCATTTGGTTGTCCCTGTAGCAGGTTCTGGTTTAGCTTGAAATGCTGGCTCCCCCCTCCTCTGGCCTCCTTCAGCTCCAGGTCGATCCCACTATGAACACCATCTGGGAGCCCTCGAGGGCAGGGGCTGTATGATGCTCACAGCACAAGGCGTACTTCCAATCAGTGTTCGATGAGACTAGCAAGTGTCTGGACTGGGTATGGAAACTGCTCTGTCATGATGGCCCTTGCTGACATCCTCTTGCTATTGGTGTGTTGTCAATACTGCTCAGTTACTGAGTGCCCACCGAGGGCCAGGCCTGACTCTGCCGAAGGCTTCCCTCCAGCTCATTGGATCCTCACAAGGGACTCCAGGGACCAAATGTTAGGCATTTCAATGATGCAGAAACTGATGCTAGGAAAGGGTGAGAGGCTTGCCTCTATTTAGCTTCAATTTACTCAGATTCAAATTCAGAGCCGCCTCCTGATGAAACTAAAATCCAGGCTTAGACAACAGAAAGGGCTTAACTTGCTACCTTTGTCACGGTTGTGATTTCCGAATAATAAATAGCACTTACTGAACCCTTATGTAAACAGGCCAGACCTGGATAAGAACTTCCTGAGTGTTCTCAGTTCAGTTCTTAACCATCTCCGTGGTTAGGAGCTCTGTCGGCCAAGCTGAGACTAACGGGCGTGGGCCAAGGCCTTTGCTTGTCTCCTCATCTGTAGGAGGAACATCTTCCTCAGAGGGGGAGGGATGTAGGAACAGGGCCTGGGTACATAGTACGTGCATTATAAATGTTACTTCAACCCATTTCAAAGATGTGAAGGAAAACTGGGTCACAGGGTCTGAACCACCTAATCCAAAGCTCAGCTCATTACCACTCTGCCTGAGGCCTCTCTCCGGGGGTGGCTGGGACCATTTGGCGAGCACAGGTATTGAAGGGCTAAGCACGGTTGGCCTAGAGAAGGTCAATGGGGGGGTTGGGGGTACATATGTCCCCACCCCCTAACCCAGGCCTATTGTCTGTGTCCATGGGTTATGCATATATGCATACAAATTCTTTGGTTGATCTCTTCCCACCCACCCAACCTCCCTCGCCTTCCCTCTGAGGTCCCACAGTCTGTTCCATGCTTCTGTGTCTCTGGATCTGCTTTGTTCATCCGTGTGCTTTGTGGGGTCTCCATGATGATGTGGACATCCCAGGTGGAGGGCTCAGCTGTCCCTGCAGGCTCCTCCGTGGCCCCTTCCAGCTGGGATGAAGCTGGCCTGGTTCCGGACCCACAGGATTGCAGCTTGCTGGCCGCCCAGGCTGAGCTCAGCATGGCCAGCTGCTCCTGGGAGTCCCTGGGCTTCTTCTGGGCTCTCCCTTGGAGGCACGGGGGTGGAGCAGGGGGAAACCCCCTCCACCAGCTGAGGGCTGCCAGAGCCCCTGCCCACCCTTACGAAGGGGCTCTCCCACCCTGTACCAGCTGCACAGCCATCCCCTTTGCTTCCACAGGGGCAGGGCAGGAAGTGGGGCGATGCCAGAACCAATTAAACTTGCCAGGGGAATTAAGGTCAGCAGGATGCAATTATGCCTGTTGGATTTACCCAGGCCGGAGGGAAGTCATCTCCAGCCAGAACTCACGGCTCCTCAGGCCTCTTGCCCTGGACGGCTCTGCACTCCAGAAGCCGGGGCTCCCAGGCTCGCCCACTTCGGGGAGGTTTCCTTGGGAGCAGAGGGGTTAACTCCAGCCGGGCACTGCTTCCTGGCTCTCAGGATGAAATTAATCCAGCCAAGATGCTTTAAAAGGACCTGCTCAGCGGAGACATTTCCCAGCCTCACCCTCTCCCGGCTCGGCTGTGATGGAAAATCTAGGGAGTTGAGCAATGACCTTCTGACTCTGAAGGGAGCAGCCAAGTCCCCTCACAGCTTTCCTCCGGTCCTGGAACGGGAGCCGCTGAGGGATGTTTTCTCCTGCCCTCTCCCACCTTGGGCCCCCAGCCCGGGGCTGTAGCATAGCTCCCAGGCCTCTGGGAAAGCCCTGGTCAGAGAGCTGTATACACGGAGACCTATGGGCACCCTGCATGGCCGCTGGACATAGATTTATCTGGAAGCTCAAATGGCGTGCTGTCCCACCCCGAACTGCAGAGTTTTATTGCAAAGACAACTTACTGAGTGTTCTCCTCTCTGGCAAGAACTAAACTGGTTAACTCTAGGGACAGAGAGATGGAGTTGGGGAAAAGAATAGCCACTCAGTGCCTTTTAGGTGAAAACAGATTGTAAAATCATTCGTGAACTTGGGATTCTTTTTCTTAAAAATATCTAGAGAGAAAATGTCTGGAGGA